TGTATAATATGTATAAGTATATAATTATACATGACTTTTTAGACAAACAATTACTGATGATAAAATTTTAACTAAAGTACAAAAATAATCACGTTTTTAAATTAGTTAACATTCTTGTTGAATACAAGAGTTATTTAGTGTTATTTTTCGTAACTCTTACCTAATATTATAAAGAAAAAAGTTTGTAAGTATGGATGGATGTTTATTAGTCTTTCACGCTAAAAGTATTAAACGAATTATGATAAAACTTTCTAGTAATATACTATAAAGTTTCATCATAATTTCTTCATCTTACCTATACATCAGAATTACAGATAGGCTATAATTTAAAAAAATATATCTGTGTAAATAGGGTGTAATATAATAATAATATATGTTAAGTGTGACGCAAACGAAGTTGCACAGGTCAGCTAGTCTTAAATATTTTTATAACGTTAACGATAAAACGTATAACTGTTAAAGTGTTATGGGAAACTTATTATAATGATGATATGTCTGTAACATATGGGAAGTTAATGAAGTTAACGTTTACGTCTTACACGACAATTGTACGACTTCATGTGGAATTGTTCTTTGGAAAAAACGAAAAAAATCGCAGTATGTTAGTTATGAAATATCTATGTAAAAATTAATCGAAGTATAAAGTGTTATTTTTGAAGAAAAATATAACACCGCCGTGTGTATACTTATAAAATATCTATGTACAAATTAATATAAGTATTTAAAATAATGAATTAATGAGAATTTGTATTATTTTAGAAATTACTTGTATTTTAACTACACTACTTGAAGCTGTTAAATTTTTTTAAATTGGTTGTCTGTACGAGATTGCCCTTAGCGATAAGGCCGCTTTTTGTAAAACACTTTTAATGTAATTTTATTGTTATCTTATTTAAATTCTCATATTTAAAGAATTATGCAAAATATTACAATAATTACAAATGCATTTAAATGACTACATTTAAAGAGACTTCCCTTTAACAAAAACATCTTAAGTGGTACCGACTTGGGCGCAAACCTTTCCTAAGCGCAAACATGCTTGTTTACTTTCAATTGTTGGCTTGAAACTGACACGTTTATATAAAAAAAATACTTCACTTTGTGTGCAATCTACCGTTCTATAATGGGATAAACTCGGCCACTATTTGTTGCTTTTAGTTAAGTAATCCCTATTGAAATGAATATAATAGTTGTTACCCTAAAAAATAACAATAAAAGACGGTAGGGTAAGTATACAAGCAAAGACATTCTTAGGACGTAAATTTTGTACCGATTTTAAAAAAGGGTATTAGTCCAGCCCACTACACTTTTAATGTTCTTTGCAGATTTAAAAACTCCCTTATTGAAAGGACTTACCGTACCCTTCAAATAAACCTTTATTTTTGTCCTTTGTCATTTACGTTTTTTAGAGAGAAACTTAAATTACACTATATTTTAATGATAATTGGTAATTATATACTTTAGTGGATTTTCTTATAATTTCAAATAACTTTCCGGCCTATATTAAAGTCAATATAGAAATTTACTATTTTAATTTATGGTGAGGAACGTCGTACCCGAGCGAAGCTAAGTAGACCTATCATTAACACGACCGTCCGATCTACAAAGATTTCTTTTATATTAGTAAATTTCTCGGAAGATACATCTAGCATAGATACCTACGAGTAATAAATCAAACATTTCAATTTGATTCCAGTGCACATAATTGGCTAAACCAGATCAAAGGCGGCTAGCTGAATGATCAAAGAGTTACAGCAGCAGTGTAACATAAACGGAGTTTTCAAAAAGAAATATTAATTGAAGCAGAACGCAGTTTCCTTTGATCGTAATCTTAATTTTTGGAACGGATAGATCTGTATGTGAAATTAATAAGCTTAACATTAGATGACGCTACTGGCGTGATACCAAATGAGTGTTGTTTAACCGACTTTAAAGAATAGAAATAGTCATTTTCGTATCAACTTTTAAGTATACCGGATACTACTTTTAAGTGATATATTTATTACGATTTATAATCGCTTTTAACGTCTACTTATAACTTAAATTTTTCTATAAGTCCTTACACAAAATCTCCGATCGATTCTCCGTTCAATTCGAACGGTGATCACAATTACGACGGCTTGAGCCGAGGTTCGAACCCCGAGCGATGCTCTCAGACTAAAGTCGTATCTGTCAGGCAGGAGTTGATCTTCCGCCGCTGTATAAATCCTTCTGCGAATTTAGAGTGCTATCCGGACTCACCCCTTATGGACCGGTGAAGCTGTAAAAGCCAGCTGGGACCAACAGTAATCCGAAAAATAATTATAACGGTACCAATAATGTGGACTAATGATTCCATTACTAGCAATATACCATGTCAAGTAGACCTCCACGCAGTACCCCTTGGAGTCCTTCTTGATAAATTCCTAGTGAAGTATTTACGAAATACATAAAAATATGTACTACATGATCATATTAACATGGTGGTCCCTCTTTCAATACAGTAATAACAGCTGGTGGGGAATTAAATATAAAATAATGTTGATGAAGTCAAAGCATAGAGATCGTCATAGCAAATAAAAAAAACCGTAATGATTTCCAAGCAACAGCGCTAGAACAGGGGAAATAGACCTTAGGGGAAATAAACCTACTACCCAATTATCGATACTACACCAATATTCCCACAAACCACACGGTAGATACTATGCTTCAGCGTACAACAAATTGATCAACTGCAACTTCTCAAGTGAGGCAACAATTTTTTTACCGAAACCAAATTCGTCTCAGTGAACGCCGAAACTCGTGATCCTAAGGCCGGTTCTCTGAATAGTTTTTGTTACTCGTGGCGTCAACGGTTCGACAATTATACGCGGCAGTGCCCGACAATCATCCATTGAAAAAGGAGCCCTATAAGGAAACCTTGACATGAGGGGAATTAAAAATTCTTAATCTTAAGGGCATGTGTCCCCGACTCCTTCATACAAAACGTGCTACTAAGATTTGAATAGTAGTACTAGTTATTTGAATTTTATTTAGTATCTAGGTTTAGACATTTTGTTTTGTTTGCACCAGTTATTACCCACTCAGTACCACATATCCCACTGTTTTAGGTTGACTGGGAGAGATCTCTTCTAGGGATAAGTCCACCTTTGCTCACATTGTCTCTAAATTATAATATCTTTGTATTATCTGTGCAATAAGGAATATATATATTTTGTCCAAAGTAACTAATATCAACGTTGCACACAGTACAATTTTCTTTAAACAAGTATTTTTAGAATTACACGTATATTTCGATTTTCATCAAAAAAGGATCTATCTTTAGCTTATCAATATAAACGCAGTTAAAATATATCAACAATGTGAGAAAAAATTAAAATTTTGAACTTGAGCAAGACATTGGAATTGCCATGAGTTTTCAAAAATTAATAAAATATTTTAAAATTTACTTTATAAAAGAGTAGTATATGTATATATATAATAGTATAGTATAGAGATATGTATAATAGTATAGTATAGAGAGTAGTTCGAGTAGAGTACGTAAAGTAAATATTTCGATGATAGCCATACTTTCGTATTGCTATCGCACTTAAATGATGGGAAATATTTGATACTTCTATCGCGCTTAGGTAAGGGGAGACAAAAGGTATTTTTATTGGACACACTCCTCTTAAATCAACTACCACCAACTTTGACGGACAGTAACTTTGTATCCAGTCGACTGCGTGCGTACCACCTACCACTGAATCACTTAATTCTGCCGCCGTTTCTTGCTTTGTAAGCTATCTGTCTGAAGGGTCCTGTTTGAATATTGCAGTGGAATTAAAGGGTATAGAGGAATAACAACTAAATTCTCAATAGCACCACATGAGAGTGCGGTGTTTCTTCAATGGCATGTCTATAACGGTCACTATTTTCCATCAGGTAGGCGATCAGTTTGTTTATCATTCATGTATTTACTAGGTATGAATGTATTAAACCAGTATTTTTGTTGAATTAAAACAATACCTTTGCTTTCAAACATCTAAACTATAAGAACAAGTTTTTCATATAATGTATTTTGTTATAATACAATTTGCTAATTTGATTGTCAGTGTATGTTATTGAATATTAGGAGATAGGTTGGTATAACATTTCAAATTAATGATGTTAGATATATGTGCATATATGTAAAATAGTTTGTAATTTTTTATACATTGTCCGTTCATACATAAAACTACATAAATTGTTCCATCTTATATTTGCAAAGTTGAGAACAGATAGTCATGTAACTTCTTCGGGGTAATTTATCTTTTTATAAATACTTATTATCGTACATAATTTAGTTAGAATAGAGAGACCTCCAAGTTCGGTGTTTTGTTTTATTTCCGTGACATCCGTCAACGTTTAGGCAAAAACAAGTCTCAGCGTCGACCTTGCCATTGTCTCTCAACTCAACCCGTCGTTTATGAGTTTTTGTCTTCAACTTCGATTTCAATGCCCCGAGCACGAGAACTGCCCTTTGTAAAAATATTATTCACAGCGCTACGTTCAACATATATTTCAACAGTATTAAATATACCGCACGCAATGTCGTCGTAGATATAGCTTTATGTTTGGAATTACCAAAATGCGTAACAATTATTAAAAAATGTACTTACGTAATACTAATTTGGACGACCTCGGTCACTGGATATGTATCACTGAATAATTTAAAAACTTTTTAAATCTTAATTCTAATATTAATAACTTACATCCACTTTACTATGAACATATAAAGAAGTTTTAAAATTAACTGACGTTTTCGTAAAAGGAATCACGTCTAAAATTTTTTACACAGTGCCTAAAATGTAACATCCCCCGTCCAATTTAAAGAGTGCCCTCAGACTAAGACTTGGAGTGCCATTCGTGGGTTTGGAGTGCCATCTGCACTTGCCCCCTATCATCCTGTGAAGCTGTAAAAGCCAGATGAGGCCAACAACATTAGAGAGTAGTCCGAATAAAATGCTACGATGTTAATAATTTGTTTCTCTTTGTTCCAGATGGGCGGGTTCGTTGGCATATTGGCCAGCGGATGTTCGGTCCACGCTCGCTTCCTGCTATGTTCGGCGTTCGCTCCTCTCTGCACCGAACAGGTCTCGGGCTCTGTCAGCGCTTGCAGAGCGCTCTGCGACACTGTAGTCGAAGACTGCAAGGAACAACTGAAACTACTGAGCATCACTATCGACTGCTCCGCATTTCCCAACAGTGCTGATAGAAAACTCTGTATGAGACCACCAAACGCCAGCGAGCTGGAACCTGAACCGCCTCCGCCGCCCCGTTGGTTCTTTCAGGAACACGAATTGAGAGAACATGGCTGTCCGCCAGCGTACACTCGAGCACCGACAGGTGAATGCTGGCCGTCATGTGGACACCATGCCAGATACAGTCAAACCGATAAGAGGTCCACTGAAATATGGATGACGACGCTAGCTTGGTTCTCGCTCCTGTCAACCTCTTTTGCCCTACTGACATTTTGTGCGGAACCTTCAAGATTCCGGTATCCGGAGAGACCTGTAGTGTGGATGGCGGCGTGTCACGCTATAGTAGCCCTTTCCTACGTGACGAGGAGTTGGCTAGGTGCAAAAATGGTTTCCTGCGCCGGTACCACACTCGCAGTCGATGGTCTAGCGTCGCCGACTTGCGTCGCTTTCTTTTCACTCACCTACTACTTCACACTGGCGGCGGACGCGTGGTTCGCGAACGCCTGCGTCGCGTGGTACCTGACGGCTGCCAGCGAGTGGTCCAGCGAAGCGCTGGAGCGCGCCGCTGCATACTTACACGCAGTGGCGTGGGGCTGGGCCGGTGCCTGGACTGCAGCGGCTCTAGCGCTGCGGAGGGTCACAGCAGACGAACTGACGGGAACATGCGGAATATCGGACGCAGCGGCTGCAGCACTTATCGGAGTTCCCCGCGGTGCTTTGCTACTGACGTCGATAGCATTGGCAATAGGCGCATGTCCGGGGATAATGAGAGTAAGACGGGTGTTGGACTCTAGAGGAGCGAAGAGGGTAGGGAGACTCGCGGCACGAGCGGCTGCCGCTGGAGCCTTATATTTCATATTGGCTACGGCCGGTACTGTCGCAAGAGTGGTGGAGGCTCGCATGAGGGAGAGTCAAAGCGAGCTGGCGATACTAGCTGCGTTGGAGACAGGTGCGGAGACGATTGACGCGAGGGTGGGCGCGGGGGGAGTGTGGGGGTGCGTGTGGCTGTGCGGGGGGGTGGCGGCGGGCGCGTGGGCGTGGTCACGCAAATCAGCCGTGGTGTGGCGACGCGCGCTGTGTCCGCCGAGGAAGGCTCCGTGCTGTTCGCCGCCGCTGCTACGCCCGCACCACCCCTACTACAAGAGACCGCTGCACGTCTCCAGGGTATGACGGTTGTGAAAATGTCTCAAAGACTGCGTACACGTCTCAAAGACTCACATAGTGTAGTGAACTCAAAGTGCCTATGCCTTCTGTGAAGGCGCTCTCGATTGTAAATAACTTTATGTACATAATATTGTAAATGTTATAATATAATGTTGAATTTTATAGAACTATCTGGTTTTATTTCTTATATCGAATAACATAATCTCCTATACTACATACATGCTAGCTACATATTTTTAAATATACTGAATATAGAATATCAAATGATCAGTACCTGATGGTAGATATGAATTAAGTAAGTTCATTACCCTAAACTCTAGTGGGTTCCTTCTAATATTTATAGACCTCAAGGATCGTGAGATCGAATGTGGCCGACATCAGACCTAAGTATTAATTTTAAATTTCAAATAAAACAAATCAATTTCACATATCAGTTACATACAACACAACGTCATCAATGACAAAAGCCGGTGACTAACCTATCTGGAATTACAGTCGTAAGGATATACTGACAGACCAGTAATGCTTACTGGTTGACAGTAAATCTTTTTTATTATTTATTCACGACCCTTCAGTTACACATTTTTATGTAAATCATCATCTGCTTCTTTCTTTTCCCATTTATTTGTGGTCGGCGGAATATGTTTTTCGCTTCCATTCATCCCTGTTCGCAGTCATCGCGTTATTTACTTCCTTTCTTACCATATCATCTTTCACACAGTCCATCCATCTTTTTTTCGGCCTTCCTCTGCCCTTATAACCATCCACATTCATATGTAACACCTTTCTTAAAATATTATCCTCGTTCCTACGCATTACATGTCCATACCATGATAGACGATTACTCTTCAACCTCTCTGACACCGGTGCCACTTTCATACTTCCTCTAATGTATCCATTCTTGTCACACCACACATCCACCTCAACATTCTCATTTCAGTTGCATGCAGTCGTCTTTCATCCGTCGCCTTTTCGTAAATATATACATTTTTATGTAAATACAAGGAACATTTATACTTATAAAACCATTACATAAGCTGCAGCAGAAATACGTTTTCTGAGATAGCCAGATGGGTAATTACTGGTTGGTAAGAAAATACAACAATGTAATAAACACTTTTTATTAATAAATGGTAAACATATATTACACTGATATTACAGTAATTACATATATCTCTCTATACACAATGAAATAATTACACAATTTACATGTTTCCCCCTATTCATAATAAATTATTAATAAATATTGCGACAATATTAGGAAAACACCCAGTTATCCATAAAAAATTAACACTGGCTAATCCATTAAAAGCTGTGGTAATGTTTTGTCCCTTTTCTTCAAATGAACATGTTAGTTTAAAGGAAAAGAGCAAAACAATTCAATAGCTAAAATATGATATAATTACACGTTTATAAAGGGTTATACTCAGCACGTTACAGAATGGTGCAGGTGACAGATATTATGGCAATTATTAATATATGGGGAATTTAAAGAATAATTATTTTTCACATATTTTACCACAAAACATCATTTTGTTACTTTAGGAACCAGAGCACAAAGAATAATGTATATATACTACAATTGTATACTAAGAGGAAAGTATTGATTATATGTGTACGTTTGTAAAGTTTACAAAAAATACTTTATGAATATTTTAAATTCTTTTTAACCTATAGTAAGGTAGGCGATATCAGATTATCAGTGACAAACATAGGCCGCGCAGGCAGTGCTAATTTCTAATAACAATTATCAGTATAAAAAAAGTAACTGATTTTATTCAATGAACCGTCTTAAATAATTAACCTGTCACTCACACCATATCATAAAGCATACGTAGACTAGTATACGTAGATATTTAGGGCCTATGCTCACGAATAATGTGTAAATTACGCTGAAACGCAGAAATTATGCTGTCCACAGACTAAACATTATGTTTGTTTTAAATTCTTCTTCACGTTTATTTACAATTGTACACATTATATAACGGGTAATTGCAGTGATTGTTTTCTTGGGCCAAATCACCGTAACCACAGTGCTTATAACAGAGTCGCGATATCGGGAGCTCGTAAAAAACAATAATAATAATAAATATATCGTTTTATAATGTGTATTAATAATTGTAAAGTGAATTTGTTGTTATTTACATTAATAAATACATAAAGAAAATACTGGAATGTTATTTAGAGGGAATTAGTAATATAAAACATATTCATAGGCCATATAATATTAAATATTTAAACTAATATAAACACTATTTTGTATATATTTTTCAACAAAAAATACTTTATACATAGAATATTAAAACTCCTCTACTAAATATGATTAGATATTGAACAATATTGAATTTAAATGTTCATAAGATTTGTCATTGAAGTATTTTATCCCTTTCTTTCAATGTATATACTCAATTTGAAAGAAAGGGAGAAAACAACTATTAACTAAAAACAAAGATTGATGTTGTTATGAATGTAAACTGGGTCCAAATATAAAATAACAATTCATTAGGCATAGAACAATATTTTCAATATTTACAACTAAACAAACATTGGTAGATTTATTCAAATTAGGGGCCTACCATAAATTACAGAATTTTGTCATTTATTTACTCCTCCCGCCTTGTAACAACTGATCACATATGTGAGACTAATAATGTGACACAAATTTTGCTACTTTACACTGTTAAACCGATTGTACACTTATTTACAATACAATTTAAACCTTATGCTTATATAAATGAAGTTTATATAAGCATAAGGTTTAAATATTTTTATTATTTAATAGTTCAAATTTCATGTTTTAATGCGTAGTGGAGACGTTTTGATATCAGGACCTCCTTCACGCCTTGTCACAAAATGTCACACTGTCGACTTCCTCCATCTCTCTCAAAGTTTTACGTAATTTATGATGGGCCCGTATCATGTGTTTAAAATTAAAAAACATGGTCTACCTTTCCGGACCGTCCAACTAGCTAAATGCCGCGGGATTGTCCGTGTTAATTCATGCAAATTGTATATGTGTTAATACAGGATATGATCTATTTGCTTCAACAATTTTAACTTTTTTTTAATTAACAGTAATTTTTAAAGTTTGCTGTACCATTTTAAAATAACTACAACCACGTACCTACATCACACTCGGAAGCGAGCTATCCTTCCTGTGATGACATCAACACGTCAAAAACTTCAGAACTCTTCTCGTTGACTGAACCGAAGTAGCTCGAAAAGTTGAATAAGCTAGGCTCCGTTCTCACATTATCTGTTGAACCAAATTGAGCTTTATTTTTACTATGCATTGGCGTCGTATTTGCACTGTACGACTTTTGCCTGTCTAAAACAGTGAGGAGAGGATTACGGTTGTCCTTGTCAGGTTCAGGTACAGTTTGATCAGTGGGCGACAAACTTTCCGGGTCGTATAGGGTTGCCTCTTTAGGCGATACTTCCTTGGATTCATTATATGGATTTGTTAGGTATTCTGCATATAAATCGCTCTGCTGTACATCCTTATCTTTAGGCACTATATTTTCTTGAGTCTCGTTATTTTGAGATATAATTTCTATGTTGTAGGAATTAGTTTCATTTTTCAGTGTGTCCGGTTGCTGCTGCGTCTGTATGAGCTCTGTCGTTGTTCGTGGGTATAAAATTGGTATTTGAGACTGTATTGAAATGCCAATAGGGGTCGATATCATCTGAAAACGAGAAATATAGTATAAAAACAAAGTTGTATAGACAAGTAAGTATTTTGGTATGTATTTCAAATTACAAAACTGACTGCGTGAGTACTGTCGACTCATCTATTTCTGTTATCGAGTAGCTTATTTCGTAATCTGTAACTGTATTTCGGTTTGAATTGTGATATACAACAAAAACAACAGTAATAATATCTCCTGACATACAGCGCCATCTAGTCTCCAGCTAAGCAGAGCTTGTGTTATGGGTACTAGACAACCGATACATCGATAGAAATAGAAAGGTCTGTATCGCGCGAGGAATCGAACCTGCGACCATCGGAAGTAAGGCTGTGTGATAAACCGCTATACCGACGGAAATGGTAACACATGAGATGTACCACAGGTGTCACGTGTACTGTCACAGTCCTGTAGAGCTATTCTGTAAGCATCACTTACGAATTCGAAAGTGGAATCCGCAGTTAGATTTTACATAAGTATTCTGTAAAACTCAATAGCGACTGCAGTGCCACATGCTCGAGAGCGAGCTGGAGGTAAAACAGGCACAAGTGATTTTTTTTTAAATATTGCCTATATTTAAAAAAAAATCACTCAATGAAAAAACTCGATAGCAATTTTATATTTGACAGCTCAGTAGGAATTTTATATTTGACAAGTGATATAAGTGCCTTGAGCGATGAGTGAAATGCAACTCGCTTCACTAAAGCGCTTACCGACCAGTACTGATTTACAGTAACTTACCTCATTTAACGGCTGCAGAAGAACAGACGATGTCAAGCCGGTTTGATCGTACAAGGGATTCCGGATAGGAACCATACCGCTTATAGGTGTCGCCGTTACAACCGTATGTGTGTTGGTCGCCGACGGCGGACTTTGGCTTAAATTTATAGGAGAATGAACACTTTGTGAACGTGTTTGGGTCGAATATTGATTGGACGCAGTTTGATGAGACGTTGGTATTAGAATGTGAGGTTGGGCCAATTGATTCGCTGTTGGTATTTGAGGTTGGCTCAAAGTAGTTGGGACGGGTAAAATGGTTGGCGTATTGGGTCCGACTGGCACCAAGGTTGGTAATGTAGACGGCAGCGTTGGCTGCATGTGGCTTGGCAATCCAGAAGGCTTGGTATCTTTAGCTGGAATGTGCAATTAAAAAAATTGAGAACTAAAGAAATTATTTTTACTATAAAGAATTACTACGATAAGAAGGAATAAACAAATAAAACACAAATTAATTTAATGTCTTCTTCAGTTATGACCTTTTCGTTCCATAAGCTATCAGTATCTACAACTACGTAAATACGTAGGTACGTACGTACGCACGAAGCTGACTAAACAATGAAAACTCATGTTAGGTTGCTGGTATACAGTTAGTCAGTACATAGATGAAGTAGACTAAAAATAAAAACTCGTGTTAGGTTGCTGGTATAAAGTCGGTCTGTAATCAAATTGTTAAATGAAAACTCGTGTTAGGTTACTGTTATACAGTCGGTCTGTCATCAAATTGTTGATTGACTAATATTATGACAAACTTCAATTGGCGATGTCTTCTAAAATATATTCCAGCGACCTAATACTGTTGATCCTTTCTACTATTGTATAAGATGCAACAGATTTCGTACTACTTACCTTCAGGGAACAATTCTTCCTTCAAATTCGGTAGAAACTCTCCTATCTTGTCCCACGTTATATACCAGAGATCGTTGTATCCATCTCCATTACTAAATATCTGTAATAAGAAAAGAATCATCAAAATCTATTTATAACTGATTAAATTATCTGATCTATATTCTTCGTTGCCCTCTTAGACACAACGGTAATTAGAGATCATTACACAGTATAAAAACAAAGTCGCTGTCGCTGTCTTTCCGCCCCTATGTATGTATAAATCTTGAAAAGTACGCAACGGATATTGAAGCGGTTTTTTTTAATAGATAGGGTAATTCAAGAGGAAGGTTTTTATATATAATACATGTATTCTTTTATACTACTATGGTAGCAAACAAGCATACGGCACATCTGATGGTAAATGGTTACTGCGTCCATAGGCTATATGGACGCCCGAAACACTAGGGGTGTAACGTGCGCGTTGCCGACCCTTAAGATACCCTTCTTGAAAAACCCTATGCTGTAGTCTCGTAAGAAAACCTCGGCAGGAAGTTCATTCCACAATCTAAGTGTACGCGGATATCTATGTATTGTACTTTTTAAATACAAATATTCAAATACATTTTAAAAATTTTATTTGCAAAGGAGGGCTTATCTCTAAAAGAGATATCTTCCAGTCAACCCGCGTCAAACAGCGTAACACAGGAAGCAGTGTGATATAGTAGAGAAGTGCAAATAATAAAAGAAAAGATAAATAGATAATGTGAATAAGAAATACAGGTAGGTAGAGGTAGAGAGAGGAACGGAAAGGGAGATAGATAGAGAAAGAGAGTTAGAGTGACCTTGACGGAGTCCATGACGAGCAGCATGTTCTTGAGCGCCTCCAGCACGGCCTCGGTGAGCGCGTCGTCGGCGGGCGGCGCCAGCAGCGCGCGCTGCAGCCGCACCACGCGCACCCACACCGCGCAGAACGACGCGCGCGCGCTCAGCGCCGACAGGTGCTGCAGGAACACCTGCCACCACCCACGCTCTTAGCACCTCACTCCCACCTCACACGCGCGGACTAATGCATATCTAATGTAAGCAAACCCAACGTCAAATGCCACACGCGTTTCCAGCTCACGCAAACTGCAGTCTACGATTGTGCGTGCTTTAGCGTCTTTTGTAACAATTAATTATCATTGCGAAATGGCAAGCAATGTGCTGAAGAAATATCTTTGCCTCATAGGCAAAGATATTTCTTCAGTTATTCATTATTTATAAATATTAACCGTATCTTAGGAAAATAAAAACGGTAGAAATAAAATTTACACAAATGTATCAATGTATGTATGTATCCGTCTACTATTGCCTGGTACGGACGGGCGGTACCTTGCACATGATGGTGTTGGCGCGCGCGCGCAGCGGCTGCAGCGGCTGCAGGCGCTCGAGCAGCGGGAACAGCACGCGCTGGAAGCACGCCTCCCAGCCGGCCGCCGCCAGCAGCGCGCGCCGCAGGTACTGTTGTATGGTGCGGTGCGGGCGGTACCTTGCACATGATGGTGTTGGCGCGCGCGCGCAGCGGCTGCAGCGGCTGCAGGCGCTCGAGCAGCGGGAACAGCACGCGCTGGAAGCACGCCTCCCAGCCGGCCGCCGCCAGCAGCGCGCGCCGCAGGTACTGTTGTATGGTGCGGTGCGGGCGGTACCTTGCACATGATGGTGTTGGCGCGCGCGCGCAGCGGCTGCAGCGGCTGCAGGCGCTCGAGCAGCGGGAACAGCACGCGCTGGAAGCACGCCTCCCAGCCGGCCGCCGCCAGCAGCGCGCGCCGCAGGTACTGTTGTATGGTGCGGTGCGGGCGGTACCTTGCACATGATGGTGTTGGCGCGCGCGCGCAGCGGCTGCAGCGGCTGCAGGCGCTCGAGCAGCGGGAACAGCACGCGCTGGAAGCACGCCTCCCAGCCGGCCGCCGCCAGCAGCGCGCGCCGCAGGTACTGTTGTATGGTGCGGTGCGGGCGGTACCTTGCACATGATGGTGTTGGCGCGCGCGCGCAGCGGCTGCAGCGGCTGCAGGCGCTCGAGCAGCGGGAACAGCACGCGCTGGAAGCACGCCTCCCAGCCGGCCGCCGCCAGCAGCGCGCGCCGCAGGTACTGTTGTATGGTGCGGTGCGGGCGGTACCTTGCACATGATGGTGTTGGCGCGCGCGCGCAGCGGCTGCAGCGGCTGCAGGCGCTCGAGCAGCGGGAACAGCACGCGCTGGAAGCACGCCTCCCAGCCGGCCGCCGCCAGCAGCGCGCGCCGCAGGGACTGTTGTATGGTGCGGTGCGGGCGGTACCTTGCACATGATGGTGTTGGCGCGCGCGCGCAGCGGCTGCAGCGGCTGCAGGCGCTCGAGCAGCGGGAACAGCACGCGCTGGAAGCACGCCTCCCAGCCGGCCGCCGCCAGCAGCGCGCGCCGCAGGGACTGTTGTATGGTGCGGTGCGGGCGGTACCTTGCACATGATGGTGTTGGCGCGCGCGCGCAGCGGCTGCAGCGGCTGCAGGCGCTCGAGCAGCGGGAACAGCACGCGCTGGAAGCACGCCTCCCAGCCGGCCGCCGCCAGCCCGCTCAGCGCCGGCGCCAGCAGCGCGCGCTGCAGGTACGCCACCGCGCTCCGGGCCACCTGCGCATAGTGCAACATTCTAGTCATTTCAATTTCGAACAGGCGCTGGACCTCCTCCATGATAAGTAAGAAAAAACAAAAGAAAGAGAAAACAATAAAACTCAAGTTAGAGGAACAACAATAAAAGAGAAGTAATACACTGCAATTCAGTCACCTGGGAACGCATAGGCCCAGACAATATTGCTGGAGACACCATGATGCCTATGCAAATTTCTAAGAATTCCAAATTCCGACTGTTATTGAATTTACACCCATTTTGCGATACGTGTTTCGCCTCTCAATGAGACTCATGCATCAATCATCAATGAATAGAGTTCGGATATAGTTCGGAAGCCCACATTTGTCGAAACATGTTCGTCGTACATGTTTCGACAAATGTGCGATGAAAACTAACATCTAACATCTGATTTACAACTGCATTAGAATTTTCATTTCTTACCTGTTTCCGTCTGTCGGTGCAAAACTCCGCGATTCCCTGTAAGAGCGGCATCCACGCCACCTCCCATAGATCATATTCCTCGGCTTGTGCTTGGTCCGCTTCATCACGCCACCACTTGAAGATTTGAGCGGTGCGACTGTGCAGCGTGTGCATTAGATCCAACAACTAGAATAACAATATATAAACAATAAATACTTAATTTGTTCAGCAGAAACACTGAGATCCCTTAACTGAATTTGAAAATACGGACAAATATTATATTAAGTCAATAATTATGATTTCAAACTTTAGTCCAATACAAGAATTAATACAACACTGACTGACTGACTGGACTGGTGACCCCATTGCTAGGCAGGAACAAGGGGTCTCCTGCCTGTTTTGGAGGCCCGCTTCTGCCATGACTCCACCGTTGTAGAGATCGATCGAGTTAGACAATCATATTTGTAAGGGTCACAATCAACTGAATAGATAAGGGCTAACCTGTATGCTAACTATATGGTACTGGTCGTGTGGGTCAAGTTCCTCGTCGCTGGAGTCGTCGTAGCGTCGTTTCGCAGAGCTCGGTCTTTGCTTTCGGCCGTCACGTGTCTTGTTCTTTTTGCCTGCAGAATGCGAAAATTTAAAGTATTAAACAAAAGTTAAATATAGCGGCAGTTGTAGGGCGTCACGTGCGCCACGTCGCGCACCAGCAGCGCAGCGCACACTGTACACACAGCGCACGAGAGAGAGAGAGAGAGAGAGAGAGGAGAGCGAGCACGCACCGGCGCGGGCGGCGGCGGCGGCCAGCAGGCGCACGGCGCGCACGGCGGCGCGGCAGTTGTAGGGCGTCACGTGCGCCACGTCGCGCACCACCAGCGCAGCGCACACTGTACACACAGCGCACGAGAGAGAGAGAGAGAGAGAGAGGAGAGCGAGCACGCACCGGCGCGGGCGGCGGCGGCGGCCAGCAGGCGCACGGCGCGCACGGCGGCGCGGCAGTTGTAGGGCGTCACGTGCGCCACGTCGCGCACCACCAGCGCAGCGCACACTGTACACACAGCGCACGAGAGAGAGAGAGAGAGAGAGAGAGAGAGAGAGAGGAGAGCGAGCACGCACCGGCGCGGGCGGCGGCGGCGGCCAGCAGGCGCACGGCGCGCACGGCGGCGCGGCAGTTGTAGGGCGTCACGTGCGCCACGTCGCGCACCACCAGCGCAGCGCACACTGTACACACAGCGCACGAGAGAGAGAGAGAGAGAGAGAGAGGAGAGCGAGCACGCACCGGCGCGGGCGGCGGCGGCGGCCAGCAGGCGCACGGCGCGCACGGCGGCGCGGCAGTTGTAGGGCGTCACGTCGCGCACCACCAGCGAAGCGCACACTGCGCCACGAGAGAGAGAGAGAGAGAGAGAGAGAGAGGAGAGCGCGCACCCCCAGCGCAGCGCACACTGTACACACAGCGCACGAGAGAGAGAGAGAGAGAGAGAGAGAGAGGAGAGCGAGCACGCACCGGCGCGGGCGGCGGCGGCGGCCAGCAGGCGCACGGCGCGCACGGCGGCGCGGCAGTTGTAGGGCGTCACGTGCGCCACGTCGCGCACCACCAGCGCAGCGCACACTGTACACACAGCGCACGAGAGAGAGAGAGAGAGAGAGAGAGAGAGAGAGAGAGGAGAGCGAGCACGCACCGGCGCGGGCGGCGGCGGCGGCCAGCAGGCGCACGGCGCGCACGGCGGCGCGGCAGTTGTAGGGCGTCACGTGCGCCACGTCGCGCACCACCAGCGCAGCGCACACTGTACACACAGCGCACGAGAGAGAGAGAGAGAGAGAGAGAGAGGAGAGCGAGCACGCACCGGCGCGGGCGGCGGCGGCGGCCAGCAGGCGCACGGCGCGCACGGCGGCGCGGCAGTTGTAGGGCGTCACGTGCGCCACGTCGCGCACCACCAGCGCCAGCGCCTCGCAGCACCGCGCCATCGCCGCTCCGTTGCAGGCGCGAAGCCGCACGTCCGCCTCCAGCGAGTCCGACTTCGTTTCTGGCTCGTTTTTCACCTGTGAGCCCCACAGTACAATGTTGCATTAGGTACGATCCCCCACACTTGAATTTATTATTATAATTTTAAGTATTTTAACCTAACTTCTTTTTATTGCGTCATATTGATAAGGTTGTAGATCCATCATTTTCGTGATACAAACCTAGCGAGTTTGTACATAAATCTCGCAGAATACTATTGTTCTTATCATCACATACAATTCTCTCATTTAGACATACAAGCACTAACTACAAACATGTTCGAGTTCGATATATACTCACTAAAATCCATCCTTGTGTTTGAGGCGAATGTGACAATTCACTTTCTGAAGACATACTCGTAGGACGTCTTTCACTTTCATCCTCAGAATCTTCAGAGCGACTTGATGCTAAAGAAAGTTAATGACATTATTAACAAAGTTGGTTTTTAAATATGATAAATATATAAAAAACAGAAATACTTAGTACCGAAGTTATTTAAAGCATTCACTAAATAACAGCAAATAAAAACAGTGCAAAATTCGTCAGCCGAGCTAGGTGTACCTCAAGGTACAATTATTGGACCCAGACATGTCACGTGACCGCAGCGTCACACACTGTAATGACGTAGTAAGTATTGGAGCTGGCCGAGACAGAGGCAGAGGCGGCGCGGACACAAACATGTCACATGACCGCAGCGTCACACAGTGTAATGAGGTAGTAAGTACCTGAGCCGGCCGAGGCGGAGGCGGCCCGCGGCCACGCGCCTGCGCCGGCGGCGCACAGCAGCGCGAACACCACGTCCCAGTCGGCGGCGCTGTGCACGTTCTGCGCGGACGTCTTCACCAGCTCGTACAGCCCGCACGATATCTGCGGATCGATTACGTCCTATTATATCTCATGCTACGACATGAACGTGAAAAGTAATCACATTTACAAAAAAATATCTATATTTCTATTAGTTATCTAGTATACATAAAACAAGCTCTACTTAGCTTGAACTTAGTGTGTGAATTTATTTATTATAGAAGAATCACGTTATACTATATGTTGACAAAATTTCTAAAATATACTGATCGACTGACAGGCTTTAACTAATAACAACATATAAAGACTAATTGTTTAAAGATCAAAAGCTCTAAAAAGAAACGTAGTCGCGGATAAGCCAGTAGAAACTAAACATGATACGTACGACTTCCGCCTGTTGGTAGAACAGCTTGTATGGCAACGAGAACAACAGTCGCAGGTGGTGGAGAGCGGGCGCGGCCGCCTGGTCGCAGCGCATGAGACGTGCCGCAGTACGCAACTGTGCAGTCAGTGCGCGCCGGGCAACATCTCCCGTCCCGCTCGCACTCGCTGCCCACGTCACTACGCGTCCCATGTGCGCGCTCGCTTCCTCCCATGTCGCCGATAGGCGGTCCCTGCGTGCGGAGAGAACATTATTGAAAAATCTATTTTAAATATATGCAGCATTAAGGTCGACATCACATAATATACCGCTACATTCAATAGGTAACCATTTGAAATTCTACTTTAAATATAATGCATTAAGGTCGAATTCACAAAGTTTTGTTCAAGAATTTTACACTCGTACTCTCCGCCCACGTAACGGCAGTCCCTATGTACGCGCTCGTTCCTTCCACGTCGCCGATAGGCGGTCCCTGAACACGCACTGTTCATGGTAGGAAAATCTACCTTAAATCTATGAAGCATTAAAATGAAAATCACATAATATCTTATCGTTCGTTCATGAAATATATTATGCGTGTAAAAACTAAGGCATGCCTCGTGCACTAAATCACATTACACATTCATAGGCAAAAGTTTACATTGATATCTCCAACTTAGTTACCTTTACCCCATATTAACATTCCAATATTTTTTATCATATGTCACTATTGAATCCAAAGTTTACAAGTCAAAAAGCTAACATTACACTCACCGATTCTGTATAAGAGTCTGTCCCAGTAACTCTAGGAAGAAAATGGTGATATCTTCCAACTGTGGGTTCGCCTGGAGACTTTCAGCATCTGGAGGGGTTCCTACCGCTATCATGGCTCGTACCAGTTCCTAAACATAAAAAAAAAATATCTAGTACACCTAGTACGAGCTCTGTTCACTTTAGTAGATTCTGAAGACATCACAAAATAACATCATTTGTTAAAGGAACTATAGTCTCAACATATTTCTTTCTTACATAACTATTGCTACTAAACCATAGACAAATAAGTCAATATAATAAGTTTTATTACCTGTAAGCTTTCAACTTGTAAGAATTTAGTCTCCGTGACTAGTAGACTGGGCAGGTTGCACTTGGCAACACATTCTGTAGCCACTTCAATTAGGGCTTTCTCGTGTGGACTTGGAGCCCGCATGCCTGTCAAGAAATAATAAAAAGTAATACAATTTTCCTCAGTACTGTAATTATTAACTGAGGTAATCAGAGGCATCTAGTACCGACATGGTAGCGAAAGTAAGACAGGTCCATATTTGCATTTGAGTGATAGTCTAGTCAGTATGATTGGTTTAGAAACAATTTTAGGATCATTGGGATGTTCATAGTATACTACTGGTAGTCCGTAGTGTATCATCATAGCCTGGTACCATATAAGGTGCGGCGCAACCTAGTCCTCCCCCGCAGTAGTGCGGGCCACACGTACCTGTCTCCCCGAGCGCGATGTACGAGTAGATGCTGGACAGCAGCCCGGCGTCGGGCCCGCGCGGCGCCGCCCGCACCAGCGCCACGCGCCCGCCCGGCGCCAGGTAGTCCTCCGCCTCCACCATGCACTGCAGCCCACAATTCTAATTTAGACTCATTTCTATTAATCATTAAATAGGTACATGGTAAAGATCTATAATACACAACGTTTTAGAAGAACACCGATCGTCTCAGTAAGGTCGTGATGACCAGTCGGCTGCGCCTTCACTGCAGAGATAGGAGAGCGACGTAGAGCGCGCGCAGCACGTCGAGCAGTGCCTTCACTGCAGAGATAGGAGAGCGACGTAGAGCGCGCGCAGCACGTCGAGCAGTGCCTTCACTGCAGAGATAGGAGAGCGACGTAGAGCGCGCGCAGCACGTCGAGCAGTGCCTTCACTGCAGAGATAGGAGAGCGAGGGAGAGCGCACCTTGGGCAGCAGGCGCGCGACGTAGAGCGCGCGCAGCACGTCGAGCGGCGCCTTCACTGCAGAGATAGGAGAGCGAGGGAGAGCGCACCTTGGGCAGCAGGCGCGCGACGTAGAGCGCGCGCAGCACGTCGAGCGGCGCCTTCACTGCAGAGATAGGAGAGCGAGGGAGAGCGCACCTTGGGCAGCAGGCGCGCGACGTAGAGCGCGCGCAGCACGTCGAGCGGCGCCTTCACTGCAGAGATAGGAGAGCGAGGGAGAGCGCACCTTGGGCAGCAGGCGCGCGACGTAGAGCGCGCGCAGCACGTCGAGCGGCGCCTTCACTGCAGAGATAGGAGAGCGAGGGAGAGCGCACCTTGGGCAGCAGGCGCGCGACGTAGAGCGCGCGCAGCACGTCGAGCGGCGCCTTCACTGCAGAGATAGGAGAGCGAGGGAGAGCGCGCGCAGCACGTCGAGCGGCGCCTTCACTGCAGAGATACGTAGAGCGCGCGCAGCACGTCGAGCGGCGCCTTCACTGCAGAGATAGGAGAGCGAGGGAGAGCGCACCTTGGGCAGCAGGCGCGCGACGTAGAGCGCGCGCAGCACGTCGAGCGGCGCCTTCACTGCAGAGATAGGAGAGCGAGGGAGAGCGCACCTTGGGCAGCAGGCGCGCGACGTAGAGCGCGCGCAGCACGTCGAGCGGCGCCTTCACTGCAGAGATAGGAGAGCGAGGGAGAGCGCACCTTGGGCAGCAGGCGCGCGACGTAGAGCGCGCGCAGCACGTCGAGCAGCGGGCGCCAGGCGGCGCGCACGCAGTCTGCGTGGCGCGCGGCCACGCTGCACGCGCGCTGCAGCGCCAGCTGTGCCTTCGTCGACTGCCCCAGCGCCACGCCTGCGCACGCGCACGCACATGTACTTCCAAGACATTAGTGACATTAAATTATGAATTATAGACATCGGCTGGGACACAGTAGATCATTGTTAATGCGGACTAATGACGCATTACTAGCAATGTATCATGTCAGGTCGACCTCCACATGGTTCCCTCGGGAAACCGTGATAAGTTCCTAGTGAATTTGTCACGATGGGTTAAGTGACTTGACCTCATTCTCAGCTTATCCTCCACAAGTGTCGCGTCAGCATAAATCGTCAGCGCAGGCGGGAGCACAATTCCATTATCATCAATTAAATAACTGCGGTACTCTCTTCTTTCTCACAAGTGGTTCAACTAAAAATTGGCTAATAGCAACAACAATGGCCAGAGTACGTACGTACGTACGATAACGTAAATTTTATCTACCATCACGTAATTCACGTAGAGTGTATTAGGGTAGAGAGTTAAAGAGTATATAGTCATAACAACAAGTATAAGTTAGAGTAGCGACATGTAATAATACACAAGTTCCAACCCTACAGTGTTTACTCTCACAGTTGGTTCTGTCATCACAGCCACAAGAAGAATAATAATATAAATAATATAACGTGAGTAGTGCAGCGTACCGATGTGTACATAAGAGGCTTGCGGGGGCGCCAGCAGCCCGGAGAACTTGCAGAGCGTGAGCAGCAGCGTGTCGAGCGTGAGCGTGTCGCAGGGCAGCCGCGCCTGCAGCGAGGCGCAGCGCTGCAGGCCGCGCAGCGCCGCCAGCGCGGGCTCGGCCCCCCCGCCGCCGCCCGCCCGCCCCTCCCCCTCCGCCTCCCCCTCGGCCGCGTCCTCGTCTGCGGGCGCACGCGATGGCGGCGGTGCGCGCTCGAACGCCGCCGACAACGCGCTCACCTGACGTTACCAAATAGAAAGACTGGCTAATCTTATGGAGCGCTTGAAGATACGTCTACCAGGGTAAGTTGTCACGCCTTCATACTTCGTATGATGTAGTGTATTAAAAGTAATTTTATTTTCTCTACATGTTAGAGAAAATAAAATTAAACTCACGGAGCGTTTGAAATTACCTCTACGTGGCTAAGATGTCACGCATTCGTACTCTGTAATTTCTCTGACACGTCTCCATTCTTCATATCTCAATATAGGTTCCAAGGAAAATTGCATAGTAGCAGAAATATCTAGGGATAATTTGTACTTTAAAGTAATACAATTCCTACAGTATCATTTTGTTTGAATTTAATATATATTTTTTTTAAATGTACATGTGTATTCAGATTTATTGTCATATTATAATAGAGATATTAGTACATATCATGCAAGAACCGACCGCCGCCGTAAATCGCTAAACTACCGACACTATTAAATTCAAAAGTTGAATTTAGATATAACTGATATATAATATTTTAGCTGACATATAGAATATGTATCAGTCGTCTATAAGCTATGGTAATAGTTTACCATCATATAGGCTGTATGCTTTTCACCATTGTAGTATAAAAAAAGCAATTTGTGAACACGGTAGAAGTGAAACTTCAACGGACAAAATGGCTGAGGACTCTAGCGGACTACCCGCTCTCCGCACGCCTCGCGACTGCCGTTGTCCTTTGTATGCCGACACCGGCCTTTCTCATCCTTTCACAATGCGATACATTGTCCCCCCCTCCCCTCCTCTCCTACCACGTGTCGGTAACACTTTCATGACAAACAAAATTATAATACAACCCGTCTATATAGAAGTTTCACTTCAATAAATGTGTAATTCGATGGAACGAGTGTGACCCAGTATTAGGTGACATAGAAGTTTCACTTAAAGAAATGTAAGGAGTGGGTGTGTACGCACGACGGGCGGGCAGGCGACGGCGAAGAGCCGGGCGTAGTGCTGGTGGCGGGCGGGCGCGGCGCGGTAGGCGGCGGCGGGCGCGGCGCCGCGCCGCTGCAGCACGCGCCACAGGTACGCCTCGCGCACCGCGCCCACGCGCTCCGCGGGCATCACCATCTCCTCGCCCCTGCACACGCACTACCGTCATTACTGCTCCATCACTACGGTCCGGTCGCTCGAAGTTTGCGTTTCTGACACGTCGGGATCGATTGGGCGATCATACTTTGAACGTACATTTACGGCTCATTTTTAAATTATTTTTGAATGAGTGACAACATTAAAAATTTAGTAAGTATTCCAACTCACAATAAACGTATTAATTTTGGGATAGAATGTATATAGTAAGTCAATTCAAAGTTCCATCGCCCGACCTGTCAAAAACGTAAACTCTGAGCAGCCAGACTGTACCTGCCTCTACGTAACTGTACGTACGCTTACAAGCGAATCGACATTCACACTGAACAATGAGCATGTAAATAGACAATTAACTTAGCCATACACGCTATATAAAACATTGATTTTACAAAAATAAATAAAGTACAACTATTACACATAGGAAAAAATTAAAATTACTACTAGCTGCCTTTACAAGACTTTTCATTTTCTCATTTTCTTTACCTACACTTACATGCTCTTTCTTTACTGCGTGAGACCGCGTGAAAGAGCGTACGTGTAAAAGCGGCTATAAACGATTTGAATGTTCTCTGAAAATCCAGTAATAAGTTGCACTCTACGAGTTCTATATAGCCCAGACTATGTATCCTACATTGCACCATACACATATACCTATAAAGTGCTCTTGTTATCTCAAGTAAGGCAAATATGTGTATATGTACTCACAGCTGACAGATTTTAAAATTAACATTTTATGAAAAAAACATTGAATTCTAACAATGAAATTCTAAAATAGTCTTCCGCTAAATAAATAAAACAACAGAAAGATATCCACCAAAAAGATTTTACAATAAACAGTAAGGTGACTATATAAAAACGTAGTTTATTTGAATAATCAAATTACTAAATATATTCCCTTGCTGGAATTTTTAGCTAGAAAATTTCAAGTCAGAAGACTCATTCTTCTACAGATGAATACTACGTCACGGAAACAATCCACTCACTTGATCGAATGAAAGATCGCCTCCAACATGGATTGATCGAAGTCACCGGAGCCGTTGCAGCCCCTCAGGTTCCTGACGAAGTCTTCCACCGTCATCGGGACATTGAGCTTCTTGGCGTTGTGGTTGTGTTGGTCCATATTTAACATAATGACTGCGTATGCAAGCCGAAACGCCGCGTCCGTGTTCGCGAATGGTTCGCCGTTTGTGCTCTAAAAGTACATTAAACTCAAAATAATATTGTTCAAAATCTACCCTGTACCATCGTAAGCACAGATTATTATATTAGAGTCCGTTAGTTTCTGTTCCCGCGCTTTGCCTTCCCCTCCCTTACGTAGTACTGAACTGACTGTATGGTGGCCATGACGCGCGCGCATTGTGTTGTGAATTAAAATAAATTAGAACTGTGTTAAACCTACTGTAAAGCTAGCGAAGATATCTTCGAGACCCTGAAGCCCAAGAAATCCGCAGAACCATACAGGTACGTGACAGACTTTTCCACACATATTTTTCCCTATATATATATACATAGTATTTTCCCTAACATTTTGGTAGCAGAGAGTAATTTCCCTAACAAATATCATATATAATAATAATCTCGGGACACGTCGCTGTGTGAAGAGGCGTCTAAACCTAAATTAAGCTAGCTAAAGCTCGTGTTTTAGGTTCTAGATAACGGATACAAATACATCGTTTTTTTTTACATGCATACATAGAAAACATCCAGACCGATACAAACAAATCATGCTCAAGAAGAAGGTGTTAAACCTTAGTTTTCTGAATGAACAGCACTTCATGTATTGCCAACGCGCGAATGGTTGTTTATCTACATAGGTTATGGTTCCCACTGCCTACTATGTAGTTCTGCAGCTTCTTTCTCATTATACTTACATAACATACAAAGTGATACTTGAGTGTCTTTAATATAAGAAAATTTTGAGCTTTAGGCTCTCTGTTCTTTAGACCTGTAGCACTGCGACTTGCATAGATCTATTCTAAAATCAGTGAAGATATTGCACTATTTAACTTACATGCCACCGCTCGGCGAATCGTTCCATGACGAGGAAGATGAGCGGCGCCTCCCCGGGCAGCCGGAAGGTCTCCAGGTAGAGACGAAGCGCCTGGTCGATGCGGAGGCCGGTGTAGTCGAAGCTGTCTGCGAACGCGGCCAGCACGCTGGCGGCCCCCGCTCCCCCCGCCCCCCCCGCGCCCCCCGCGCCAGCCGCCCCCTCGTCGTCCTCCTCGCCCCGCGACGAGCGCTTGCAGATGTACTCGCCTTGCGTACACAAGCAATCCCACAGTTAGTAACGTACACTATTGACCCACTTTTTTTAATAGATTTGCTGCTGGTACGGTTTTGCACGGTACATTTTTCTTATACTACGATATTGCAAGCGAGCATATGGCCCATCTGATAGTAAACGGTTACTGTAGCCTAGGGTGCCTAAACTCCAGGGGTGTCACATACTTGTATTACAAATAAACAAAATTGAAACTTAGTTAAGTGCATGAATGATATCACATCACTGGTATCTCAGTCATGATTATAACATGCTGGGTGCTCCGTATTCCAAGTCTTTTTCTTTATTTTCTTTTTACCTATATACATATAAAATACTACAACAGTTATAAAAGAGAAACTGATTGGTAAACTTGAAACATGTTCCGGAAAAAATGATATAATTTTTTCTGGAACATGTTTTAATGCCAATCAATTTTGCACTATAATAATGCAACTCACCAATCATTTTTTTATCCAAATCTGGGTTCTCTCTGAGGAATATTGCAACCTCCCGTGCGTCGAGGGGTGTTTTGAGGACACCATGCTCTTGAAGGAACTCGATGCCGCGCTCCGGCTTTTGGTTGAATAGCTCTGTACCTTGGGTCACCCACTGTAGACAAAGTTCCACGTATTATCATGACTAATTTGTTGGATGCAGTGGAAGGGAATTGGTATTAATATTGCTATTGCTAGAAGCGTAACCTGAAATCTACCTTCATGAGGGAGCTTTGAAAACATGTTTAATTCCATAATATCTATAAATACATACAAAATAAATTTTGTTCCATTTTAGCATATGCTGTTTTCTATTAAATTAAATTTCAATTAATTTTCAATCCATTCAAATAGTATGTAGCTAAAAACTATGTAGCTACAAAAAGATAAGTTTGTTATAATATGTTTCAAGTTGACCTAACGCGACCCGAGTCTACCCAACCCCTATAGCGGAGTATTTTCTCCACGTAATAAAGAAACCAATGTTATAATATTGATTATCTTTCTTTAACTGCTACTACTATTGAGAAGCAAGCGAGATAAAAGACAACTAAAAATACACATGAGTAAAATTTGTGGATTGATTCTTAAGCAAAGCCTGTACTCACTAAACGATTACAAATATGTACGATCGTTTAATGTTAGACATAATTATTTAACATTAACGTAAGTACACAATGTAAATAAACTGGCTTTTACAAAAAAAGAAATTCAGTTGATATTTTTGCAAATTCTATATGGACGGTAGAGAAAAATTATTAAGATAAAAAATATTGACGTTTATAAATGAACTTTGGTTTTAAGTCAACAATACGTTCGCAGCTCATTATCCATATTCTTTTACACCTTATTATTCCAGACACTTAATAAAAAAAAAACTTACCTTTTTCAAGTTCCTAATATTATCCAACTCGGCCTCTGTAGGTAAATCATAGCAGGGTTTATGTCGGTTCAGCCTCCCGTCCACGATGTACTGGCTGATTTCATGTGTAGTATCATCACTAGTAGCAGATTCATCCAATCCCCCCAGCTCTAACGACACGTGCCCACCTCGCCCGTATTTTTTCTCTTTCTCCTCCACCAAACTCTGTATTTTTGACTCGCTCTCACACTCTACTTTCGCCTGGCTACCGATCTCTATAGCTTCTATTACAGTCAGCAACGCCTCGAGTGGCAACGTGTGGATATTGTATGCGGTTGACGAAACCACATTTTTGGATAATAATTTCGTAATTTCTTCAAACACATTCATGCAGTAAACATCACAGTCGTAATTTAAATACAGTTCCGCACAGAGTCCAGGTATTCTAAACATTTGGGTTAAACTTTCTAATGCTAAATGATGGATCTCTTTCACTTCGTAGACAGCTTTTGTTGTGTCCGCAGATATGATTTCTATGATTTTTTTGTAGAACGCTTCCATTTGGAATTTTAAGTGGAAACGTAGTGCCTCGAATAGTAGAAAGGAGACTTGCAGGTCGAGGGCGAATATGGAAATTCTCTCCGTATTTAATAACTGTCAAATATATAACATGTGTTAATATTCTTGTAACACTGTAATATAGCAAATGAAATGATTCAAATAAATGATACTGGTTAATTTTATTTGTTTATTACATTTGTCCATATAGGCAGTTACTACTTATCATTAGGTGGTCAATAAGCTTATTTGCCATATCTATACTAATATTATAAAGCTGAATAGTTTGTTTGTTTGTTTGAACGAGCTAACCTCAGGAACTATTGGTTCTAATTTTAATATACTTTTTGTGTTGGATAGTCCATTTATCGAGGAAGGCTTTAAGCTATATCATATTACGCTACGCCCAACAGAAGCGAATAATCAGTGAAAAATGTTACAAAAACGGGGAAAATTATTTCTGTTTGAGGGCTTTCGTTGCGTGCGCTGCGCGAACGAAGTCGCGGGCACAGCTAGTCAGTAATAAAAAAGCTATTTCAATACTTACACTCAATAAATTCCTACAAAGCGGGTCCTTGACTAGATACAAGAGGGATGGATAGTTGGCGATCTGATCCGCGCCCACTTCCAAAGCGGTACCGACCAGACATAAGCCCAGGTGGACCATCGCCGATGTATTCTGAGCGTCTAACGGATTGCACAGAGATATAAGGAATCTGTAAACAAAATTTTTAAATATAAGTTTATAAGCTAATTACGTGCGCAAACAATTATACAAAAAAAATCAAAAGTTGTAAATTTTAACACTGGCACATATATACACAGTTCTTTTAGCTTTTCTGGAATTACTTAAAAAGAGTACATTAAGTTTAGATATTATTATTTTAATTATTTATTACATATTTTTGTTATTGAAAGCCAACTGCTTGACGGATCTCGAATCTCGGCTCAGGTCGTTGTAATTTCGATCTCCGTTTGAATTGGACGGGGATCGATAGAAGAGCTTACTGTTGGAAGTAGCTGTATTCCATATGTAGGTACTCCTCGAATTTTTCGCTTAAGTTCGTTTGATGACGTAAATAGTCATCACATGAATTTTAGTTTTATCTTTCTTTTCTTCGTGGTTGATTTTTACAGAAAGCACACATTTGGTTTTAGTAAGTTTTTAAGAGCATTATGACTCTCTTTAACTTTCGGTGGGAACTCTTTATAGCTATATAACAGTTCCTTTTTTTGTTTCAAGACTCCTAAACTTGGGGATGAATGTAATTCAGATAGATTTTGGATATAATTTGGTTTGCAGGATGGCAACATTGTCGTAACAATACCTGAAGAGTTCCCTGACGCAGACAAGGCCGTACGGCTGCAGGTGGGGCGGTTCCTCCTGTGGCGTGAACCGGATGCCGCGGTGATTCACGTACTCCTCCAATTTCTGTTCTGTTTCGGTCGTCGGAGACGTCGGATCTGGTTGGATGCTGGATGTATCTTCAGGCTCTGGTACTTCTGCTGCAATAATAAAATATGCTCATGATTATAATAATAATAATAACCCTGCTCAATTCACACAGTCCTAAGCTTTTGTTATGTGTACCATGTATACGCAATCATTTTTTTTTTATTTATTTAAATCAGTACAAATGGTCCATATTATAAACACCTTATAGACTAACATACATATCTTTTTATAAACTCATATAAATTCATTTTATAAACGCAAATATTAGCGAGAATGGATGGATGTCTGTTATTCTTTCACGCAAAAACTACTGAACCGATTTTGATAAAACTTTACAGTAATAATGCTCATATACGAGAATAACATATAGGCTATAATTTAAAAAGATATTATGTAAATTGTGTGATATATAATAATAAGTGTGATGCAGACGAAGTCGCGCGGGTCATCTAGTAGAATAATAATAAAATATATATTATCTCACCATCTTTGACTTCATCATTCTGCTCCTTCTCAGGAGACTGCGGCGACTCTGTACTGTCTGCCACGCACTTCTCCAGCAGTTGCGTGATGGACGTGTTCCCGTTAGCCAGATCCATTGATGAATGTCTGCCATGTTTCTTCACTGGACTCTTCACCAGTTGGTCCACTGGTTCTATTGTGATTTCAGCTTCGTTTATCAAGTTTTTGTCTTGGCTGTTAAAATGCAATAATAATATTAATAAAACTTCTGAATAATAAGAAATAGAAATAACACTAAGCTATGAGCCATTTTGTATTGCTGTAGCACACACATGCAGGTTTACCCATGTTGTATTGCAGTGATTTAAATCATCTGTATTGCATACAATTTGTAAGTAAGCTTATCTGGGAGTACTAAGATGCAAATAAAAATTCTTATCTATTTATCAATGACATGCTCCTAAACAAATTATTGTACTAATGGTAACCTGTTTAATGTGTGAATTAATAAATAAATTACCTGTGTCTATCAAGTTTGGCCTCACTTTCCTGTTCGTTTTCTGCGACGCTTGGACTTGGTTGCTCTATAGTTGATGGTTTTCTCTCCAAAGAATTAGTGTCTGAAATAGAAGCGAAATTATACGTTTATGTAAATTCTATGGCAAAAAACTGATAACTCAGTGATGATAAGTGGTTGCCATCCCCTAAGTTACTCCTTATAACATTACTTATCTGCGACTGAAAGTTCCGTTAAAATCGTACCTGCCGTTTCACAAATTAGCAAGAACAAACAGACAGAAAAACTTTACAGATTTTATCATCCCAATATTATTTTTAAGCCATGTGGCCAAAGAACAACATGACCAAAAGATGATCTAAAAAAAACAGTATATCCACTGTCTAAGAGGTCAATAAATTAAGAAGAAAATGCTTAATTATGCAAAAATCTATAATTACAAATCGTAATGACTTTAATTGAATTATTTATGGTTGTTTGAAAATAATTGACTATGGAAAAAATTATTATATAAATATCGTAATTTTCTTTGTTTTTTTTTTCTAAAATACTATTAATAATAATCGATTAATTAATAATAATCTATATGTATAAAGAATATTTTAAATGAATACACAAACCTAATAAAATTTTTTAGAGTTGTTCGAAAATAATTTATTATAGAAAAATCTATTATATAAAAAAAATCTTTAAATGCCTTATTTTCCTTAAAATATTTCAAATAAAAAACGGCTTAATAATAATAATCTATATTTTTACCAAATATTACACAACCTTCAAATTGGTCGACAATGTCCTAAACTTAAGCTTTTAAAGGAGGCGCCGGTACATATGGGTAGCCAACTGCCTCTCTGATAAAAAAATTATGTGTTGAGTATGTCTTGATAACCATACCCCACACACCGTTTCCGGTGCGCGTGCCATCAAAGCGGCAAACACCCTTTTATAAATATGCCAACAACACACTCGAGACTTGTATGTCGTGTAAAACAAAACTATAGCGCGATTTAGATTTACTTATAGCGCCATCTAGTATTGACATTTTGTACTACGTAACAAGTTCTATCATCAATAGTAAAAATTCGGTCTCACATGAATGTAATTTTAAATAAACCTTATCATGAATATATAGTGACAATAAAACTAAAAATAATTTATTGTAACCACAATTACTCACTTACACATACATACATAAAATTGAATGATATTTAAGTCTTTGTTTTTTATTTCAATTCGTTACAAAAGGCAAGCAATAATAAACTTGCATTACTACTTCCATTTCATTCATAATTTTAGAGCCGCGGTCCTGCCACCATATCAACTATATCTTTAATGTTAAAGTTTCAATATTAGGGTGACCAAATAACCCCGCAAGCGCCGCCAGGCCAAAAAATAGCGAGAGTTACCGCGTACACAGCAAAATATACGATAAAACTCAACCACTTTGAGCAAGAAACCAAGTGGAAATAAATTTAGAACTTTTTTTTAATAAATTAATTATGTGATTACACATTTTGTATGAAGGTTATTAAAATACATATTATCTCCTTCAGTTCTTTGTTTAATCTAAACTCAGTTTATGAGTGCTATTACATATGTATTTTTGTCTTACCTTTACGATAAAAAATAAATTAAAAAAAAATAATAATAAATTCTGCAGATTTTGTATGAAGAGGAAAAAATAAAACAACGACCTTCATAAGAGGTTAAACGGTTATACATGAAAACATTGAATTTGAATTTTAAATTGTTTTTTATCATACTTACATATGATTTTATCCTTAAATTTACATCTTTTGTATTGTATTTATGGCCATATGATATGTTTTTAAGATTGAAACTTAAAAAAATTATAATAACTACAAAAATTATTGGTCTATTTTCCTAACAGTTCAACTAAAGTAAGTGGCGGAATGGGATGGTATGGTTAGCGATAAAAAATTATAACATGCAAAAAAGGCTTAATGTCATATGTATACATATTTTTCGATTTTTAATTTGATTTTGCTATTTCACTATCTATTATATATATATATCTATATCTATACATATAAATAAAATTGGAGTGTCTGTTTGTAATATTGAAATAACCGTTTTTTACTACATGCATATGAATATAAATACGGTATATACAGCAAAATCATTTTTTTTACAATTTTTGTCTGTCTGTCTGTCGATCTGTTTGTTCCGGCTAATCTCTAAAATGGCTGGACCTATTTTGACGGGACTTTTTTTGGCAGGTAGCTGATGTAATAAGGAGTAACTTAGGCTACTTTTATTTTAGAACAATAAAGTTAAATTCCACGCGGACGAAGTCGCGGGAACAGTTAGTTAATATATATAATACTCACTGCTAGCGGTGTTTAAGGATTTCCTTTTACTAGTTTTTTCTCTTTTCTTGAGTGAAAGTCCCACGGTGGTAAAATTGGCAGCTCCGGCGTCCTCTGTCGGGAACTGTGGCAATCTCATGAAGATCAACTGTGTCATATCACGGAGACATTGTTCCGCGTTGCGCCGTAGTAATTCTGAATACAAATACATTATAGATAAATATACTTTATCATATTTGATGTTAAATTGTGGAAGTCTATTTCACTATTTACTAACTCGTCGAGTCGTAGTCGGGTCGCTGAACGTGTCACCATATGGATGTAGAACCAATATATATAACTAATATTTATAACCGTATTGGATAAGCTAATAATGTGCATCTCTCAGAAGAAAAGTGGTGCTAGTTTAGGGTACCATTTTAATTTGAATATTTGCAATGGGATGGTTTTAAAAACCGTAAATGATTTCTATTTTTTTTAATAAGCAGTTAGTATGGAAACTTTCAGACTGGTAATTTAAGAGAAATGTAATACATCTGTATTGTTGTGTAAGTGCTGTTCTAATTTATTTACTACTAGTATTACTAGGGGGGCCCCTAGTAACGCTAGTCTATACCTACATATAAATAAAATTAGAGTGTCTGTTTGTAATATTGGAATAACCGTTTTTACTACATGCATATGAATATAAATACGGTACATACACCAAAATAACATTTTTTACCATTTTTGTCTGTCTGTCTGTCTGTTTATTCCGGCTAATCACTGAAATGGCCTGGACCAAGACTGAACAACTGAACAATGAACTTAGACTACTTTTATTTTAGAAAAATTCTCTAATTTTCATTTTTGTTAAATTGACGAAGTCGCGGGAACAGCTAGTCGTAAATAAATTAGAAATAACAGGATAACAGTAATTACCTGTTAGGCGGCTTTCAAAGCAAATGCGAAAACAGCTGAGCATAATTTCGCATACACTCTCATCAGTCAATAGGGCACCCTCTGGACTAAGCATTAATGTGCGAAGAACCTAAAAAATACATATTACATATAACATCTTATTAATAGTGTATATGCGAAAGTTTGTGAATATGCATGGATGTTTGTTACTCTTTCACGCAAAAACTACTCAACGAATTTTTATGACACTTTACAGTAACATAACTTGAATGTGGTTGGATGTAAAGGGAGAGGACGCCCTAACAAAAGATGGATGGATTGTGTGAAAGATGATATGAATAAAAGAAGAGTACGTTCAGATATGACGACCGATAGGGAGCAGTAGAAGAGAATGACATACTGAGCCGATCCCAAATAATGGGATAAAGGCAAGGCAATGATGACAGTAACATAGCTTATACGTCAAAATGACAATTAGGCTATAATTTAAAAAGATATTATATAAATTAGGTGATATATAAGTTTGATGCAGATAAGTTGCTCGAGTCAGCTAGTAATAAATACAATAACTAATTATAATGAATATTGGAGAATATTTTGAAGGCATAAGCACTCTTTGATAACTCTCAAACATGTCACTTTATACTCACTTGCAATATTTTCATGAGAACAACTCCATCTGAGGAGTGGTCGGTGCCCACAAACCGTGCATGGGTAACTGCATCCGCAATATCCTCAACTGTGGCTGGCACACTCGGGTGTGTTGGATCTATAACAATAAATAATAATAATAATAAATAATTCATCATCATCATCATCATTTTAGCCCAGAAGACATCCACTGCTGAACAAAGGCCTCCCCAAACATCTCCATGAATCGTCATTTTCTCCAAGATCTTTGGGGACAAATAATTATTATATAGGGATTATATTTATTTATATGGAGGGAAATTTGATTACCTTTGTCAAGCTATGTGACAATAGAGGTTAAAAAAAATCTCTGGAGTTTCCTGCCATTACTTCTCAATTAAATTTATATTCTGAACTGTAAAATAGGGAATTATTATTATTAAATAATCTTATATATAAAAAACTTGTGTCACAATATTGGAACAGGCTTGACGGATTTTATGAAATATATGCATATTCAGTAGGTCTGAGAATTGGCAACTACCTATTTTTCATACCCCTAAGTGATAAGGGTTGTCTCTGTCTCTGACCTCTAACATGTACAAAATTTTATTTTTTTTATAATGTCATTAAAAATACATACAACAAAATTTTCACCCTACCAACAACCCCTATTTCTTAATAGTGATTTTAATTTATATGGCAAAACAATATTTGCAGGAAAACCTAGTACTATAAGCGACTAAAATGTCCCATATGAATAAATACTTTTTTACTTTAATTTAATATTTGAATATTTTTTTTTATATATTTATTATATTTATATAATTATAGGAACAAATATAAATAAATAAAAACAACAGAATGTAATAGTAAGTTTTTTTAATTTATTACTTGTATTTAATATATAATATGTTTGTTTACTTAAAATTTTAGCACACTCTCTATACAGGTCTGACAATGTAATCAAATTTATACTTTATACAAAAAAAAATGTTACTTTAATTATTGTTATATTGATGCTAGCAAATTATTGATATTTCCTGCTACAGATCATAGGGATATTTATATTATAAAAAATACTAAAATATGGTATATTAATAAAACTAGATCATGTCTTTTTAGCATTCAATTGGTTTAAAAAAAAAAGTTATAATAGGTCTTTATGTAGATTAAGGCAGTTCATTGATCCTTTATAAGTACCTACTCAACTTATGATGTTTCTGCTTAGAAACAAGGAAAATAGAATACATGCATTCATTGGCATATTTTGTATGAAAAAATTAATTACATCAAAGATATCACATTTCATCATAATCATCTTACTTACATGTAGAAAGATAATCAGATAATTTCGGTAGCAGACTATATAATAAATAATGTAGATAATGGTTGCTACTAGTTAAATGGGGCCTGGTTAAGTTAGAAACCCCACATTCTCATTGAAAATAGCACCACACTTAATATATATATTCCTCACATATATCCCAAAAACACTTCAATTAGTTTCACCCACACTACATCATCATAAGATTGTCAAATTATAAGAGAGATGCATATAAGAGCATAGGCTTAGACTCTAGGGGTGTACCATTTTCTCTCCACAACTTACCTATGAGTCCATAAGATAAAAACTTGTGTATAGCAGACAGAGCCAGGCTAGTAACAGGGCCTGTGGTTTCCTTGCTCCGTATGACTTCTAGGAAGGGACTCAAATAAGTTGCAGGGTCCAGCAACCTCAGGTCACCCACTTGATTTAATATAGTTTTTAAATCCTGAAACGTTCTCATAAGAACATCGTATTCTTCGTTGGGAAATGAGTGGGAGCCCCAGCGTGTACTCCGTCGCATCGCAGTGACGAGCATCCACATCTCCCCTTGCACCACAAAAATACCGTTTCCTGGTAGAGACATCTTGAGGGTTATTTTATTAAACTGGAACTTCCGAACATCAAAACAGTTTACACGAGTTGAATTTTCAACAGATTTAACACAAAACTACATTATGAATGCACACTATTAGCAGTGTCACAGTTTGTAGATGTTATTTCTAGGTGTATATTCACTAATTATAATATAAAATAAACAAAAATCAATGGAAATTTACAATTTGATCACAAAATCTCATTTCATGACGATTCACGTCTCACAATTATGTCATGTTGACATTTTATGTGTTGCTGTTGACGTTTCAAATTTAGTGTTGTCTACGGCTTTGTGAAAATAGAAGATAGCACTTTTAGAGTCTTTAATAACTTGGATCCTTCATTAAAATGGTTACCCAAAAGTTTTTATTGTTATTCATTACTATTTATTAGGTTCTTCACAAATCCTCTATACGTTCATAGTTATACGAATATACTCGTATATAATCAGTAATATAAAACTAAAAAAATATATGTCATTGTCTAATCATGCCATAGTTTCACTTTGCAAAGGTTAAAAATGTTCTTAAAGTAATCTGTTTTATAATTTGGCAACATTAAGATATTAAAGATGGCTCACATCTGTGGTTTACTTTTCTGACAATTTGATAATTAAAATTTTTCTTTATTTCTTGACACAACGTAGTTCCTCGTCGTCGTATGTAATTGTAAGTAAGAAATACATTTTATTTATAGACCATTGATATTAATAATAGATTAGTGCACTCTTTTAGTGATGAATGTGCGTTGTCACGCGTGCAATGGCTATCGACACAGATTGTCACTTTTCTCTTTTTGTGTTCATGTAGTTATTATTACCACGTATCTCGTTACGTATTGCAGGCAATTTAGTGAGTCAACGCAACAATGGTTAAAAAAAAGAGACAAAGTGACCCAACCGAGAATGGCGATGATTCCACTGAATCTTGTGATGAAAATGTCAAGTCCGCATGTCCTCACGTCGCCAAAGCTGTCCTCCTCACACGGCTGAAGAAGACATTGAAAATCGGTGGACTTGAGAAAGAATGCCCTGACTGTAAAGCGAGTTCGAAAACCGAGGTTTCTGACCCTGATTTCGAGGAAGATCTGACTCTGTGGATGTGTTTACGCTGTGGATCGCAATTATGCGGACGAGCGCGCAACCAGCACGCTCTCAATCATTACAATAAGTTGCACTCAGACCCTCACTCCCTTGCTGCCAACACCACCACTTGGGAAGTTTACTGTTACGACTGCAACAATGAAGTAATAGCATCGGGCTCTAAAAAACTTCATGAATGCATAGAGTATCTCAAAAAGCATGCTGTGGTTGGTGGCAATTCAAAATCATTACCACCTATAGAGTTGCCATTTGATAGTAGACCAAAGGTAGAATTAGTATTACCTGTGGAACCTGTTTTAAATTCAGAAACATTATTAAAGTCAGAGTCTCTACTACCTACAGATTTCAGATTTAAACCTGAGAAACTTAAAGACAAAGCAATGGGATATACCCTGCCCAGAGTGAGAGGGCTTTCAAATTTAGGTAATACATGTTTCTTTAACTCGGTAATGCAGTGTTTGGTGCAAACACCTTATTTATTGCAAGTGTTAAGAGAGATGGCCGCACCGGGCGAGAGGTTTACACTGCCAGGTGGAAAGTTAAAAGTCAAAGGAGATGGCGACGAAATTAAGGAATTGGACCTGCCCCCCATAACTGGACAATTAGCAGAATGGGGCAACTTAACACGGACACTAGCTGAAACACTGGCTGATTTGCAAACAGGTATGTTATGAATTCTAATTTACTTTTTATCAAGTTTAAAACTTTAAAGTTAAGTCTATATATTTCATAAATTATTAAGAATAAGAAATATTGTAGTAGAAAATTACTGTTTTTTAATAACTTTTTAAAAGGGCTAATTGATAAGGCAACTGTATATGACAATTCCCGTACCACCATTTAATTAATTAAAAATAATAAAATAAACTGTGGACATTACAAAGTGTTCTTAAAAAAGAAAATTTGCTCAGAAACATCCTTTTATTATTTTTTATTTATGTAAACTTGTACCTGATACTATTTTTAAATAGATAACTAAAATAAGTGTATTCATGTGGATTTGAAACTACTTATTTCCATTTAATTCCCATGCCAAAACATTGCATCTATACTAATTTTAATGTAGGAAGTGCTGTATTTCCATTATTATTAGGACCTTTGTCTAACAAAACATTTTATTTTTGTTATCTTGTATTGTTAATGTTAGGATTACCTACTTTAATATCATTTATTATTCTCTATTATTTAATTATCAGATATAGATATTAATACATATATTTCTTATATGTTAAAACCTTTATAATGAACTCCAGTTCTTGTTAGTGAATATTAACAGATCATTGTTTATGTTTTCAATATAAAACTGAAATTAAAATAAGATACAGAGTGTTGTAGTCAATTGTACTTTTTGTAATCACAATATATATATATATGTATATATATACTAGCTGACCTGGCAAACGTTTTATTTGCCATATAAATAACTTTCAAGTAATTTCTAGCAAAAAAATAAAAAAAAAATTTTCTACCCCTAACATTTAGGGGGATGAAAAATAGATGTTGGCCGATTCTCAGACCTACTCAATATGCTCAGAAAATTTCATGAGAATCGGTCAAGCCGTATCGGAGGAGTATGGGAACGAAAACTGTGACACGAGAATTTTATATATAAGATATGTTAAGGCTATATGTATAGAACACAATAATGATAAATAACTAACCGTGGAGAATTAACACAGCGCCATCTAGTCCCACAGTTAGCAGTACTTATGTTATGGATACTGGACAACTGATACAAATTCTTCAATTTGTTTTTTGTAAATATATACTTTATCTACATAGAATGGATAGAAACAGTCATACTCCATTAAAATTGTCTTAAATTATACCACTAACTGCTTAACTAAATAAACTACTTAACTTATGTGAATTGTCCAGGGATACTGCTATTATTGTGAATAATTCCTGTTGAATTCACTACAATTGGCCATCTGACCTGACTTAAAGCTATTATCCTTCACTGGTGTCAAATCATCATATAATGTTAGCCTAGGAGATGCACCGTTCTATATTTGTCCATCAAAAAAATTGTTGTTACATATAATTTGCATACTCTGATAAAAGCTAATTGGCTGATCGCAGATAGATAAAAAGAAAAAAAAAATACATATAATTTGCATTAATGTAAACATTATGATAAATAATTTCCACCATATTCTAAGCACTTGTCACCTTGGTTATGATATCATCATCTGCTAATGATTTTCAACTAACCTTCAAATTTATTTCAGTGTGACCTACTTTCATGTGAAAGTGAGTTTGCTCTAAAATATCTTAAACCTTACCAATTATTCAGAACACTTCAAACTGTATTTGTATAGATCTACCCATATTATAAAAAAAAACTGCCTGCAGTTTCACCCGAAAATTTCTACCCTATATGTCATTATTGTTTCATTAAAATCCATTCACGTTTATAATACTAATAGGATATTGAAAATTTGTTACTTGAATATAAATTTAAACCAACTAAATTACAAAAATACTTTCACTATTTAAAAAAGCGAAGTTCCGTTATTCAAATTAGAGAATACTATATTTATATGTAATATTCAACAAAGAAAATGTTATATAGGCATGCCAAAACAATAGCAAAATATGTGGACTATTTAATAATACTAATATTCTTTTAATATTTATACCATATACTAAACCCTGATGACAGAATTGGTGGTGGGAGTAAACACTGCTAAGCGAGCTGTTAAGAGAAATTATGAAGTTTTTTCATAACATATCTTTTGTATTATGCTGTAGTACAATAAAGTATTGTACTTCAACTTTAATTATAGTTTAGTCTTTGTGTTGCATTATTACTCTATACCAGCATATCATAGCCTCGTACAACAAGGCCAGTTGTTAATTACTACCATTGCTACCTAAACTATGCTAATTAGAGTATTTTCGTTAAGATTTTCTAAAACCTTAATTAATTAAATGTTTCTATAATTAATATCAGATACTACTTACTCTTGTATATCTCATATAGATGTATATTTTAATATATTGAATTAGTTTTTAATTTCTTAATTATCTCTTAAGATTGGAATTTGATAGGCAACTTAGAATAATAATCCAGGACAATTCACACAGAGACATCTAGTCCCAGTGTAAAGCAGAGCTTGTGTTATAATGACTGATAAAAATACATGTTGTTTTTTTTGTAAATACGATATGTCATACATAGAAAACACGTAGATGTTACAAATAATCTGGTAGGTTGATAATAGGTACTTAATAATTGAACCGTGCGAGGAATCGATCTGATGTGAGCATCGCAAATAAGCCGATGAGTTAAACTGCTAAATCATTGGGGTGGTCATGTTATAAAATCCATTTAAAAATTTTGCTGTTGTTGATTTAAAGGTGACGGTGGCGTGTACAACCCTCGGAGACTGTTGTCTGCGCTGGTGAACAAGCTGCCACAATTCGATGGTGGGGACCAGCATGATGCACATGAACTGCTACGGCATCTGCTTGAAGCTGTTAGGTAAGTTATTGTGATATTAATTTGAAATTTAAGGCATCACCCATTTTTTTGTACACCTTGTAACATTAATTTTCAAATTGCGGCCCGCTCCAGCTCCTTCCAGGTAAACTAGTGAAAAGATTTTTTCGGAATAGTATTTTTATGTAATAAACATGACAATAAAATGGCCGGCCATAATTTATTGCGTCATTATGTCATTATTTGTTATATGTTTATTTTAACCCTGTAGTTTATGTTTATGTACGATTTTTTAAACATTAGTCCGCAACTGTGGGACAATTTTTTTTTTCATTAATGATAAAGCAGGCGGATCACCAGTGTACGATGATAAAATGAGCAGGAGGTCAGATCAGTTAGCCCATGGTGGCAAATTCACCAGAAATTTATCACGATGGTCCTCAGGGGGAACCGCGTGGAGGTTAAACTGACATAGTACATTGCTAGTAACAGGCTAATTACTCCACATTACTAATATAATAACTCTCCTTCGCCCACTGTGGGTTTCTTATATTCTTATTTTTTAATATCTACAGGGATATTTCCTAAGGTCGTAAGCGAAAGCGGTTTATTTTTCGCGCTGTGGACAATGGAACAGACAGTCAAGTCTGTCCTGTCCAAAGTGTAAGAGATACTCACATTGTTTAAAATACTATATAATAATTGTAGATCAGAGGACCTTCGTCGTTACCAGTCTGTGATTCTGAGCAGCCTAGGAATGAATTCCAAGGTGGACCCGGCGAAAGTGGATGGTGAGGTCAAGCAGAAGGTCAAGTTTTATGGTCAACAGGCCTCCGACACGATGTTACGACCGGAACAGGTATCTTTTTTTTTATTATTGTGTGTATCGGAATGGCAAACCAGCTGAAAGCCTCAGTTGATGGTAAAGGGCAATTATATACTTAATAATCCATACACACTAGGGATGTCACGTCATCATGCGACGCTCTTACATTACCATTCATTAGGATAAGATGTTATGCCTCCTTACATTATATTTTCGATCAGGTTACAGATTTTAAAATATATTGCTTGATGGTAGAAATAGATGAAACATCTCAAAACATTATTTTTTTCTAACCTTTCTAATGCTATCGGCCGCAGCTGGCTTTTGCAGCTTCACCAAACAATAGGGGGCGAGTGCAGATGGCGCTCCAAACCTGCGGCAGGTTTTTTGGAGAAACTAAACAGATACGACTACACTCGAATGGCTAGAGTTTAGAAGTTCGGCTCAGGTCGTCGTAATTTTGATCCCCGTTTGAATTGGACGGGGGATCAATCTGATTGGGCAGTTAAGTCTACATCGGTAAACAATATTGGTCAACAATTAGTCTAAATAGTAAACAACAAATATCCCATTTTCTGAGAGGTTATGATTTTTATCTGGGGAGATTTTTATGTCTATCGTCAAGTTTATAATCTGTTGTTATTCCAAATACCCTTATGAAATAGTTATGAACATATTATTGGACACATAGGTGTTCCGTGGCTTCCTTGTGTCTACCCTGGAGTGTCAGGACTGCTACAATCACTCGGACCGCGCGGAGTACTTCCTGGATCTGTCTCTCCCGGTAGCGGCCAGCAGACCTCAACCACCCGCTCTCGTCAGGAGGAAAGCGCCCAATGGTAAGTTGTACTTCATTGTGGTTTTTCTGTGTGCTTTTGTATGACCATATTCTGCTGGGCATGTATCTATCTCTGTCTATCTTCTAAGGGGTCATCCATAAGTTACATAATTTTATTTATTTATTGAACTTCAATGCACAAATATAAAATGTAAATATGACGGACTTAACACCTTGAGGCGTTATCTACCAGGAAACCATAAGTGGTGCAGACAACGATCATAGATTAAGGGTACCAAGGGAAAAGGGAGAAAGTGTGACATTGTGTGATAAAGGTCTCTTGTCACACATTACATTTCGTGACGTTACATTTCAATTTCTAATATACATATGTATTACAACATACTGTTATAACTTTATATATATTAGTACTATTTTATATATTTATTCATCAGAAACAATATTAAGTGTGCACGATAACAAGTCCTAAAATATTATATAATAGTAACTATATATATGTATAATAGTAAACAGGTCATAAATCATCTGAAGTTTTTATGGTCATCAATAGTCATCATTGTAATAATCAATTTTCACAAATGTGACTAGGTGTAACAAGGATATGGCAGGGGTCGAAAACTCCATGATATTTTTTTGACATTTTTTATGGATTGCCCCTAATGACTGAAGTGTTAAGCCCACTATCACCACGCTGACTTATAGTGGTTTGTTTTCTTTCCTTGCACATATATATTTGTGTGTTGATCCCTTATTAATAGTAAGAATCTGCCTGATAAAGAAAAGAATATTGTGTCGAATTAAATAAATGTCTGTTGTAATTTTGTCTTTCGTTCGTATCTTATTTGGTAAATTATGCTTTACCCTGGCTTCACTCGGGTGCTTATAACTTTACGAGGTTTATGTGTTACATAGTAATAAACAAAGATATAGCCACTGTCTGTTACCTTATATCTTTTAAATTACGCATTACAGTTTTAAGCAATATACAGTAGTAGTTATTGTTAAGTGATTTAAGAGGAAGGTTTATATGTATAACACAAGCGTGTTATAGTATAGAACAAACCGAGAAGTTCAAAGATTTGTAATGCGTCCGTGCGAAGCTGGGATATGTCATAGTATTAACATAATATATAGCTATCTCTAATCGGTTATACAGTGCCGTACAAACTACTAAAATTGAAAATTTAATTACATTTCAGTAAATACTTTATATTAATTGATTCAAAGTTTAAATATTTTAAGTTACGACTAGTTATTGTTAATATAGTTAAACGGGTTTTAACACGAATAATTTTATGGTATTACCTCTCTTGATGTTTCGACTAGGTTGCACTAGTAGTGGTCACGAGCTGAGTAGAGTAAACCTTTATTTACCATAATATTATTCGTTTAAAACCTGTTTAATTATTTTAATAATGTGTTTCACTAATGTGTACACGACGAAACTTAGAAGTACTAGTTATTGAAGAAATAGTGTTGTCAAGATAAACATCTATTTCGTATATGGGTCTACCGTACCACGGAAATAGTTATATATTATATAGACAGTAGCCTATTGTAGAAGCCCTAGTTATTTTAAAAGTAAAATAATTTATTTTGTATCCCATTTAACCTGTTGTGATAGAGTTAATGTTGTATTTAACTAGACTAAATCGTAACTACCTTATTATCAGGTATATGTTATATGAGTGATAATATTTTCAGAGGAAAATAATTACAATGTGCAAGACGATAATAAACCGTCGAAACAGCAGATGAAGAAGGAGAGAAACGCTGCAAGGAAAGCTGCGCGCAAAAATAAAGGTGGTACAAATATTCACGCACCGTCTAGGCATCCTAAACTAAGCTTGTACTATGGGTACTAAAAGAGTGACATTTATTGTGAATATATAGAATATCACCAACCACTAGCATACTATATCCATAGTGCAAACACCCAGATTTATACAGACAATCATACTAATGTATTCAAATTTTTGTGTCCTTCGAGAATCGAATCCGAGTTCATTGGAAATAAGGCAGTATGAGTAAACCGCTACACCAAGGTTGTCAATTTGAATGGAATCATGTAATAAGTAAAATATGAGTCTGACTCTCTTAGCATTCATATTTTTCCATCCCAAAATGTTGATAGTTAACTTAATAATTTTGTCTATGGTTCTAATTGTCAGTGAATTTAGCGTAACGATAATCTATTAGTCTAATAGTGCCATTTATGTAACGCAGTCATGAAATCTATGGTAGTCGCAGTAGAATTCTAAATCAGCTACTTATATTTTCAGTAAATATTGTTTTGCTATTCTGTTTATTTAATTAGCAAACACGAATACCAATAAACAAGATACTGCCTAGTTTTTTTTTAAAACACCTTTTATCTTTTCAGGTAATGCTACATCCAAAGAAGAAAATGCCAGTGCCGAAACCAACGGCGCTGATAAGGAGGATGGTAAGTCTTCCTCAGAACAATCTGACGCTGACGTGGAAGATAACCTCGAGGACGTGCCTCGGCAACCTGAGAACCACGTAACGACAGCGCCAGCCGTCGCTCAAACCGCCGCAAACTTCGCCGCCACCTACATGGAGTCACCCTACGAACCTGACAAAACCTTAGCATTTTCTAATTCATTTAATAGTCCTGTGATGGATAAAGAGAAAACGGATAATACTCCCGAAAACATCAATAAGGACGGAGTCGAATTTGCTGACTCATCCACGTCAACCTTGGCTACACCATTAGACCACAAACCCCTAATATCATTAGAAAACTTATCGAATCCGGACTCGGGTGTGGCGAGCCCAGAAGCCACAAAACACAACTCTACGGAGACAGTCGATAATGTCGATTCTCCCATAAACGGCAAGGAGCTCGGCAGCCATAGTTCACTATCGAGCGAGATCAATCTGGACCTCTCGAGTCCGCAGGACAACAACCTGTCCCCAGTGAAGAATGAATTCGAAAGGCCTGTATCGAGGAGATCGGAACTGGAGAGACCACCTTCTAGGAGATCACTAACCACAGAGTACTCAAATGAAGTGGTATCTAGAGGAATCAGCGTGAAAGGATGCAAGAACGTATTAGAACATAGCGGCGAGAGCAGCTACGAGTCGTTGCCGGAGAATAAAAATCAGGACGCCGCCATGAACGATTTGAACACGTACTACCAAAATATCGCAGACAAGGTGGACGAGCTGAAACTCATAATAGACGACGGTAAAAGCAAAAAGAGCACTCAAACATCTCCCGTGTCCACGGACACCATCCCTGAGCCGCCGCCGGCGCCGCGCCCCAAAGTCTATAATGTAGAAATAGAGAAGACTCTTCAGAAAGACTACTTGCCGTACTCGCGGCAGAGTCCGTCCTCACCGCGGTACGTGTGCGACGAGGACGAGTGCAGCATCCAGTCGTGTCTCAGCCAGTTCACAGCGCTGGAGCTCCTCACGGGCAATAACAAAGTGGGCTGCGAGAATTGTACGGAGAGATTCAACGGCAAAGACGGCAAGACGGTGTACACGAATGCCACCAAGCGATTCCTGGTATCGAGTCCGCCCGCGATCCTCATATTGCACCTCAAGAGGTTCCAGCTGGGCCCGCGGTGCATGTTCAGGAAGATGTCGAAACACGTGGACTTCCCGACGATATTGGACCTGGCGCCGTTCTGCGCCATGGATAAGCTAAAGAAGTTGCCGAACGTGACCCGCGGACAGAACGAGCTGCTGTACTCGCTGTACGGCGTGGTGGAACACTCGGGCGGCATGCACGGCGGCCACTACGTGGCGTACGTGAAGGTGCGGCAGGCCATCCGGTCGGCCGACCCGCGCTGGTGGTTCCTGCCCAAGAGCGCCAACATCCCGGCCGCCGCGGCCAACGGCGACGGGGACGCCGACTCGGAGTCCGACCTGTCCGGGTACGAGTCCGGGGAGGGGCCCACCTCCGCCGCGGAACCGCCATCCGGCAAATGGTACTACGTTTCGGACAGCATGGTGACGGAAGTCAGCGAGGATAAAGTCTTAAATGCGCAGGCGTATCTACTGTTTTACGAGAGGATTTATTGAGCAGGCGTCGAGTCCGCGTCTCCTGTGACCCGGACCGTTGGGTGGCAGCAGACCGAGAGGCCTAACCGTTTTATTTTGAGGAGTGGCATTTAAGTGGAAGACTGAAGCTTAGAATGGAATATACGTATGTAGGTTCGCATGATTTACATGTTTTCGCAGCTCTGTAAATAGCTTAAATTTTTCTTGGCTTTTTTATTTTTAAAACTAATCTATGATTTAAGCGCTCAATCCTAAAGCTGCGCTGTCATGAAATTCCTATTTTCTATCGGTCAACACACTGCAGAAATTATAATATTACTGAATTAATTCACCGTTCAATTAATTGAATTTGTTCATAAGTGCATATTAAAAAAGAAATCTTGGTAACAATTGAATATGTGAACAGAACGATATATAATAAACGATGTAAAAATATTTCAAATTATTTATTTACACAGTTTTATTTTTACTTTATTCACTAGGAAGCCTGAGCACAGGTAAAACTTTATGGCTTTTATTAAGAAAATTTGCATTTACCGCGTTATTTATCGGAGCTGTAACATTAGACGATAATTTATAATCGTGTTAAAAATGTATTTTCTAGTTCATTTAGTTAATTCTCATCTAATTTATAATTAAATTCAATTTTTATAAGTTTAAATGTAACACGCGGTATGTACAATTTGGTTTGTTTTAATGTATTTATTTGTTTAAACCAATAATATTAAGTTTGTTGTGATTTACCATGCGTCAGCGGTTGGTGGTCTTCCAGACTATGTCAATAATGTAATGTAGGCCATTTTGTAGGATACACTTGAATCTAGAACGCCTGTTGTCGAATAGAAAGTTCTAGGCTCCTCAAGTAGACTTGCACGTTACGTTCACGTTTCAAAGGCAATGTAAAATAGTATTTTATAACATATAGAAAAACGACAGAACCTCAATCCATTACCTCCATTAACGTCCAGTTAGACTTTTCACGGTAGTTTCCTTAAGAGGTTATTAATACAAACAAATTTAAAAGACGTTAGTAGAGATCTAATTTCATTAATCATAACTTATCTCCTACATTACGGATCTGTAGACTTTTAACTCCTTAAACAAATCCATCCAATTTCGCGCGGAAACGATTCTGTTATGTCACTCCTTTAGATCATTTTTCCACATGCCGTTATGCATATAGATGTAATATAATGTAGCATACCGATCTGTATTCTAACTGTAAACAAATAAAGACCATTTTATATCTCTAAAGTGATTGTATGTTTTTAAATTTGGTGTCATTCCCCACGTGACTGATAGATGATTCCCTCAAACCGTTGCCAGTTTCTTACTTAGACATTCGCTTTTATAAAAAAGACATCACATTTAATCAGCGACCGAATATATTATTTATCATTTATGTATGGGAGTTAACCCTCAATACGATTTTTTTCTACTCCGACAAAATCCTCATTGGATATAGGTTTAACGGGTTAGACTACAAACCTCACGACTTGCAATAGATATTTCTCACTTCCGGGTGATAAAAACACTGATAACGAATAAAATTATGCCAAAAGATGGCTGTAGTCTCTGACCCTCGGCCATATTGGATTTATGTAACATGTATGCTGAGATTTGCGTAAAATACTACCCGCGGAAAATATTAATACGAATAAACTTTTGTCGCCTTATGAAAACGGCTACTAATCCTATTTTGCCTATAGAATAGTTATGTCCTTTTCTTTAGAACTATTTTTTAGTTAGAACGAGCGGGACAAAACAGTTATAGTGGGATTGTAAAAGGTTTTTGTTATTATGAAAATGGGGTTAGGATATTAGATTCATTGAATTATGTCGATGATCTCTTATCTATGGTGCTATACATTTTGAATCAATTCACCTCAAATAATAATATTACCTCAGTTATTTGATTCAACCGTAATATGCCTTAAATATAAGGCATATCGTAAATATAGGCCTTAAATATAGTATTGTGTTATCTCCACAAATACACAGGTTATAGTAAATCACTGTATTTCGCTTATAGAAGATTTTACTTATGGAAGAGAATGGGTTTCACTCATGGGCGAAAAAAGGTTTCACTTATGGGAGAGATAGGGTTTCCCTTATGGGAGATAAAGGGTTTCACTTAAGGGAGAGCAGGGCTTTATTTCTTGGAAAAAGGGAGTTATAATGGGTGTTTGGTGCTTTTTAAATAATGGTAATTGTTTTTTCCACACTGTTTCAATTTTTATACATCTTTTTATTTGAGTGAAGTACAGTGTAACTGGATTGTAAGCATTTGTTGATAATGTAGATGGAAGAATGACTAAAACGAGTCAAAAATTTGTTTATACCGTCTACAAACAATCTAATATTTCCTATTTATAATATTACTTTTCAGTCTGTTTTAGTTCTTTTATTATATGTGCATTGGCGTAATGCAGTAATTTCATCTAAACCTGTGTATACGTGAAGTGACATATAATAAATTCTCCATTTAAATAATTCGTATTAAAATCCGACAATTTATATTAGTAGTGTGTACGAAACGCGAAAGATTTAATTTCAGTATACTAGTATATAGAATACATAGTATGTCATACTTTAAGTAAGACTATTTTCCCATTAATAGTGCGTCTAATAAACTAGGTACGTGATTACTGAATAGAATTTTATACACAAACATTTATAGTATTGTACGAGTATTGTTTAATACTTAATAGATTTCGTAACACTCGAAATGTGGTAGTATAACGTGACAAGCACACAATAAGCTTACTAATTTCGGTTTATATTTGTTTTGAGCTTTCACTAGTAGTTACACTCGTTTGACATAAGTGAGCCGTGTTATTTGTTGCATGTTATGCTTTTAAAAGTTCATTTAACTTGGATGTTTAATATAACCAGTAAAGTTCGGATAGTGCGTAAATAATTTATGGTAGTTTTATTTGTTATAATACGTTGGAAGACTTAAGACTTGTTTTTTTTTAATCAAACAATGGAGATATAAAGGAGTATCCATGGCTCAATAAACTGTAATTTTTTTTCGGATAATGCATAATTCTTAAAAAACTTTTTACGCAGTTTATTCCACACTGTTAGAACTTTGCTGATGATATGTTTTTGTTCTACTAAATGTGATTTGCTTAGTATTAATAGGTATATTTGGAAGTATAAAAGCTGTAATACTACTGTAACTGGTACATTTGCCTAATACTTACTTGCACGTGCCAGTCATGCGGATACACTTACTAGATGTACAGCTGGCAAGTAAGTAGATAGCACGTTTGAATTCCTGGCAGGCAATTTCAAGAAGGGTATATTAAGGGTACGTTACACCCCTGGTGTTTCAGGCATCAAGCATAGGCTTATCATAAAATGGGCCGTATGCTTCATTGCACTACAGTGGTTTAAAAAAAATATGACTATGGAGCTGCAAAACCAACATTTTACAAGCATGCCAGATGTACTAACTTGTAATAGTAACTTGCCAAATGTGCTCACAAAGTACCACTTACTTCCACATGACTAACTGGCGTCCATATATGGAAACCGTTTAGCGTCAGATCGGCAGGTAGTTTGCACCCTTGTGATAAAAAAAAATCAAGAAAGTTTAAGAGAGCTCCAAACCAACACTACATGCATGCCAGCAGTAGTAGCTTGCAAATGTGCCTAAAAAGTGCCACTTACTTTAGCATGACTTTAACAGGCGTCCAAAGACTACGGCAACCGTTCACCTTCAGATGCACCGTATGCTTCATTGCCACCACTGTGTTTATAAAAAAAGAGGGATATTCACGGGGAGCTCTAAAGCCAATACTACATGCATGCTAGCAGTAGTAACTTGACGTGAACGACAAGGCGTCAATAGGATACGGTAACTGTTTCGAATCAGATGAGCTTTATGCTTCATTGCCACTACTGTGGTTTAAACAAATGAGGGAAGTTGACAGGAGGGTGCAAAACCAACACTATATGCATGCCAGGAGTAGTAACTTGAAAATATGCCCATTAAGTACCATTTACTTCCACATATGCCCACAAAGTACCATTTACTTCCACATATGCCCACAAAGTACCATTTACTTCCCCATAACGTTAACTACTACGCTTCCATTTAACAACTATGTACATCGCCTTAATAGATAGACGAACCGTATCTACCCACATAGAATTACCTTTCGACAGAGTAACAAAGCAATTTAATCTTTATTACAAAGTATTACATGCGCATCGCACTGTCCGAAGCGAGCGAATATTAACATTAAAAAGTTCCTATTGAACCCGCTATACAACTCAAAGATGTAGGATACCTTATAGGGCATCCATAAATTATATCACACTTTAAAAGAGGGGGACGACAAAATGTGACATTGTATAAAAAAAACATGAAAATCCGTGTAAAAATATGAAATTTGGTACTCACGCCATTGCAGGCGTGGAGTCTTGGATTTTGCGAAATTTCAATGTTATTATTATATAAAACAAGAAATTTTCAATGTGACATTCTGATAAAGTGGGGAGGAAGGGGGGGGGGGGGGGCGTGTAAAGCTACTGTAATTAATCATTTATGGATGACCCCTTATTGCCCCGAGTACTAATTCTGATATATCTAGTACAGTTCTGTACGAGTAATGAACGTAACACTGCATCTGATGTCGTGTAGGTATATCTATAAATTCATCATATAATTGTACATATTATATATTTATTACTTTTTTGATAAATATGGAACTAGTATTTATTAATATTTGCATAAATATGGTGTACCTACGATAGTACGATCATGATATATAACATGAACCCATGTATTACTGCAAATGGGAATTTTGTATATAAGGCTGACCGCAAACTATCCAAAAATTGTGAAACTATAATTCTATCACATGCAATTATCTTGCTGATCTGTATGTATGTGCGAGTGTAAACTAAAAGTCGTAGAGTGACAGTTTACACTCGCAATAAATTGAATCTTGATAGTATCGGATGTGCGGTCAACCTAAATAAAATATTGTAACACAACCATCCTCCTTATTCCTAAAGCTTCAAACATCTAACAAATCTATTTTAGCTAATGTTTTGTCCTTGTCTTCTTATATATTTTCCTAATTTAGAAGAAAGTGACAAAACATTGCAACAGTTGAAAAGTGTTTGTTAACTTATTGTAGTTTTTACGGATAAGGTAATAAGGCTCCAAGTTTAATACACAAAATATATGCTTATTTATGAAACTCAAATTACAATGTAATCACAAATATAGGCGTATATCGAATTTTATAGTTTTCAATTATTAAGTTTTAATTATATAAATTTGTGTATTGTATTTTTTATATATGATGAGTGCTCAATTTAGTTGCTTTACCCGCGTGTAACTAATTATGTTGTGTATTATAACGCTGACTTCATTAGTCGGATATAGCTGGGGGTTAAAATAATCGCTTTACCTATTTTCATTATATATACTCGTATATATAGCGTCCAATTTAAGAGACATCTTGCGCTGACGATTCTGAGACATATCACACAATTAATACAATACAATACTGTATTAATTAAATAAATACATATTGTGAGCAAAGGACTCTATAGTCTAGTTTCAAAAACAGAATATTTTGAGTTAATGCCGAATACCGCACTATGTTAAATGTGCTGTACGTATAATAGCAATGTAAAATCAGAATAGATAAACTGAAAAAAAAAAACAGGATATTTTAAACTTTTACTCAAATTGACTAATTCTTTTATTTCCTATTTTAAAATGGTTACTTCTGTACTTACCGTTATTATTTTACCTACTATAAAAAATATATTTGTTTTTGGCGCCAAAAGTTATTCCATTTTTTTTATTGAGTTTAATTTTAATATAGAGATCAAGACTCCAGAGTAGACCTGCCCTCTTCCTTTGAACTATATTTTTAATAAAAACATTAGTTGCCAGTTCAAAATCAGCATTCAACATCAAAATATTAACATAGTGCAGTTACAATTACGAATTTAATTATAATTTTTATTGGAATAAAGCGGCAATTTTAATCCCGCAGGAGTTTTAAAAAAAATATCGAACTTGTAAAGATATTATTTTATAAACGATGTTGGTTTTTTTTTCATCTTTTGAAATAATGCAAACGTTTTATAAATTTCAGTTACGGCCGATGTTGTTAAGCATTTCGTTATAGAGAATGTTTCTTTTAACATTGCATTTGTCATATTATTGTATCGTTAGTCTGTGTTAATTATTATTTGATAACTTTTGTACATTGAACTCAAAACAATTATTGTATTATGAACAGGTGTATTAAATAAAATATAGTCTTAAAACGTCTATAGTGTTTTATTTGTTTTTTTTTATTGAAGTTTATACATGAATAATCAATATTTATCTTGTAGTAGCTGGTGTAGGTAATAATAAAACCACATATTAATCTTATTTGTGGACACCTTTTATTTGGCCTTGGTGTTTAACGATTTCGGACATTGTCTTACTTCCGATGGTCACGGATTTGATTCTCGCACGGTATATCAATATTCATGAGTACGATTGTTTGTATTGCTCTGAGTGTTGTCTCTATACCTATATTATTTATGTACACATTTCTAGAAATGTGTAGATACATATTTGTAGTCTAACGACTACAAATATGCACCCAACTACAACTTTCCTTTTATGACACTAGATTGCACTTAAATTGCCTATGCAATTGTCTATGCAACTTGTATTTATACTAATTATTTTTATAAGGAACGTAAACCTTATAAAAAAATATCGTTCGCATAAAGGTTTTAAATTCAACTTAAAGATTTGTATAACCAATTTTGATATTTCTTTTTTAGCTTTATTATGTTATTTACTACCTCTATTTTAGTTACTTTGACAAAAGAAATCTTATTATTGTGGAATAAAGTCGTAAATGACTTGTTCGATGTTAAATTAATTAAAAATATAACCTTCAACTCCAGAATATATTGTATTTCAACAACGAGATTCACAACAAAGAAATGAAAGTAAAAGTAACTGATGTTATAATCCACTGCCTTGCAATCTTTTATTTAATAGATCTACATGGCTACTTTCGAATGGCACTAGTGCTGTGATCTTGGGGACTTCCTGCATCGTTACTTCTATAATGCAGTAGAGGACTTGCAGAGTATTCTTCGCTTTTTGAAGAGCCTGCAAAAAAATGTTATAACAATAATATCTCAAGACAATTTACACAGCGCTATCTAGTTCCAAGCTAAGCAGAGCTTGTGCTATTGGTATTAGTCAAGTTATATAAATTAATACATACTTTTTTGTAAATCCTTACATAATACATAGAAAACACCGAGACCGATACAAGCAATCAAACTCAACAAATGTCTGTACCATGCAAATAATTGAACCCGCGAAGATCAAAATTAAAGCAGTGTATTAAACCGCTTAACCACTGAGGTCGTATATAATTTGAATGCCAAAGAAGCTAAGCTGAAGCTGATGGAAAATGACGATCTGGGGTGGCCTCAGCACTCGTCGCCTATGTACATGAACAGCACCACTCACATCACATCGTAACGAGAAACCTGTGGTATATCCCAATGTAGTTCCGGAGAACTATAGTGTGATAAAAATAAAAAATCAGCTCTTCAGAGTGAACACAAAAAAATTGTAAAACGAAATCCCTCAAGATTGCGTGCGCTGTCTTTCCTGCGAAAAATCACGAGTAAAAAACCTGCTAATTTTGCTACATCAAGTCTCACGTTCAATATATTAAATACTTACAATGCCCTCGGTCTACATCTGAAATTACCATTTTGAAAGTACAGTATTATTACGAAACTCACCGAAACCGCTTTCTCCTTCATTTCAGGATTCGTAGCAATTTGTTTTTTAATCAAATGCATTTCGTCAGGCGTGAAGCCGACTAATGTTGACAGGATGTCACTAGTGAAGTCCACATCTAGAGAACCAGTTCCATCTACTATTGTACAACGTAAACTCCAGCCATCTTTCCCAACTGACAATTTCGATAGTAGCTTTATGATTTGCGCTTTTATCCTAAACACTCTACCAGCTTTCTCTGTCTCATCCAACTCATTTATTTGCTTTATATATACGAAAGGATCCGAAGATACAGTAATAGGTTCTTTATGTATATTATCTTTAATCTCATTATCTCTTGCATCCAATTGTTCCTCCATATCCCTCAAGTAGTCTAGATCTTCCTCGAAAAACATATCATTGTCATCTGGAAATTCATCATTATGTGCATCTGATATAGAATCCACCTTAAATTTCTTTTCCGGATTTATGTTATGATCTTCTACATTCAACTGTCTCTTCCCGGAGTGTTCTGAAATCTGTGCGTCTATTTTTGCTAACAATAAATCAGTTTCTATGTCATCAATGAAATTGGTTTGTCTGGTTTCGTTTTCATGAGTAATTGTAACGGTTGGTGGCATTTCTGTATGGTGCAATTGTGTACTATTTCTTGTATTATGTGCAGTATCTAAAAAAATACAACAAATTGAAAACATTATTTTTTTTTTTGAAAGATAGATAATAAAAACAAAGGTATCGATTTAGACCGTTATTTACAATTTAACGTTTAGTATTGCTAAAAATTGCAAATTCCATTTTATCTATTACTTTTTTTTGTGTTTCAATCAAGTAACAGAAATATAATAATATTAATACCCTATTCTCCTAACTCCCCTATCGCCTCCTCGGTTCTCAGTCCACTTTAAAACCTGATATTTATCATGTGACTCTAGCTGTTAGTCGCGAATTAGTCCGCGTAGAATTTAACCCTCTTTTTTATCAAAATATTACTTCTAAAATAAATATAGCCTAAGTTACTCCTTACAACAGTAGCCAACCGACCGTTGACCGATTTTGACGGGACTTTTACTCGCAGATAGTTGCACTGCGAATGAAAGTCCCGTCGAAATCAGTCCAGCCATTTCAGAGATTAACAAGAACTAACAGATAGAGAAACAAAACTGCGCGGACCCCAAATAATGGGATAAAGTCAAGAAACTGATGATGGTTTAATTTTTTAAAAAACACTTAACTTTGGACGAAATTTATGAATAGACCCGTATCTGTAGCTAAATATAGTGCCAATTTAATTTTTAAACATACCATCAGTCATAGGCAGACCCAACTTATTTGCTATGACAACTGCCGCTGAGTTGGTGATAGCCATGCTGTCTACCTCCCCACCGAGAACTTCAACATTGCATTCAGACAATAACAACACGCCTCGGCGACATTCAACTGGGCCTGAAATTATAAAACCTCACTTACCTTCATGACTTCACTTGCTTATAAAATAATCTTGGACGATTCACACAGCGTCATCTAGATGACTTGTGACTAGTCACAAGCTAAGCAGAGCTAGTGTTACTAGATAACTGATATAGACGAATACTGAGATATTTGACCGAGAGACCGAAAAAGCTTACTATACAGTAAAATATTTTTTAACCGACGTACTATAGGAGCTCAGTGGACACTACAACAGATTTAAATTTTAAATTTCAATTTGTGAATGAGTCATCTACGAAATTGCCATACTCTTTAAACAGATGTGTGTCAGTCCATGTGTATTGTTGATTTATTGTGTATATGACGACCTCGGTGGTCTAGCGGTCAAGCACACCGCTTCACGACCGAGTGTCGCGGGTTCGATTCCTCGCACGGCACAAACATTTGTATCCATGAGTATGATTGTTTGTATCGGTCTGGGTGTTTTCTATGTATAATATGTATGTATTTACAAAAAAAAATATCTATGTATATGTATCAGTTATCTAGTACCCATAACACAAGCTCTAGCTAGCTTAACTGGGGTCTAGATGGCGCTGTGTGAATTGTCCTGAGATTATTATTATTATTATTGTGTGTAAATTTATGTATATGCATGTGCAATTATAAATAAATAAATAAATATTTTTTTGTTGTAAATACATACATAATATACATAGAAAATACCCATACCGATACAAACAATCATACACATGAATACCAATGTTTGATCGTTCGAGCAATGTTAGTTATCGGTGTATTTACTGTCCTTACCACTGGACAAGTTAGTGTTGACAAACATTGTACATTTTTTTTTTCTTTTTGACAATTCACACAACGCCATCTAGTCCCAAGCTAAGCAGAGCTTGTGTTATGGGTACTAGACAACTGATATAAATACATGGATACATTTTTTTTTTGTAAATAAATACTTATTATACATAGAATAATATAATAGAAAACACCCAGACTGATACAAACATACTCATGAATACAAATGTTTGTACCGTGCGAGGAATCGAACCCACGACCATCAGATAGTAAAGCGGTGTGCTAAACCACTAGACCACCGAGGCTGTCACAGCTGTCACATTGCTAGCAATCTGCGTTATTAGTCCACATTACTAACAAATTCCTTCCCTGCCTGTAGCTTAGATTCATTCATTCATAAACTAAGAGCAACACTCTTTTTGATGAGCCCTTGCCACTTTCTACAATCTTCCATCATACTCTAAACCTTGATACGGCACGACTCCAATTCTGTCTTTAATTTGTTTGATGTAACTGTGCCTTGGTCTTCCTGTCCCCCTCTTTCTTTCTATCTTTCCCTTAATAATTAGTTTAAAAAAAGATTTAAATATAAAAACTATGTACTTACCCTTCACATAAATTTTACAACCGGGTGTAATATCGCAAGTCAAATTCCTCATCGGTTTGTATTCGATTGCCGATATATCTTGCACACCATCTGTTAGATATAATTTTATCATTCTGTAAGTTGGAAATATTTTATATTTATATCATGTTAAGTAACGATTTCAGAATAAAGCACTCAAAACCATAACTGCACTTCTATTCATCAGAACAGCAGCATTGCATGAGTACACAGGAATGAGAATAGTCAGAGAAGAAATAGAGCACAGAACAAAAGTATACAGAGATTGTATAGAGGTGCATACTAATATCCTTGTAACTGCACTACAAGACCCATTGCAATGCAGAAGGCTTAAGAGCCTCCATGCATGGGATTTTATTCAATGATGAGACAGTTTTCACATTGGAGGTACAGTCTCTCCCGTCAACAGCCCCACAACAAATCTGTCAAAGTCTTGGTGAGCCGATTGCAAGATACAAAAAAACATATATATATATATAAATATAACGTTAAACCAGCCAGTTACCCACAAACTTTCATTTCCTATTTCACCCCATAAATGTTCCAGGCAACAAAACTATTTATTTAAAAAAAACTGTAATAATAGTACAGCTGTGTATAATTCCTAAGAGAATTAGAACAAGACATATGTGACATAAAAAAAGAGAAAGACAGACAGTATTGCCATTATTCTATTAATTTTATGGAAATTCATAATTTTTACCTATTACTAGGAATTTTATCCTCCTTATTTGTAGTTGCTTCAATATTCTCCATGTTAACTTTTTGTAGTTTCAAATATTGTTGATAGGCTGGGGTTCCTGTAATATGAAATTATAAATATATATTAATAGCTACCCATAAGTATTTTTATTACTGGAATAAAAATAAATCCCCTGGATAATTATCACAGTGCCATCTAGTCCCATGGTAAGCAGAGCTCATGTTATGGGTACTAGACAACTGATATAAATACTTAGATTTGTTTTGCAAATACATAGATAGACAATGCCTAGACTGATACAAAAAATCATGCTCATGATTACAAATTTTGTACCCTGCGAGGAATCGAACCTGTGACAATCATACATAAAATAGTGTGCTAACCTGCTAGACCACACAGGCTGTCAATAAAAATAAATTAAAATGTGAACAAAATTGCAAACATGTTCAACCCCTATAATATATATATATATAAAAATCCCTAAATTTTTTTACAATATTTTTATACAATAAAATTTAGGGACTTTTGTACATGCAAGTCCCATTGTACCCTTAAACTAATTAAAGTACCCAAAGTATAAATTTGTAAATATTAATATCCTTGCCTATATCAACAACATAGTTAATTTGGAGTGCATATTTTCCATTAAGCTGTGTCTTTTTAATGTTCCTCAAGTTAGCAGGCAGAGAACCAGGGCAGATATCTTTAAGGTCATTGAGCAGCCACTGTTCTTTTGCCGAGTGTAATATCTCTAGTTCATTGTAATTATTTTCGGACAAAAACTCGACACACCTGCAATCAAATAATTATCAATTAATATTATAAAACGAGTGGATTTAATGATGAAAGTAAACTATGATGAATTACCACACTAATTTATGTTTTGGTTTGTCAAACACTTTTATTGTTTGACAGGTACATAACTCTAGAACTAATAAAGTTATGAGCACCCATGTGAGACTTATTTAGAATAGTTATACAGTAAAATGGTCACAGACATTAAACATGATCTTCCTGCTTTATGCCGAAATCTATGGAATCAGTATACATTTAATTTTAAATAATTTCTACATTCAATTATAAGCCACAATCCAATATGTAATCTCCTTCTTGAGAAATTGCACTGTTTTTATATGTGCTGATAAAAGTATATATACCTCTGGGTCAGTAAACAAAAATTAAATAAATATATAATAATTTTTGTTTAGTATATTTAAGATTTGTTATAATTAGGTTTCATATAATGGGGTTGGGGTGAGTAGCTAGTATTAAAATAAGGCAAATATATAAAATGACTGGTTATAATTTAGTTTCATTTACATAACATTAAGGTTCGGTCTATAGTTTATCACCAGTAGAATGCCAGATGCTATTCCTAGGAATGTTTGTGTTGGTGATTAAAACCTACAATTATAAAAGTATGTAAATACAAGCATTCAATATGTGGAATTTTTTTTTAAAATAGCAGACACTATAATTATAGAGGGAATAATCATTGAATTCCTATGATATTCAGTAACTTCGGAAGACATGGTTACTTATTCTAAGTACATTTTTGGGGTCGGTAACACACGAAGAACTATGTCCATAATAATATTTCTGTTACAGAATTAATAACACCTTCTGTTCACCTTTCTGTTATAGAAGTTAAATGCATTTTTATTTATAAAAAAATAGTGCTCACCCGGTTAACCATTCATTATCAACGAACATAAAAAGTGATGATAAATAATCGCGCACTGAGTTCACTAACGTTGTAGTCATTTTATAAAATTTTGTATTGTGTTTGTGTCCTTAATACGTCGTAGTTTTAATCATTTTATATCGTATATTCAGATTGTAATATTTATGTTTATTTTTTAAAGCGGATTAATTACTTTTTTATTGATTACGTTTTACGGCTTTGGATACAAATTCCTTTACTGCCAATATTTCCAGATATTTCGCATTTGAGTTGCCCGCTTCAAACTTTCTACCTTCTAACTATAATGTTCCCAAAATTGTAAATTATATATACCAAAGGCTACTCCCCCAAGAAGATCACACGTACAGCTGCGTCCCGACTCCAGGTCGACTGTGCCTGTTATTAATAAGCCCTGTAGCATACTACCAATAAACTTAATAATGTACAATAAATCGTGCAATCATTTTACCGGTATACTCACTACCTACATACTATAATAAATAATATATTATGTAGCGTATATAACGCTACAGTGACCAGGATAACCACCGCGCTCCGTTATTGATAGAAGGTTTGGATTGTGTCACATCACATTATCTAATTTATTATCCCGTTTGTTATTTCTACGTTCTAGGTAAACTTTATGTAGTAAAAAAGTATTTAAGTTTTTTATCATACACTTCAAGTCTTCGTTTTAGTGTTTTGGATTTTTTATTTTTACTGACATTAGAACTTTTATTTTTGGCAACACTATCCTTAAAAGTAAAGTGTTTCCATTCCAGAATAAAAAACTACTCTGTGGTAAAGTGAATGTAGAAGAGGAAAGCGTACATCACCTTCACATTTATAAATTTATCCATCTCCCTCGTAAATCTTCGATAGGTTGATTGACAACAAAAGACACTATTTATTTCAAGCAATTTTGTTGTTCTAAATGAAACTTTGCAAATATCTATTCAGTACAGAGAAACTGTAATCGAAATTTACACAGTGGAGGAAAAAATATGAAGAGACGAAATGCCGAGAGTGGCAAGATGCGGCGCCCCGTGAAGCGCACAAAAATCACAGAAGGAATGTATGGAAAGTAAGTAATTTCAGCGTATTATCCAAATTACAGATTATATCATTACTTTTTATATAATAAGCAGATCAAATGCCTTCTGAGGGTGGTCTAATGGTCTGCTAAAAAAATGTGTAGGCAGTGTGAACCATCTGTTCTGAATGTCCATTCTTGTATTTGTATTGTACACACAATAAGTAAAAAAAGTCGGTTAACACATGTTCTCTGCTCACATCTTTACTGTGCATATTTCTGCCTCACACAATGCCATAGTTACCTCAAGTTCTTGTTATTAAATCATTCCAATTTCAAATCTATTTGATGGTTCTGATAGTTCATAATACTATGAAAATTGACACATTTTTAAAATATTAAATTTATAACTTGGGTGCCTATATAAATTCTAAACAACTGAGAGTTAGAGAGAGTAACCTTATTATAGATTTATATTATTTATTTATATATTTTTTATTGGTCCCCTTTTGATGATGTTTATAGAATTATCTTTACATATTAAATCAATCAAAGACAACTTAGAGAAATATGAGTTATAAGTATGTTTAAGTATAACACAAAATTTTCTAGAGGATTCTACCTGTAGAATGTATTAGGTGGTATTGTTATTATTACTTTTGTTTTTTATTATTTGTTTAAAAATGTTGTAAAACATAGGTATACTTCAGAATTCAGAAAGATATTATAAACCAGTGAGTCAGACTATGTCAAATTAATAAAGAAAAACACTGTTATAAACAAACAAATATGGTAGCAGCAGGAAACTCATTGTATTGAAAAAAATTAATATTATTAAATGATTTAATACTTAAAATGTTGTATATTTGTATAAAACCTATTGAGTATTAAAAATAATAGATTTTGTTTATATAACCACAGAGTATAGCATATATGCAGAATATAGAGTGATATTGTACTTGCTGCATAGAAAAACAAGTGACTCTGAATGAAACTGTTAATATAACAATTTCTGTCTAGTTTTTTTATGTAACTTGAATGATAATCGTACTGATTATCTCCTATAGTACATGATAATCACCATGCCACCAATGACACTCAGTGATACTGGGGAGTAGGGGATTGTTAGTAATGTGAAAACACATCGCTTGCAATCTACCATGTCATGTTTCCCCCTGGAAACCGTTGTGTTAATTCCTGGTGACTACAATGATGGGCTAACTGGCCTGACTTCATACTCATTTTATCATCCTCCACTGGTGCTTTACTAGTGTAAACTGTTAGCACAGACGAGTGCACATTCCATTATCATCCATTAAAAAAAAGACCCATGATATTACCTCTCATGCATTGTCATTCTGGCATGACAACAATACAAGAAATTTACTATATCAAATCAACTTCTCTGGTTAGTTCCACTAGAAATATAAACAATCCACTACCCCAGAGGGGAATTGTCAGTAAAGAAGACTAGATATTTTTTATTGGAACTGTGGTTAGTTAGTGTTATGTTGACATCCACACAGTCTCTCTGGACAACATCATGATAAATTCCTAGTGAATTTGTCAGTTGACCCAATCCCATATTCATATTATCCACTTCCAGTGATGCTCCGCCACTAGGAGTGCACCATCGTCATCCATTTAAACAAATTCTGTCCCCCTTAATACTTACGGTATTTTACAATTATTTATTTCATTTCCAAATTCTAATTCAAAAATCATTTATCCATGTAGGACATTTTAGCCGCTTATGAAAGTCAAGTTTTTACATTATAATTTTTTTTTCCTACCATCCAATTCGGTATATAGATCCAATTGAGAAGAACTGGCAAGAAACTAAATTGAACTTTTTTTTTTTAAAACCAGATTATTTACAATGCATAGGTATTTATATAGGTGTCTATGAAAATCCCGAACATGAAAACTATTGCCATGCATGTTCATCATTTAAGTAATTGTTTAGTGAGTAATAGGCCTTGCTCAGTAAATATGATTTAACAGATGTTTTGAATTTATTTAAGGGTAATTCCAATCCATATCTTATAATCAGCTCACCCAAGCCTTTGTAGAGAGAACTGTATTGTAAATTGAGAAATTTTTCTTCACTGGCGATATCTAGTGAAGAAAACTGTTACATTTTACTTTATTTTTTTAGTTATTAGTGAATAAAGTCCCATGCTTGATGTCTTTTAAGCCATCTGTAGTTCAATGGTATTTTGCAATTTTTTGTGTTGTAAAGTTACCATTAATCTCTGGAATCACAAGACAACATAGAAAGTTTATTAAAATTTGTGTTTCACCCCAAAATGAAATGGTCTTGCAGTTTATAATAAGTTTATTACTATATCACTAACTTTACACGAAAGTAATAGAGGCATACTACACTATAAATCAATGTATTTATACAATTATATTTCATTTAATTATATATCGAAGCCCATCTTTATATTTTTTTACTCACTTAAAACTAATAGTGTCTTCTGGCACTCTTCACACTTATCAACTGACATCAATATATTCTTTTTACAATAACTTAATTATATTTTGTGAAAATTACATAAATCATTAAAGTACCTTATTAAGAATTTAATTTATATTATGATTTTATTTTTTTATAAAAATATGTTCATAATCATGATATATGAGTACATGTAGACGTCGCGGCCCTGAGTAACGCTTATGACTTTGACATTTGATCATCATCACTGACATTGGCTCAGGTGTCTATTTACTATTATGCATACTACTTATTGTTTATAGCAATCAATGCTATATAATTAATGATAAAGTGTTCACTACTAAGCAGCTGAACGGATTTTAATGCTGTTTAACATACACATAGATTGTATCTGGTGTACTTCTTTGGAAAGTCCACTCTATGTTGAGGAGATAAAAACTATCACTCCTAAGAATATCCTTTAATCCTAGTCCCTGATGGATCTAACGTCACTCTACAACCTGTAGGAGCGGAGTGACAATGAAAATGTTACAAAAATGGGGAAATTTTATTTCTTTTGAGGGCTTCTCATAGTTAGTTAATATTCCCAATATTTTTTTGACACATTCTCTCTTGTGTGATGCAGATGAAGTTACGTGGGCCAGCTAGTATTATTATATCATTCAAATTACTTTCAGTTCCTTGCTGTACCTGAAGTTCGTGTTGTTGTGGGCAACTGTAGTGCTGGCAGACTATATGCTCGAGTTCAGATTCGAGTTCCTCTGGCCGTTCTGGATGATGTTGAGATCAGTATATGACTCATTCAAATATCAGGGTCTTGTAAGTACCCTACATATTTGTTAATGTTATAGAACTATTTATTTTCTTTCTTTCTTTCTTTCTTTCTTTCTATACAAATATAACATTAAAAAAATTATAAACCCCCACAATAGTCATATAGATGAGTTTAAGTTAAGTTTACTACATAAGTAGAACATTAACCAAAACACCAAAAGGTTTCAAACCCATGATTCCGGTGTAGTTGCACCCGGAGAACATGCTGCGACTCAGTAACCCCGAGGCCCCAAACTACAACCTGCAAAAGACATTAACCTTTAGATTACCTGTGATATTTTTAACCTAATTTGTAAGGACAATGCTGCGAGAAATAACAAGTGTATAAATATATGGAAATTTTATGAGCTTAATATGTTTTCGTCTTTTGCGACAATTGTTTCGACTTCATCTGGAAACCACTAGGGTGAGTGCGGCGCGTCCGTTACAGCGTCTCGTCTCGCCTCGCATTCGTAGATAGTTATAAAAATATTAACATAAGACCAATGGTATAATATAGATGGAGTCTATTCAGTATTAAATTGTTTCAGGCATTCTCCATGTTCTTCATTTGCATAGCGTTGACGTCCGACATGATATGTTTCTTCTTTATTCCCGTGCAATATATATTCTTCGCCGCCAGTACTTATGTATGGGTACAATATGTGTGGTACACATGTGAGTATATATATTTTTTAATTATATTTGTATAAGTTAAGGCTTCGCACATACGGACACTTTTACATCTTGGGTTACTTTATTGAAAATTTAGATCCTTAATGTTTTCTAGTAGTAAGGAATCGTCCATAAATTAGGTTACACGTTAGAAGGAGGTTTAAAGAGTATGACATTGTGTGTGGGTGGCAGGAGTCGCAAACGTGTAAAAAAATGTAACCATTGTCACATATCAATTTTACCATTAAAATATGTAATTTTTACAATTAAAATGTGATCAGTTGTGGTGGATAAAAGTGGTTGAAATTAATGTTTCGTAATTTGTGGAAGGTCCTATATACACTCGGGGTATTATAATTGAGAAAGAATTTTAATAAGATATCCCACATTGATGTTATCGTTGCCTCCCAGCTAAAACTGTATTTGACGTTCTCTTATTTACGTGGAGCGTTTTAATTCCACGCGGTTCCCCCTGGAAAACATCGTACCAAATTCTTGGTAAACTTGCCACGATGGGCCAAATAACCAGAGCTCAAGCTTATGTTATTAACTTCCACTGGTGCCCTGCCAGCGTAAACCGTTAGCACAAACGGGTGCACCACTCCATATTCATCCATCAAAAAAATATGTGTGTGGTGACAGCGTGGACAAGTTTTCTCACTAGCTGCATAGAGTAATGTGTGGTTGCAGTCACAGACAATACTGCGCGTTAACTGCATAGAGTGATGCAGAGTCACAGTGGCAGATAAGTTTGTGCGCTAAGGACAGAGAGTAATATGTGTTCGGTGTGCGGTGTGAGCAGTCGCGGACAAGGGCGTGTGCGTGCCGACGGCGGCGCTGTGCTGCCTGGTGGTGTACGCGGAGGGCGCGCTGCGCGGCGAGCGGCTGCAGCCGTGGCGTCCGCTGGCGGCGCACTGCGTGGGGTACCCGGCCGTCACGCTCGGGTTCTCCGTCAAGTCCTACGTGGGCCGCCGCCTGCGCCTGCGCACGCAGCGCCACGTGCGCCGACAGAACGACTTCTACTTCCAGCTCATGCGCGACGCGCTGCCCGAGTCCGCGCTCGACCAGGTACACCCGCTCTTCGAGATTAAATTGCAATAAAAAAATTTCCGATAGCATAATCAAGTAGCACTCGACACATGATCACCGATTAACACGGACAAAAAAATCGCTTTACCGAAGTAAACTTTGAAAAAGTCGTCTGGGTCTCACCTATTTCACTCGCCAAGACGCTTGATTTGTAAGATATATATTTAGATGAATGGTGAGGTACATAAAGTTCTGCGTCCACAGTAGTAAGCAGTAATTATCCCTTTATATTCAAAACCAGTACTTCCCTCTGATGTGTTGCCACTCTGAAGATTTAGAATATTATGCCTATGTACGTAGTACTACCATCAATCCGAAACAATTTGCAAAGAGCCTGCGTTGCAAGTTGCTTAAACTTGTAGCCGAAACTTGTCGTAACTGTGTCTTAAAAGTTTACTGGTAAATCTCATCCTCTAACCATTGGCCACTAAAATAGGTGAGATGAAAGTAACCAAAGTACAAAGTACCTACCTTGATACAGTATACACATTTGAATTGATGTCTTGCGCGGGATTTTAAAAAGCGCTGTAACTTTACAGAGCCAACAACAGCCGCCTAAGGAGGCGGAGCGCAGCTGGTCACAAGCGGCGGAGAGTCCGGCGCACGCCAATATGAACGGGTCCGCCGGCCGCCGCCGCTGCGGGAAGCCCGAGCTCAACGGACACTGCGTGCCCGACATTGTCAAGGTGAGTCTCGGCCACCACGCACAGTACATGAACGGGTCCGCCGGCCGCCGCCGCTGCGGGAAGCCCGAGCTCAACGGACACTGCGTGCCCGACATTGTCAAGGTGAGTCTCGGCCACCACGCACAGTACATGAACGGGTCCGCCGGCCGCCGCCGCTGCGGGAAGCCCGAGCTCAACGGACACTGCGTGCCCGACATTGTCAAGGTGAGTCTCGGCCACCACGCACAGTACATGAACGGGTCCGCCGGCCGCCGCCGCTGCGGGAAGCCCGAGCTCAACGGACACTGCGTGCCCGACATTGTCAAGGTGAGTCTCGGCCACCACGCACAGTACATGAACGGGTCCGCCGGCCGCCGCCGCTGCGGGAAGCCCGAGCTCAACGGACACTGCGTGCCCGACATTGTCAAGGTGAGTCTCGGCCACCACGCACAGTACATGAACGGGTCCGCCGGCCGCCGCCGCTGCGGGAAGCCCGAGCTCAACGGACACTGCGTGCCCGACATTGTCAAGGTGAGTCTCGGCCACCACGCACAGTACATGAACGGGTCCGCCGGCCGCCGCCGCTGCGGGAAGCCCGAGCTCAACGGACACTGCGTGCCCGACATTGTCAAGGTGAGTCTCGGCCACCACGCACAGTACATGAACGGGTCCGCCGGCCGCCGCCGCTGCGGGAAGCCCGAGCTCAACGGACACTGCGTGCCCGACATTGTCAAGGTGAGTCTCGGCCACCACGCACAGTACATGAACGGGTCCGCCGGCCGCCGCCGCTGCGGGAAGCCCGAGCTCAACGGACACTGCGTGCCCGACATTGTCAAGGTGAGTCTCGGCCACCACGCACAGTACATGAACGGGTCCGCCGGCCGCCGCCGCTGCGGGAAGCCCGAGCTCAACGGACACTGCGTGCCCGACATTGTCAAGGTGAGTCTCGGCCACCACGCACAGTACGCAATTACACTTATGTCAAAGAAGTTGCATTTAGACATCAAAAAAATAAATCGGAACGATAATTGGTACAGAATTCGTGAATGCTCGAAACACATAAGGTATAGGTTATCATAGCCGGCTTTGCTACGAATTCTTCAATCAGTTATTGTTAATGTATGTTTTTTTTACAGTTAGAGAAGCAGTCGCGAGACAAGAGCGCGACACACACGCACGCACACAGCGTCGCGACGTCCGTCGACGACGAGCGAAGTGATGCGGTCAGAGGTTGGTTCTCTCTCTGTCTCTTATTATTATTAAGTTTCTAAACTTCAGTCTCATCAAACACACTTTCAATCTCCGAGAGCAGCGACAATTTTCGTCTATTGACCGATAACTTCGAAAATGATTAAACTAGAAGTCTAGTGAATGTCATCTGCAGTTTTGTGGGTGGGTTGAGGAACAACACCTTTAAAACATGTAAAAAAATATAATAAAAATAGACCTTATGCTTTATAACTTTAAAGTATAAAATAAGGAAAAAGAAAATTACACAAGTTAATGTTCTAGTGGTCTCTAGATGGCGTTAGTATTATATAAAAAATTATGTTTATAGGAGTATAACTTGTTTAAACCTTTATTTTTGCAGGGGTTATTAAATCTTCTAGGTGTGATAAAAAAGAGGCTAGTACATTAAAAGAAGAGAAAAGGAGAAGTAAAAATAAGGATAAAGATAAGGAAAGTTCCGATAGTCATAAGAGTACAGAACAAAGTGAGTCAATATCAAAGTTTTAATAATTTTATTAGAATATTAATTATACAATATTGATTAAATAATTTGAATTTTGTTTCAGCACAAGTAGTTAAAGAAGTAGAAAGTACAAAAGAAAGTGTAAAAAATAAAGAATGTAATGGTTATAAAGAGAAAGACAAAGAAAAGGAAAGAGAACGAGAAGCAAAAGAGCGGGAAAGAGAACGCGAAAAGGAACGGGAGCGCGAATTGGTAAGATACAAAATTTAAATTAAGATTTTTTATATCATTGTATAGACTAACAAGCAATTATAAGCCAAAGAAAACTGATAATTATTGTACAAGAATAGTGCCATTGATACATTGATTCCTATGATATGACTCAAACATTCCAATTCCAGAGGACTAAGATGCCACATCTGTTATTTTATTTTATAATATATATGATCAGATTAAGCACTGCATAATCAAATGCTCACAAAACAAGTTGCTCGTCTCCCGATTTCGTTGAGACTGAGGTACCCGTGCAGTCGAATTCGCCAGGCTACCTCTAGTGAGATAGTTTTGTCTTTGGACGGAATAAAATTCAAGTAGATTTAGTCGATCGACTCACATATATGTGTCCGTGTGCGTAAACAGCGCGAAGCGCGGTCGTGCTCGGAGGAGCTGAAGCGGGTGCGAGCAGAGCTGGCGGCCGCGCTGCGCAGCGAACAGGACGCCAGGCGGGCGCTCGCAGCCGCCGCCGCCAACGACCGCCAGCGCCGCGCGGACCTCGCGCAGCTGCGGCACGCGCACCACGCGCTGCAGCACAAGTGAGTACGGCACGCGCACCACTAGTGAGTACGGCACGCGCACCACGCGCTGCACCACTAGTGACTACGGCACGCGCACCACGCGCTGCACCACTAGTGACTACGGCGACCGCGGCTCAAGCACCGGAGAAAATTCATTCAGTATGAAATGATTTCAATTTCGCAATGCTTCTTATGGGCAAGATATGTCTGAAGTTGTGTTTTTTTTTAACATATGTTTTTTTTTTATAAAATGCCAATATGTTCTTATCGATGTCGAGGCAATCGATTATCCTATGTACGATTTTGTAAAAATTACAAATTGCTAAAAAATACCAAATAAATGTGGGCCAAGCATATAGCCTTGCGGAACTCCACTAATTGGTAGCATCTAATTAACTCTCGCTAAGTAAGCGTATGATGTTCTCAAACTGACTGTTGCGCGGCAGGGTATCAACGTGGCGCGGCACCAACTCGACGTCGGAGCGGCGGGCGGGCGACGAGCGGCGCGGGTCGCGCGCGTCGCGCGAGGCGGCGGCGGCTGCTGCGGCGGCGGCGGCGGGCGCGCGGCAGGCGCGCACCATGAGCGGCGACTGCGACTCGGCGCGGTGCGCGGCGCGGCGCGCGGCGCTGGACGCGGACGCGGCCGGGCTGCGCGTGGAGCTGCAGCGCGTGCGGGACACGCTCGCAGTCGTGCAGCGAGACCTCGCGCACGCCAACGAGCAGGTGCGACCATACACCCCTCTCTCTCTTGTTCTACTCGTCTAGGGACGAGTTAGTTCGACGGCGATACTTTCGACGCTCGCGTACGCTAAAGAACAGATGCGCCGATATATTTCACGCAGACGCTCGCGTTCGTGCGACGTTTCGCGAACGTCGACGTACAGGTGCGCAGATACATCCATCGCCGTTCTCTATTCCATTGTAGGGACAAATTAGTTTGACTTCGATGCAGATGGTAGCTCCTGCTAACAATCAGGTGTACCGATACGTCTTGTTCTGCTTCGAAGGAAATAGTTAGGTCTACTTTTATGCAAACACTCTCGGTCAGTGCCCTCGGACTAATCTCTAGCAATGCTCTCAAACTAAAGTCGTATCTGGCAAACAGGAGATAGTCTTCAACCACTCCATAAGTCGTTCTATGGGTTTAAAGTGCCATCTGCACTCGCCCTGTGTCGTCCCGTGAACTTGTAAACACCAATTGTGGCCAACACCATTAGTCCAAAAAATAAAATTTACTCTTGTTTTGTTTGCTTATACAAGGACGAGTTAGATATACTTTAACGAAGTGTTCATTAAAAATATCACGGTTAATTCCTGGGGAAGTCGTTACGATGGAATAAGTGACTTTAACCTCATTCTTTTTCACTAATATTCCGCCAAAAATTTTGAGAAAATTGACGTTATGATTGCGTGTGCAGCTGGAGGCGGCTAAGGCGTCTGCGGCGGAAGAAAGCGCTGGCAGCGCGCGGCTGGCGGCGCTGCAGGACAGAGCCGCGCACCTGCAGCGCTCGCTGTCCGCAGAGACGCGCGTCAAGCTCGACCTGCTCTCCGCGCTCGGCGGCGCCAAGCGGCACATCCTCATACAGGACGGTGAGTGCTCGCCGCACACTGCGCACCTGCAGCGCTCGCTGTCCGCAGAGACGCGCGTCAAGCTCGACCTGCTCTCCGCGCTCGGCGGCGCCAAGCGGCACATCCTCATACAGGACGGTGAGTGCTCGCCGCACACTGCGCACCTGCAGCGCTCGCTGTCCGCAGAGACGCGCGTCAAGCTCGACCTGCTCTCCGCGCTCGGCGGCGCCAAGCGGCACATCCTCATACAGGACGGTGAGTGCTCGCCGCACACTGCGCACCTGCAGCGCTCGCTGTCCGCAGAGACGCGCGTCAAGCTCGACCTGCTCTCCGCGCTCGGCGGCGCCAAGCGGCACATCCTCATACAGGACGGTGAGTGCTCGCCGCACACTGCGCACCTGCAGCGCTCGCTGTCCGCAGAGACGCGCGTCAAGCTCGACCTGCTCTCCGCGCTCGGCGGCGCCAAGCGGCACATCCTCATACAGGACGGTGAGTGCTCGCCGCACACTGCGCACCTGCAGCGTGAGCTGTCCGCAGAGACGCGCGTCAAGCTCGACCTGCTCTCCGCGCTCGGCGGCGCCAAGCGGCACATCCTCATACAGGACGGTGAGTGCTCGCCGCACACTGCGCACCTGCAGCGTGAGCTGTCCGCAGAGACGCGCGTCAAGCTCGACCTGCTCTCCGCGCTCGGCGGCGCCAAGCGGCACATCCTCATACAGGACGGTGAGTGCTCGCCGCACACTGCGCACCTGCAGCGTGAGCTGTCCGCAGAGACGCGCATCAGAATCACTCGCCGTTCTTTTACACCTTTAAAAGTGCATACTTTACTTAGAAATTTATACAAATATTGGAGAAATGCCTATAAGATATATATTATTTCAGGCACAATATCGAGGCAAGAAAAAGAAATAGAGGAACTAAAAGCTCAAATGTTGGCCGTGATGCCGACCGAGTACGTGACGGTGGGCAGCGGCACGTCCAAGCTGCGGCTGGAGACGCAGCTCGACCCCAACGCCTCCGTGTACACTCCCAAACAGCTCTGTTCGGACGCCTGAGCCGGCCGCCGGACGCCGGACAGCCCGCGCCGGACGCCGGACGACCCGCGCCGGACGCCGGACGCCGGACGACCGTCGCTCCCTGCCGGTCTTTGTATGGCCGTTCTTCTGATCTCATTTATTTTCTAAACACGCAAGCTGACAGTGTTCCCGTTTTGTCTTAATTTATTTATTTTTAGTGACTTTGTCGTTACGCTTGTTGAAGCCCGATGTGGGGAGTCCATACAAACGTCGGCAGGATGACTGCACACGAGATATATGAGAATTAGTTTTGTAACCGTGTACGTACAAGCAGAGCGTTTATTTTTTCATATATGAAATATATCATATAGCTACTTGTTCCGTACTTGAGAGCTACTCGGATTTGTACTGAATGATGACAATGTTGTTAGAGACTCATTGCAAAATGCTATTATGACATGCAAAAAATATTACAGATATTTGAAAAATCCAATACATTTTTCCATATATTAAATAGTTCCTTTTTCAAAAATTCGCTAACGAACTTTAAAAACTACGCATGTACCTGCCGTTATTTCTTGCACGAAAATTGATGAATCAATAAACTTATTTCTTGTCTTTGGAGGGTAAAGAATCGCTACTACAGTACTATGAGTGTTCTTTTAAATTTATGTGATAAATTGTACAAAATAAGATCTGAATCGAGTCTTCTTCCTTAAGTAATTGTAGTTCTATTGACGTTTTAGTCGAAATTTGTCGGTATGTGTCGTGACGTCACGCTCGGCCACGTTCGGCCGTGTTCGTAAGAATATCCTTACGGATATGTACGTAATTGTTAATGGTCATACAAACAGTACAGTCTTTCGGTGTTTATTTTTAGAGACTCTGATAAATAAATACTATATTTGTATCTAAATATCTGGGAGTACTTACTTAATGGCTGTATTACTACAGCCATTATCATTGACAAGGTGTTTAGTAGTGTCTGTTTCTCCGTGCTTATGTACATACTGTGATTCCAAGATGTGTCCGAATAATATAATAAATAAATGTGCAAATTAACTACCGTACCAATTGTGGAACTGTCAGTATTATGGTGTTAAGAAAGTTTTTTTGCATATAATGTGATTCAAACGATACTAGACCTTATAGCGTCTATTCATGATGAAAATGTTGGCTTAGGCAAATTCATTTCATTATTCAATGCCCGCAGTCCTATTATTAATATAGTCGAACAAGTTTTAACACGAATAATTTGATGGTAAATTAAGGTATTTATTATTATTATTATTAAATTGCCGGCACCTATCAACATTCGCTGTTACTCGACTTAGCTCGTGACCACGAGCAGTCCAACCTAGTTAATAATAATAATAATAGGTTAATACGGTTGGTTAATGTATTTTTGTAGGTAAAGTAAATAATATAACTGACTTACCAATTCTTTGTAGAATATTTCAGTATAATTACCATAGCAATGGAAAAACAATACAGAAAATAAATATAATGTTAAAAGTTGTATATAAAAAAAATCAAATGTCACCAACACTAGTCGAAACGTCGAGACAGGTAAACCTATTAAAAAGACACGGGTAGTGAAACCTACTTGAAACGTCGAGAGGTAAATACCTTTATTTACCATAAAATTATTCGTGTTAAAACCTATTTACCTATATTAATAATTTGTGCTAGCAGTGCTCTTTATTTGGAGATGAGAATCTAATAAGATAGAACAGAAAATATTTTTGTAACGAATATTCAACTATATAAAAAGCTGCGACGCTACAATGTTAGGGTCGAAATCTATATAAAGAAGACGTATTGAGTTACGCTGTTACAAATCTGTCATTTTCAATCAATATAATAAACTACGTCGCATAATCGAGACCCTAAGGGCGCCTTCAAATTTGTCGCAAAGAGCCGCACGATGGTAGCGCGTTTGCAGCGCTGCAGCCGCACTGCTGTCGCTAGGTTTGAGAATTGTAGTGTAGTACATAGTTTCACGATGGACTCATCGATGGATTCTTCACCTGACTTGTACAAAAAAATACGTGCGTGCAGTCACTAGTCGATCGAAGAAAAGTGCGTACCCGCAGCGGTGCAGACGTGCTGCCACCGCGCGGCACTCTGCGGCAAATTTGAAGGCGCCCTAACAATGTTATTGATACATTCAAATATTTCTAGTGTCACTTCTGTAGTTCTCACTTTAGTTTTTGTTAGTCTTCCATGTAAATATAACAGGTATAGTAAAATATACAACAAGCAGAAAGCCAGTGGTTAATATGCATCAGAAATATGGACAATTAAAAAAATAACATGTGATTTTCAAAATAATCTTTAATAAGACTTTTTTTTATTCATTGGAGAGGATATGCGGGTATAGAGCCTTAAAGACGATATGGAAATATTTTTGAGGGTAATTATCAGAGAATATATATATTTTATGTATACTGTTTATTGCACCAAATACAGAACAGATTTATTGATAAGCAATCTATTCATTTCTTTTTTCAAAGATAGTCTACCTTTGGGTGGATAGAGAAAGTAAAGAACAAAAGTAAAAATATTCCTTTTGATAAAAGTTCATAATTTTATTAACTATTTTTATCAAAAGTGATTTTTAAGAACGTTTTCAATAATGAAAGATTCCAAATAAATTAGATAACAAACATTAAAAAAATATCTATCAATCAAAGGCGTCCGTTAAATAGCTTAGAAAGTTCTATGCATCCGGGTTGAGCCAGGTCGGCCCTCCTAGTCTCTATATATATATAACCCGTTAGCCGTTTCCTTTACTTTTCATTTTATTTTTTAATCTATCACATCGTAAGAAGAGTATAAAATCGATTTTCATGTCTCAATACTGGCTTCCGGCTTGGCTATACCCTTCTCGATGAAACTAGGGATGTCGCGTTCTATTCGTTTGCGACGTCTATCATTATTTTTTCGTAAATCGTTTTGGTTCAAGCGACCGTTTTCCCTCCGGATTGCATGGGTTTCCTCTTTATAACTATATATATTTTTGTTAAAGCTTTTTAAAGCTAGTTTATTAGCTTTTTATAACATATCCACTGTCTCCAACTGTAGTACAAAATGGGCATTACCTTATATTAAAAATGTGTGAATCCCATGCCTTTCTGAAGAAAACTGCTGTGCGGCTATCGTACTGAGTATTAATTAATAAAACTATAAGTCGCTCTTTTTTCTGATGTTTCAACGCAAAGTATATAAACAAGGATATTTGTACACCTTATAAACGAAATAATTTACCATAATACAGTAAGAGCCCACTTAACACTGTTCCGGTTTAGCGCTCTTTCAACTCTCAACCTGCATTTGGATAATAACAGAAAACGTCGAGGAAATAGTTTAAGAAACAGCACCTAACCTCTCTAATAATGAGCTCAAGGAATTAACTGAGCAAGAAGAAAACAAAAATATTGATATATAATAAAATAGTCATTCCGAAGAAAAGAAAGAAAGATAGCGTTGTTTAACCCTGTTTCGCTTAGCGCTGGAACTTATTGGAACGTATCCGCGTTAAGCTGGATCTTACTGTAATATTATTTAAGAGTATTCGGGCTAGTCGATCCGTTTACAAAATGTTTTTAGCCGTGTCGAAATATTCGGTCGGTGGTATAAATATTAAGTTGCGTTTATATAATGTGTACAATTGTGAAAACAGTTTTCAAAATACATTATCAATATTTCTATCTATTCCAGTCTGGCGCTGGCCTAATTGTTAAAAAATATTAATATGACGTACAACTAAAGAATATGTCCACATATGAACATTTTATCGTGACCCTAATAGCAGCAAACTGTTTTAGACCTCATTATAACTTCACGAATAGAATAAATATTTGTACAGGTAAATCAACAAAGACGTTTCCCCTACGATCGATCTTCCGCCCAATTCAAAAGAGGTTCCATTACTACGGTCTGAGCAGAGGTTCGAACCTCTATAGGTGCCCTCAGGCAGGAGTTGGTCTTCAGCCGCTCTGTAAGTCCTTTTGCTGGTTTGGAGTGCCATCTGCACTGCACACTCACTCCCCCTATCATCCGGTGAAGCTGTAAAGGCCAGTTCCGGCAAACAGCATCAGAGTAGTCCGAAAAATGAAGACTTACGTTTCAGTATACAGTCCGTAGTATGTTTTACAGATAGTTACTTCAGTAATTCAGTAATATACATTGTTAAAAAAGAAATAATATTATTACTGAATACTAAATAACATAATTTGATTATAGTTGGTAGGGCTGATCGCAGATAAAAAAATATCACTGAACACAGCCTCAAAGCGTGGTCTTACCGCATCTGCGGCCAATCGAAAATTCGCGTTTATTTAATTATTAACTCATTTATTTCCGAAGGTTACGGTTTTGATTCCTCGCACGGTACACATGATTGTTTGTAGAGATCTGTGTGTTTTCTAAGTATATTTTATATAATTTATTTTACAAGTCATATGTGTATTTAAAAAAAAATATATATCTAAGTATTTATAGCAGGTGTCTAGTACCCATAACAAAAGCTCTGCTTACTGTGGGACTAGATGGCGCTGTGTTAATAGTTCAGAGTTATATAGTTATATTTATTATTACTTATATTTCGTGTATCGCGTTGCAATGCAACGACTTTCTGACATGTTCATATCTGGACGTACCCTAACAGTTGTGAATTCATGACTATTGATTTTGTAATTATATTCGCAATGGTTGGTGTGGGCAGAGACTATTTTTTGTACAGTAAAATGTAGTCTATGGTAGTAAAGTGTGATTTGATTGATATTACGCCATACCATATCGTCCATTTTGAATAATTTTTAAGTAAATGACTTAATTTACGAAAATTTCACACTTTTATTATGTAGTTGTTTCCAAGGTTGTAATCATCTGCTGAATAAACAAAGGGTTGAATGTAAACGCACGTTGCGGAGAGAAAGTCAGTACTTTTATTGTATGTACGTTATTTTTCACAATATTAATTAATGTATTAATATTTCTTAATTTATTGTTTCGTGAGTTAAATTTACATATAGCTGCAAAATAACATTCTGTAATATAATCTAAATCATTGATATGGTCTAATTAATAACTGTATTTATTTACTACAATATTAGATAATTTTATGAGCATAAACCTCGGGCGGTGCAGCTAAGGCAATTTGTTCACTGGTGAGGTAATGGAGTGATTGGTTTTAGGGTACAATGGGACTGACATGCACTTAGATGGTCCAAAGTCTCTAAATTTAAAAAGAAATAAAAAAAAGCATAAACCTCAGGTTAACTAGACGAGCACTTGTGGAGAAACAAAATACAATACCATGAAATTAAGAATCTCTTCGGTTTTGGAATATGTTATATTAGCATATCTTTACGGTCGACCCCAAACGGGGTAGTATTAACAAGTAATAATAAAACTACAACACTCCTCGCCTTGCTCGACTTTTTATTTTAATTTATTTTACAAGTCATATTTTTTTCCCTTGCACACCTTTAGTCACGTGGACTATAAGCAGATGTGGGTGGTGTACAAGTCATATAAAATTAAATATTGCATTTAATGTGTACAATGTAGATCAGAAATGTTGGTTTGCCATTCGAGTGTGTAGTGATTAAGTATGGTATGATAGGAAGGGGGTATGTTGTTTAGTAGGATTTTTAATTGTTTTTTTTCAATGTAACACGTTCATCTTCACTTGTATAAGTTTTGTGTGCGTAATATATAAATTAATCGATAGATAAACGTCTTATTTTATGCATATTTAACAATTATCACAGTGTGGTTATGTTGTATTTATATTTAACTACTATTAGATCATCTATTTCAAATTAAAATTATATATTACATACTTTTTTAATAACAAAGTACCAAATTTATTTAAAACTAGCCGGACCCGCGACTTTGTCCGCGTGGAACTTAACTTTTTCTAAAATAGAAGATTTTTTCTAAAATAAAGGTCGTCTAAGTTAATCCGTATTACATCAGCTACCTGCCAATAAAAGTCCCGTTAAAATCGGTCCAGCCATTTCAGAGATTAGCCAGAACAAACACACCGACAGACAGACAGACAGACAATAATTGTAAAAAGTGGTTTTTTGGTGTATGTACCATATTTATATTCACATGTACTTAGTAAAAAACGGTTATTTCAATATTACAAACAGACACTCCGATTTTAATTATATCTATAGATAATGGATGTGCCAGGCTGAATAAAATTTAAAGTAATTTAATATAATAATATTACAATATTGTAACAAACTAAACAATTGAATCCTTTAATTAGCATTAATAACGATATTTGTATAGTTACAGTTTTAATGGGAATACATAAAGACGTATTAAAGGTAAGCGACTAAAATCCTAATTGCATTATTTATTAAATAGACTGCATTTTCCAAGTATATAACAATATGGTAACTATTGAATATGCATAACTTAAGTTCTAATAAGGTGTAACAAAACGTACAAAAATGTCATTTTACAAGGTTATCTGCCTTAAAAAGCAAATATTTTATGTTGCTATATCGCTCAAAAGGAATGAGTTAGGCCTACGCAGCGACGGGTGTGACGGTGATTTTTATTTGTTAATTGAAATCTGTACTGCGATGCAGTTCTAAATGCTAAATGTATAAAAGAATCTATTTACTGTCAAAATTACTCCAAATATATGTCTAAGACTATATAGGTCTGAGTGAAAACAGTGGCTTACGGGTCAACTAAATTTGCAACTAGTATGTAATTCACTAAGACAGCATATAACCGCGTAGCGTCACCCCGCTACGAGTTCCCTAACTTTACATTTATTAATAAAACGAAGTACAGAATTAATTTGAAATTGTGTGAACAATTCGTATTATTTTGAGATTGCGACTGGCTGTCGTTCACTCTAGTCTTAATCTTAACTAGGTCGGTTCAAGCGCATGTTGCGTGGTAGAACTCGGCCTTCTATTATGGTTGTTGTATTGTTTTTTTATAATAAGTTTGTTTTGTGCCAGCATTAATTTAATTGTAACGAGATACGCAAGGATTGTAAGAGATTTTAAATATATAAAGAGTTGCTATTAGAAGAGACGATTGACTGAAAGTTTATGACTCTTTCACACGTGCGGATAATGTAATACCTCTCTAGCTTTGTAAATGGCGAACTATCGGTAATAGACTGTTGTGTCACGTATAGGAAAGACCAAGACGCTGGACGTTTCTGTCTCTATCACACACGGCAGCAGTTTCCTATCGATAGATCTGTCGCTTGTCAGCAAAGATAGTGAATTTGACTCTATAAACATATCTTTAATTCATTATACATATTTTATCAATGAAAATTTACGTGTCATATACGTCCTCTAGCCAGAGACAAGTCGTGAAACGTCGACTCTAATAGTAGTAACTTTTTAGGCAGATCCACCTGCGGCAGTAGTACAAACAGGCTGTTTCATGTTTTATATAAAGATTGTTTCATATACAAGCAGCCTCCTGCCTTCCGAATCACATTGCCTTTTTTTAAATCCAAAACAATTGAAGTACTTAATTTTAGCTGTAGATCTCGATGTGATTTTCGTAATAAGTGTTTATTTCTCGGAATAGAATTGATGTGTCGGCAGCACAGAGATATATTTTTTCACGTGGAATTATATCTCGAACAGATAGATGTGACTCTATGTCGAAGGAACAATTGGTACAAGCAGAGCGATCTGAATTTTCATTAGTGAAATGTAAGCGATGTTTGTTTGTATTATAACAGATGCTGTAACAGCAATAAAAAATCAGACTTGTATTCTGTCGTTTTATTATATATGTTTACACCTTAAAATATATAATTGTTCTGTATGTGTATTATTTAAGTTCTAAACAGTTGGACCGAATTGGATGAAATTTTACAAGCATGTTTTTAATTTGCAATTTAAGCAAATAGCTGTTTGTTTGCCTAAAATCTTGCAACATAATTTAGAAGCAGATATCTTTAACGATTCTGAATTATTGCTACGAAGGTTTACGTTTAGTTTGGATGAAAATGTATGGTTAAGGTTTTCGGTTATTTTTATTTTACCTACTTTTACGTCCATTGTGGCGACATCTAGTTAGTCATTCTAAAACTAACAGATCTTATGTAATCTGTGAATAATTTTGTGAGTTACATGTTTGTTATTTCTATATAATTTATGACTGTTAGCATTGTTCATAATATACAACTCCTTGTTGTTTTAAAAAAAATGTTATTTCTGTTTTCTATACTTTTCTCATTTAAAAGTTGACTTTATTGTGCATACATTTCATTGGGTTAGTGGATGATTTAAAAACAAGTGGATTCCGTAGGTGGTTTCATCTTAGTCATTGTTAAGATGAAATGTATCACAAGAATCACGTATTTTGTGATGTCTGTGATTATCTAAATGTAAATAGTCACATTACTTGCTAAATAAGAAAACGGAATTAGTATAATTGTTTTAATCATTGGCTAAACTAGACAATCTGGCTTCACTGACAATATTCTGTATCTCCAACTGTACCTTCAATGCTTTTTGTAAATCCATCTTTCTTAATTGTGTAGCTATATATTTTCCATAAATATCAAATTCATCTTCTCTGATGTGTGATTCGGAGATAGAATCCAGACTTCCTCTACAGGTCCTATCTGAATTCTCCACACTAGGATACCTGAGATACTTCCTATTTTTACTTTTACCATTATTTATAATGTCCGTATCATTCTTTGGAGAATCTTCCTTTGGTTCAGATTTTAATAAGATCACATAATCATCGTTGTTGTGTGATAAGAATGGGTCTGTATCAGTTTCATCATCATTATCATCAGTAGACACCCATACTTTTTGTGACAAGTCATCTTCTTGTACTTCATCATCATCCTGTAAAGAAAATTATATGATTTTTAAAACTTATATTTATTTATGCATTAAAATTTAACTATGTATGGGACTGTGTATATGAAAGATGAAAACATAGTGAGTTCATTAAATTGGCTAGTTTTTATCCCTTTATTTGGAGTGTGTCAACACCAAATAAGGGGATAAAGCATAAATACTGTGTAGTATGTCACTGATTTCTAACTCCCTGCAATTGGCGGGAAAGGGATTGTTAGTAATGTGGTCTCATGACCCCATTACTAGCAATGTCCCATGTCAGGTTGACCTCCACGTGGTTCTCCCTGGAAACCATAGTGATAAATTCCTGGTGAATTTGTCACACGATGGGTTAACTGACCTAACCTCATGTTCATCTTATCATCCTCCATTGGTGCCCCGCCAACGTAAACCGTTAGAGCAGGCTGGTGCTCCATTCCATTATCATCCATAACAAAAAATAAACTCGCTACAATTATAAAAATCAAATTATGTTATATACTTTGTTTACAGGGTGCAATGAACTTTACATCACTCATTGTAAAAAATAAAATCTGAGAATTGAGGGCTGAAGCTAGAAAAGGTATGATGGAAAATTTCTATTTAAATTTAGAACAACTGATAAACACCAGTTATATATATATATATATTTTTATGAAATTATATAAATCAGGAACATGTGCAATAATCTGAATTTTACTAATTGTATTGTGTGGGAATGATGTAATCATGAGAATTATTTTTATAAAATATATGTAAAAGAAATAGGTATCTACTTTCTGCTTATTATATCTTGTATATAAATCATTGATTGATACTTTGATAATTATAGTTTTTTTTTAAGTTTATATAAGTACTAAGAATTATGTTAAGAACTGTATATATAAACAAATAATATATGTTACAGTATATTTTATTCACAAATAGGAAGACAAAGACCAACAGCATACAACCTAATCTTCTTTGGGGAGTCCGTTTCTACACAGGGGAGCAGTTGTGAGGAGAAGGAAGCTGTTCTAAATCTCACATCCCCACCTCGTTGGGAGCCAGTCTTATAGGCTGGGGTAAGCTATTGGTCAATTCACGCAGACATTACTGCGGTTCAGGCGCTGTGTCTTTATTGTCAGGTTTAATGCCACATGTCAGGCTGACGAGAGGTCATATATGAGTTTCTAATACATTTTCTTAACAGTTTCTGAAATTGTCTAACTACTTACATTAAGTGTGACATCGTATTTACTTCTTCTCATAGAACTAAAGTGTTTATGCCAATCGGGAAACCATTTCATAGCCGGCGTGTATACTGAATCTGGACAAGACCGATGTTTTATTTTTGCCAGTTCTTGCACGTAAGTGGATCTAAGATTTTTTATCTTCATCTTCACTTCAACTTCATGAAGTACTAGACCTGTAACGGCGTTAAATTCTGAACTGATATCTTTATACGCCTTCTGTCTTTTATTCTTCATTCTGTAACTGGGATGATCAGGGTTCCACAAATACTCATGACTTAAATATATTTTAACGAAGTGGTATGTCTCATTTTCACTCCACCTCATTGTACAATTTATTCTTCAATATTATAATGTTCTTTTTTACTTAAAATAAACAGAACGAATCAAGAAATAGAGTTATTAATATTTTAACAACAAGGAATAAGCATTTATATAAACATAATTAAAGATTAGAATTTACTCCCATAAATGACAATGGATTTGATAGACTGACGCAGACTGATGCCATTTGACTGACATAGAATGTTGCCATGTTTTAATTAATAATTTTTCTACATACACAATATTCTGCTGTTTATCACCCGCTCCATATTTTTTATAGGATTGGGTTACGTTATAATTACCTTTTATTTTATTTACTTTAAACATTGCATATTAATGTATAATTATTTTTAAAGCTGAGAATCACGCAGATGGCAAAATAGAGGGCCATGCTCGGAGTTTCTCAGTGTGATCGAAGTAGAAATGAGTAGATCCGCAGAAGAAACGACATAGCCCGAAGAATTACGAAACTGAAGTAGCAATGGGCAGGGCACATAGCTCGTAGGATAGATGGCTGTTGGGGCAATAAAGTCCTCAATTGTCGACCACGGACCGGAAGAGGCAGTGTGGGAAGGCTTCCAGCAAGGTGGACCGACGATCTGGTCAAGATCGCTGGAACGCGATGGATGCGAGCAGCGCAGGACCGATTGTCGTGGGGATCTTTGGGGGAGGCCTTTCTCCAGCAGTGGACGTCGTCCAAGCTGAGATGATGATGATGATGATTTTTCAGACTATGTAATAATCAGATGAAAATTAGATCTACCTAATCGGAAGGTTTGGCAACAAGCCAAATGGAGATAATAACAATATGGAGATCGTATACCATAATAATTTAATAAACCATAACTTACTACAGTGCACAGTGTACAGTGAAAATGGTACACATAGATCATGGGACATCACATACTAAATACAGCATTTTAAATACTACTGTCAATAATTAAAAATGCTATATTAGGTTACAAAAAACATTTAATTTTGTTATCTAAATAATTTATAAATAATTTTAAAAATCTTTGGCCTATAATATTACATATTGTGCGATGATAAATAATAATAAAAATATTTTGTTTATAACATTAAAGATAGTTATACTTAAGAAGTAATTAATTATTACACATATCAGCGATTCTAGCCTCACTTACAAGATTCTGTATTTCGAGCTGGAGTCTCAGAGCTTTATGCAAGTCCATTTTCCTTAGTTGAACAGCAATAAATTTGCCATAGATATCAAATTCATCTTCATTCGCCAAGCATTCTGAATTTGAATCTGTTGAATAATCTTGCACCGGACTCCTGTGCTTTAATTTTTTCTTTTTAATTTTTTTGTAGCTTGACAGTGTGTTCCTTTCTTTTTTTATTTTCGAGACAGTATCATCTGCTCTTGTAGAATCATACTCTTCATCAGTTTGTGGTATTAGAGGATCAGGATTTACTTCCTCTGTAACACCATTTTGCAGTTCTTGATCCACCCATATTTGACAAGAAGAATCCACTTCAGCCGATTCTTGGGGCTGAAAATATTTTTATTTTAATTAGTTTCAGAAAGAAATAATTGAACAAACATATTCTAGGATGCGTTCATAGTTGCATCAAAACTCTGGTGGTTGTTTGGTTGGTTGATGGTTTCTCTTTCTTAAATAATCAATTTGAAATTTGAATATTACAAAATTACTAAAATGTGAAGAAATTATCTATTACTGAATATTTTTTCTGTATTTTATATATACTTACGTTGTCACATAAAATCGGATGTCTGTTTGTTGTTATGTTTTTCAAACATCGATCCATATCGTGAAACCAGATTAATGACGGTTCGTATATAGAGTTCGGACTTGATTTCTGTAGTATTTTGTGTACTTGTTGGACGTATGTTGTTCTTAAATTTTTAATTTTCATTTTAACCTCCGGAACCGATAGTACTTTATTTGTGGAAGCCTTAAATTGGGTGCATATATCGACGTAGGCTTTATCTCTTTGGCTTTTCAGTTTGTATCCCGGATGAGCTGGATTCCATAGGCATTCGTGTTTTAAGTAAATCTTAACAAATTCTAAAGTAACTGCTTCACTCCACCGCATTATTTATTTTGAATATTATCTATTTACAGAAATTAAAGTGTATTCGATTGTAAAATTTTATTAATTCTAAACAATTTTTTTTGACATTGACACTGACAGTTGCTTGAACTTGATGTTAGCGTTTTATTTTCTATTCACCATTACTCACATAATAGGCTTAGTGATTACTTTCTTTACAAGTAGAACCTAAGTATACTACGTTTACGTTATGGTGTAAACAGATTTTATTTGTTGATGAAAACAGTAATCATCAGTATTGATTGGATAGTCAAAGACACATTATTATTAGAAACTCATAAATAAAACATACGTTGAAAATCTCAAACTTTAATCGTTACACACAAGAACAACTTAAAACGTGCAAAAACTCCCGTAACATTATAGAAAATAAAAGCAAAATAAGCATGTAGTACAAATACTTTAAAAAGCTCATTATTGTTACTTAAACCAACTCATCAAATTAATTTTAACTTATAGGTAGATAATATTTAATAATCACTAAAAAGTCTGAGTAACTCATAATCATACTTTAAAAAGATCTACCAAAATCACTAGTTCATGATTAAAATAACTACATTTCTGATCTTAGAAGAAATAAAAAGTAAACGAAGTGATACATAATTCTATGGTTTTGATATAAGATGTTCATTAAAATATCTAAATTTATTTAAAAAAACGATCACAAACATTATGTACCAAAAGTTTACAGTTCGAATTATAGAAAATAATTATACTAAAACAATACAATTGGGCATTCATAAATTAGCATGTTAATAGGGTTAAAATCAAAAATGCACACGCAGTAAAAACCTTAAATTCATAATCAAATAAGCGCAAAAACATAAATGATCACTGATATATATATATATAATAAAAATGTTAACTGATTAAAATAACTCAAATATTGGTAATGTGACTACGTTCTAACCGTCACTAAGTAGATATGTTACCAATATCTGATTAACTAAAATATAAATTCGTCGTATTTAAAATCAAGTCAAAATTTCAAGTTCAAATTATGGTCCGAACGTTTAGATTTTATATTTGATGTGCTGATTTTCACGGGTCAATCGCCAATACCTGAATGTCTCCTTATAAATCATATTACTAAAAATATGCCACGAAAAGGAACACGTCGGTTGGCCGAATATGTATATTTAAAATTATAAATGTAGATATAAAATTAACTGATAATGTAATAAACTCGATTATCAAATTATAAAACGGTATGCCAAATATCCATGATGATCATACAAATATTGTCGGACGATGAGTTAATATACCTACAACTAAAAAGCTAAGTTTTGTACAATCAAAAAATAAAACATGCTCTCCATAATAAACTACGATTAAAATTCCATGAAGATAAATAACTTAAAATATAATTTTAACGGCGCTCGGCCAGTTTACTTCAACAATTGTCTGTGATAGATCTAATCGTCGTAACGCTTTCAGCTATATTATAAAAGTTTCAAAAACATAAACAAAATATCTTAATAACTACATTATATAAAAATCTCATAGAAAATAAGCGACAACATTAACAAGCTCATTCGTTGCAGTCACAGCTCTCAACAATTCACATAATCTTATTAGTCTGTGTAAGAAATGGATAACAAACAATTGATTACTCTGTTCTAAAGATCAGTTCACACTGCATTGGTAACGCGACGCGTAAACCCACTCGTCTCGGTCATATAACAAACCCCAAACACATAAAAAATTATTCAACAATATTAAGAATTTCAAAATAATATTCAATTCGCGCCGCGTCCCATTCACTGTGAATTAATCCTAAAGATCACAAGTTAGAATATATGACTGAACATATTTTATAAGTATCAGTCTTTAGATGCCTGAACACATAGCTATTAAATTATTAAATAATCTATTCAAAGTCTATCATCTCATTAATAGAATACTTCATTCGAGTCATTGAATCAGTCTTACGAGCTTGATATGATCAGTCTTTTAAACTCCACGTTTAGAATCTATAATACGAACTGAGGTATATTATTTATTTAGACTGGAATTGGTCATTTCAATGTAGGCATATGTTAATTATTACAAGTCCAAACTTTATGAGTCAAGTGTGATTTATAGAAGATAATTTTAGTATTAATTTTGAAGTCCTAAATGTATTATGAGTACAGAAAAGTTTAATATCTTGACTCATTTCAGACAAAAAACTAATTTTGATTTTTAATATCTTTTCTGCCTAAGTTTTAAGCCCGGTTTACATGACTCAAGTCACTTGCAAGTGCCTCGCCAGTATTTAGTAGGATTTAAATATCATACACGTGCAATCCTACTAAACTCTGAGTTGTCCTAGCCGCCTGAGTTTTCAAGCGTTTACCATTTGCACAGTTTGAGAAAAACTACCATTTACACACTTTGAGTTGTACTAGCCGTTTAAAAACTACCGTTTACACACTTGCAAGTGTTGTATAAAGTAAACCGGACGTAACATAATACCTACGAATACCAAATACTCAAGTGAAGCTGGTTGGAATGCAATAAAGGTCTACCACTTTTCCTGAGCGTGCGAAGTGTTGTACGGCGGAGAGTTGATGAGTTTGCCCGGCGCAGTCGACTTTTTAAAGGCGTTCGACTGTTTTTGCAGCTCTGTAATAAATAAAAAATATTTTTATGCCTATTCTTTACAACTTAGTAGATGCTGTCATGTTAATGTAGTCTACTTTATTCTTCTTTTTTAGTGTCAAATAATTTATACAATTTATTTAATTGCATTATATATAATAACTAGCTGTACCCGCGACTTCGTCCACGTGGTAGAGGGACGTTGACCAAATAAATAAAATACATATAAGATCAATATTATGTACATTTTGTCAGTCCATTATCATCTGTAATATACATGGTCGCAGCTGACAACATGTTATTATAACCCCGCAATATCTGTCATTAATAGGGATTTAAAATACGTCAAAATAACACCTCAGACGACCCAGGACAGATAGTACTGGCGCAGATTGCGGGACGGGCAGACCCCAAATAAGTGGAACTAAGGCCAGGCAAAAGAAAGAAGGTAGATAATGGTGAACAGTTGGTACCTGCGATGACGAGCAGCATCTTCCTGCGAGCGCCGAAGGCAGCTACTCCGATCTCGGTTAGGTCCGCCTCGTTCAGTGAAGCAAACGTTGACATGTCCAGTTCGTGTTTCACGAACAGGTCTGTTGCAACAATGATGAACGTGATATCCATTACAGGTGAATTAAGGGGAAATGAAGGATAAAAATAAGGCACAAGTATTACTATTTAGTGGAAAACTGAAAAGTGTCAATTAGAGATATTAATTGACATTTTAAGTCGAGTTAATAAACCACTTAATATATTTGCGCATTTTTTTAACATCAAGCTTATGATTTAAAATTCTTTTGAATTTAAACGTACCGAGCGAAATGTGAACGACTAAACAACTATAATAAGTATGATTGCATGACGCTTCATTACATATAGGCTATCACAAAAAATAATCTATAACTCGATGAAGGTGATCTGTAGAAATGAAAGTTTGCAAAGTGGCAGTTAATAGGTCGTAGCATTGTAGACCTGTTTGTTTTTTGTAAAATATTACCGATCGATCCCTGTCCAATTCATACGGGGTTCGAAATTACGACGGCCTGAGCCGAGAGTCAAATCCCTAGCGCCCTCAGACTAAAGTCGTATACGTCAGGCGGGAGTTTGCCTTCAGCCGCTCCATAAGTTCTTCTGCGGGTTTGGAATGCTATCTGCACTCGCCCCCTATCGTCCGGTGAAGCTATAAGTGGTAATTGCGCCAAACAAATCGAACAGTTCTTTTGTAGTCCAATGTCATATATAAAGGACTTACCAATATACTTTTGTAGTCCAATGTCTCGCAAGAGATCGTACAATTGTTGATATCGGCACGGTTTGCTGCTGGGCGGAGTTTTTACTGGCTCCGCTATATTAGGGCGTACCAGTTCTGATCTATTCCAACCTTTTTCAGGCTGAAAATAAAATATTGAAACTAAAGGTGGACAACAAAAATGAAAAAACCAGAGTATTTGTTTTATTGATGACTAGTTACCCACCCCGGCTTGTGACGGATGTATATGTATTATACATATAAACCCTGCTCTTGAATCTCTCTATCTCCTAAGTTGCACAATTTAAAAAATGTAAGCGAACAGACAACGGAAGCGAGTTAATTTAATACTATGTAATGATAAAAACATGGTGCACCCGCCTGCGCTAAAAGTTTACGCTGGCCGGGTACCAGTGGAGGATGATAGGATAAATAAGAGGTCAGGTTCAGTTAGCCCATCGTGGCAAATTTAAAAGGAATTTATCGTGATGGTTTCCAGGGGGAACCGTGTGGAGATCAACTTGACATGGTACATCGCTAGCAGTGGGGTCAACCATCACGTCTCCATGTTCTGGGGACTAAATAAAGCGGTAAAAATTGGCAACCAACACGTCTCCAGAATATGGAGACGTGTTGGTTGCTAATAAGAAGTACGATAGAAATGATCCAAGTCACTTACGGTGGTGGGTGGGTCGGAGTCGTTGATGTTTACTCCTCTCCCCATACTGGCGACTTTATATAAAGTGTTAATGTAACTTACGGTGGTTGGTGGGTCGGTGTCGTTGATGTTGATGGGCCCGGGCGAGGTGTGGCTGAAGTAGTATCCGGACCAGCGCTGCGTGGGCACGCGGAACCCGCTACCCACCGGCTCACGCATCGCCTGCACCGTACAATAAAACACTGTAATACTGTTTAAATTATTTTAAATTCATTTAGTCTCGAAGACAGGACGCAGCTGTTTCACAATGCATTATTTAATAAACTTGTGAGATTTAAGAAGAAGGTTTATATATACTCGAGAGCAATGAATCCGAGTCACTTAAAAAACCTATATATCTCAAAATCTAAGAATCTAGCATTGTTAATGAAATAAACTGAGTTTAGTAGACAATTAAATACTTAAATTAAGGTTATGTCATAAAAAAAAATTTGAAAAAGTTACTTTCGAAGATGGATCTACGGTTAGTGTATAGGATAGAACAAAGTAAGAAATTCAAAGATTTGTAGTGCTTCCGTGCGAAACCGGGACGAGTCGCTAGTAACATATAAACTGTAAAGGAAAATTAACGTAATTGGTAAACAAGTGTGTATTCGAGGAAAAATGGGCCTGTAATTAAGGCCAAGGGCGTACAAGTATTATTATATATCACCTAACCTTACCATAAGTTGCTGACCTGTATTTCCAATGTATTTTACGGCCTCGGTAGTCTAGCGGTTTAGGACACCGCTGGACAGGATGATTTACACAACCATCAAGCATACAAGCCATCTAGACCCAAATTAAGCTGTCTGGGGCTTGTGTTATAAGTACTAGACAACTGATAAAATACATGGATATTGTTTTTGTAAATACATACGCTATATACATAGAAAACACGCAGACCGATACAAACAATCATTACTTCTGAGTGTACCGTGCGAGGAATCGAACTCGCGACCATCGGAAGTAAGACGGTGTGCTAAATCGCTGGACCACAGAGTTCCTCAAATAAATACATAGTCAATTTCAGTTCTTCATCTGGCAAACATTGGATACCGTACCTTACTGGCCTCGGCTCTCATCTTCCTGTACTCTGTGAGTGGTGATAGCTTGTTGAGTGTCTCCAGGGTTTTCTTCTCGCAGCCCACAGCGCGGCGCTCCGATAGAGGCAAGTCTGAGATTATGTTCGCCAGCTCCGTTATTTCTATAAGAATGTTTGTTTTTTAATGGAGGATAATGATATGGTGCTCTCGCCTGAGCTAACTGTTTACGCTGGCGGGGCATCAGTGCACGATGTTAAAATGATCATGAGGTCAGGTCCAGCCTGCGCTAAGTGTGGTGGCGTCTGGTGGATGGAGGATGAACATAAGGTCAGATCAGTCGGCCCATCGTGGCAAATACATCAGGAAATTAGATAATGGTTTCCAGGGCGAAGGTCACTCCCATACTAAATATTACTTCTTTAGATCTGTGGGACTACCAGTACCACATTCCAGCATTTGCTGACGTACCGTGGTGGTGGTCATCGGGCGCGGGGCTGCGGCCGATGCTGATGGGCGACACGGATGGACTCGCCACACTGGCCGCCACGCTCGCCACGCTCGCCACACTGCTGCCGTCGCCGCCTGCACAACAAATTCATCTTATTATAAATGTAAAATTGTGCCTGTCTGTTTATGTATTAATTGATGATAAAGGAACGGCGCTCCCGCCTGGGCGGTTTACGTTGGTGGGACACGAGTGGAAGATGATAAGAAGAACATGAGATCAGGTCAATTAACCCATATTGACAAATTTACCAGAAATTTATCACAATACCTTTCCAGGAGAAGCGCGTGGAGTCAACCTGACAGTACATTGCTAGCAATGGGGTTATTGGTTAGTAGAAATTTGACGTGAGATATACTATGTTACGAACACGGATATATATTTCCTACATATACATATGCACCTTTAGTTTTGTATTTATGCATTAAAGTTTTAATGAATAATAATCTCAAGACATAATAATAATAATCTCAAGACAATTCAATCTAGACCCAAGTTAAGCTAGCTAAAGCTTGTGTTATGGGTTACTAGACAACTGATACAAATACATCCCCCTCCGATCGATCCCCCGTCCAATTCAAACGGGGATCGAAATTACGACGGCCTGAGCCGAGGTTCGAACCTCGAGCGGTGCCCTCAGACTAAAGTCGTATCCGTCAGGCAGGAGTTGGCCTTCAGCCGCTCCATAAGTCCGCGGGTTTGGAGTGCCATGTGCACACGCCCCCTAACGTCCGATGAAGCTGTAAAGGCCAGCTGCGGCCAACAGCATTAGAGTACTTCGAAAAAAAAACAAATACATAGATTTTTTTTCGTAAATACATACATATTATACATAGAAAACACCCAGACCGACACAAACAATCATACTCATGAATACAAATGTTTGTGCCGTACGAGGAATCGAACCCGCGACCATCGGACTTAAAGCGGTGTGCTAAACCACTAGACCACCGAGGTCGTCAAATCATATCAGAATAGACTGAATAAAATTATTTATTCAGTCCCAAGGAAAACAGAGCTTCTGTTATAGGTATTACACAACTAGTACCAGACCCAGACCGATATAAATAATAACACTCATGAAAGTTTGCCTGCGTGAAATCGAACACTATTTCTCAAAAAAAAAAAGCAGATTTTTTCTCTGACAACAGAAGTAAACTTTTATCGAAACACATTTTTTATATAATAACAAATAATAATGTACAACTTTATATGTAACTTTAATAATTCACCCATAATTTAAAATTAGATCTATGACAAGGAATAGTAACTAAGAATACCTAATACGTTAGGTACAAAAAAAAATAACCATTACAAGAATTGCATCCCTGCGAAATCAGGGAGGATCGTTAGGTATATAGCTAAATCAACATAAGAACTAACGAGCCAAGTTCAAGGTTAGTGTCCCTGATCTTGAATCACCACACAATTGACATTGTACCCAATGGTGGAGCGGAACGGTGGGCGATCACTAATAAAATAAACTGATCGTAACCAGTATTTACAATTGTACGAGTGGACGCATTGTGGTATTATTCAATTACATTGCTATTCACAAAGATATACACATAGAGCGTATATTTCGACGGCCTCAGTTGTCTAGTGGTATACTACTAGTCGCGGCTTCGATTCCTTGCACGGCACAAACATTTGTATTCATAAGTATGATTGTTTATATTGATCTGAGTGTTTTCTATGTATATAATATAATATGCATATATATGCATTTATGTATTCGTATCAGTTATCTAGTACCCATAACACAAGCGGTAGCTAGATAAACTTGGGCCTAGATGGCGCTGTGTGAATTATCCTGTGATTATTATTATGTTACATATGTAGTGCATCGACCTATAACAAAATGCTGAATGTAAACTTACACACGACAGTTTTAATTGGATTATTGTAAATTTCATATTAAATCTATAAACAGCTATGTTGTAGTAGCAACTGTGGTTTGCTTTACGATTTTCTGAGACACATTCGTTCTAGCATCGAGCCGTGTCACCCGTTTTTAAAGCTAGTTAGTAATTTAATGTAAGTTAAAATTAATTTGCTTTCTTTTGCTCAAATCTTCGATCTCTCAGTTTGTCTGTAATAGACTGATTTAAGCGATATGGTCGCCTTTTGTTAGCTTTTGTTTGTAAGTTTTTATCTGTGCACTATAATTATTACTATTATTACTTTTACGCCCTATGGATGCGACTACTATAATTAGTGTGATCTTACAAATTTTATCTTTGTAAATAATAATTTACTTAATTGTATAATGTCAGTAATGGCACAACATGGTGTGATGATGTGGTTTGCGATAAACCTTGCTGCCAGAAGTCATTGCGAAATATAAAGAGGTGCAACTTAGATCACAGATATACTTGAATTGCCAACAAATTTTCTAGCAGCGGTAACTGCTTCCATACATACTTTTATCTCCCTTTTCAACCCTATTTAATGCGAAAAGGGTACAACCCTTTTTTAATTGCATTGATTTTCGGTTCATAAATTAAGTAAATTAGTAAATTGCGGTAAGTTCAGGGTTGCCAACCATACTTTATAATAACGTCTCCAACTTTAGTTTTGGTAATTATACTTTTACATACAAATAAAATATGCAAAATACTTTATTTTCAACTTTTACTGTGATGCGTAAAACAAAATACTCATTATGGGTAGGTACTTAACCATTTATAATTACTGAACAAAATGTTAGATGTCAATTGTGACATTTGTCATAGCTCTAGTGTTAAAAGCAAACAAAAATACGTTTTTAAAGCAATAAAAACATAACATTTGAAAAATACTTTTTTTTCCTAATACTTCATATTTTTCCTATCCAAACAAGATTATACGTATTTTCTGTCAAAAAAAGTTGGCAACCCTAGGTAAGTTATATATTGGCTGTAATACTGACCGGAGATATTCTGCGCGTCTAACGAGACGGAGCTGCCTGTGAAGTTGCTCTGGTATCCACTGCTCGCCTGCGAGCTGCAGTTCAGCAACTGATTCAGGGTTGTCTGCCAAACATGGAATAGGGTGTTCTTCATCAAGAATCTTTTGCATAAACGCGTTTGGACAATTTTTTTAAATATGAGTATGGAATGGTGCACCTGCGCCAACGGTAGACGTTGGAAGCACAAGTGGAGGATGATGAGATGAACACGAGGTAAGGTCAGTTAGCCCAGCGTAATAAATTCACTAGGAATTTATCATGGTGGTTTCAGGAGCAATGGAATAAAATTATTACGAAATGAATGATGAAGATGAGGTCAGGTCGTGACAAATTCACTAGGAATTTAACATGGTGCTTCCAGGAGCAACAGGATAAAATTATTACGAAATAAATATTGCTAATAATTATTATTGTAGTAATTACTATTTTAGATACTGAAAGATAACTTACGAGAAAAGTTAAGAAGGAAATGAAAGAATTATTGTAATGACACTCACAGGTCTGCCATCTGCTGGCATTTGATAGGGCGGTTGCATCATCATCGGCTGTGGCATGCCACCGATTTCTGCACTACCCATAGCTGAAAATTATATGACAGTTAAATTACAGTATATATAATACACGACACCTTAGTCATCTGGAATAGTAACGTATGAAGAGTACAGGCGTCAACGCCGTCATGCAGGGGAGTAGTGCTAGATAAAGGTTACCTTATTCTCTATTGATCAGATAATACATCTATATATATAATATAGACACAATGTCAGCAAAGGTGGACTTTGAATTTAAAAATTTACCACCAGATGGTCTGTCAGTTCATTTACCATTCCTTAAACTCTAATAAAAGAACGTAAGTACATTACAAACAAGACTAGTGCTTAATAGAAATAAGAGATGAGTAATTCTATTTATTTTACATCTACGTGCGTTGCTCTTTTAATAATGTTGTTCAGCATTACATATTTAAAATGTTGTGTTAATACAAACTGCCAAATATTGTCAAAAGTAAATAAATATAATAGGTACTTGAGTAACAAACTAAATCAGTAATAGTAATCCGAGGAGACCAGTTGTCAATACGTCTATAAGCCAGTAATTATTTTCCATCAAGACCACACGCTTGTTTGACACCATCGTAATTAAAAAAAAAAGATATACTTACGGTTCCAGGATCCACCCTGGTTCTTGTACATAACGTTACTCGGATTCGGCACACCCATACTCGGGTAGTGAAATTGCCCGGACCTCGGCTGTGGGGACGGCATCATCCAACTTGTGGGGAACACCGGGGGAGTCATCGCCACCGGCGACAACGGACTCGGGTACCCGCCCGGCGTTGGTGGATTGTGGCCAAACATTGGACTGCCAATGTTGGCGTAACTCCCCAAATCTGATAACTGAATGTTGTATGGAGAACACGGCGAGTTGGTCATGTTGGTGGCGTGAGTTGGCGAGAATGGATTGAACACGCCAAAGTTGGGCATCGTGTTGTTGGATATGGCCGGTACGTTGTACGACTCTGGTATTTCGGCTGTGATCGAGGATTCCTTGCCGCCGAGGAGTTCACGGCGCGCCTCGTAGATGTCCCCTGATCAAATGATAGATGTATAGAAATAGATATAATCTTTATTCAAATAAACTTAATAAAAGCACTTTTAATGATACATTGTGTTTGTTCTACGTAAGTAAGTAAGTTCTACCACTCATTCGGAACGCAAACTCATCACAAGAAGAATGCGCATGAAACTCAAATACTACCGAAATATCGGGAACTCAGCAAATAAATATAAAACGTGGTAAGATACCGTGATTTTTACTAATTATACGTATAAATAATGACCGTGTCAAGTTTAAAACAGCATATATAGAAGAAATTAAAAAAAATAGATAAACTCACCGGCACATCTCTCAATGCCCTTAATAACGATGGAAGCGATGCCCTGCTTGGGTTTACGTCTAATGTTGATGTACACGTTGTGTTTGTGCATCAGTTTGCAGACGGCGTCACTGTCTATACGGCAAGAGTCTTCGGGGACATCGAATATCACCACAAGAGGTAGGCTGCCCTGTAATAATTTTTTCGAATTATTCTAATACAGTTGGTCGCAGGCATTTAATGCTTGACCTAATAATAGGAAGCGATTGCAGATGGCAATCTGCGGAGCTGCTCTAAACCTGCTGAGAGATTTATGGAGTAGCTAAAGATCAATTCCTTCACCGGCGAGGACGGTGTCGTGTGTTAGTATTGTAACGTGGTAGGGATGGAACGGGTGGACTCGTAAAGGTTAGCTGCCGTTATGGGGTCGTCGGCATCAATAAGAACGTGTCTCGGGTTGAGTCGAGATATGTCTACTAGATGCACAGACAATGATACTGACTATAAACGAGTTCGGGTACAGAGGGAGTGTAAGTGAATTTGAAACGCTTCCTTCATGAAGTTGTTGCACGATTGTTGTCATCTCCCACTGTAGCGTTATATACGAAGTGATGAGGTGTCGCTACTTAATTTATTTATTTCCTGTAGTATCTATGTAGTGAGTATACAAGTGTAATAGTTGAATTACTTTAGTAAGTTTATTTGATAGTATGCTACATGACTTATTTGTAACGCGGAGTTGTAACGTGAACTTTACATTGAACTTAGAAATAAGTTATGTGGAGACGTAAAGATACAACGAGCGGTGTAGGTGAGTGTTGAAGTGGGTTGATACCAATCCCTTAAACCTACACCCGAGTCACAAGTCCCGGGAACTGTTTGGAGTTTCCTTCTCTGCCACACGATGGATGTGGCACCCGCACGATGAATCCATGGAATGCTAGAAGTTCGTGTGATTATGTCTATTGTTTATATATTGGTGAACTCACAACCAACTGCTGCCTAGCTGCATACACATCCTTAATCTGCCCGGTAATGGTGACGCAGCTCTTCTTGATCACGGGTATGTTGGGATCGTCAGCGTCAGGGAACATGATCTGGGTGCCGGTGCCCTTCATGATGATCTTCAGCTGGTCCGCACCACGTCCCACCACTACGCTATGATGCATCGGCGATATCTCCAGGGACATTAGGACTTTGGTCTGATTCTGGTGATAATGGGGATAAATGTTTCAGAAAATATATTCAGCCTTCAGCATGCTTTGTAAAATTTGTTTCGGTAAACAACGATAGGCGAGATAAGGTAGAGACCTATCGGACTAAGATGCCTTTTATCATGTAATGTAGGTTACCACAGATTGTTCTGTGCTAACCAGCAACCTACAGACAGTTTTTTAAAATATTTTTTATATATAACTACCTTGTATATCATCATATGCATTTAGTGAAAAGCTGTAAATTTGAAATTACAGAAAATTCAAATATATATAATTGTATTAATTTTATATGTATTTTCAGAATTTCGTAGGCATTTAGTAAAAAGCTATTAATTTGAAATTACAAACAGAGATATTTCAATTTAATTTATTTATATACTAGTTGTTGACCAGTAGTGAAAATTCGAAATACAAAAAGATCTATGAACCAGAATTAACAATAAACAAAAGGGTATATATGCGTGTATGTGTTAAATATGGTAGTGTATGTATTGTTTTTTTTATTATTAATTTATTATATGATAATGTGTTTTTACGAGCTAGCATCGTACATCGCAAAACTAACATTTCATATTTCACCTAAAAAATTTCGCATTTTGTCTTCAAGAGCGTCGCGCGTACACATTTTATCATTAATCAGTTACATTTTGAGCTTAATATACATTAAAGAAGTGCTTGTAAGGGGGGTTAAAGAAAAGAGACAAATCATAGATATTATTGAGAATAGCCGGGGGAGAGGGGGGGGGAGGGGGGGGGGAATGTTGGGCACTTGATACGACACGACGAACTAATTAATTAAAAGGGGAAGACCAAGACACAGCTATATCAAACAATTTAAAGAAAAAATTGGAGTCGTGTCGTATCAACAGCTAAAAGGACTGATAGAAGATCGTGGAGGTGGCGGAGCTCCGACAAGAGCACAGCTCTTAAATTATGAATGAATGAATACGGTTTTAATCAAGTATCCATAATCATCACTTATCAGATTTACCTATCAGAATCTTTATATGTAGTTGCGGTACAACCCGAACAGTGTTAATATAATGATACTGGGTGACAAAAATAGGCAGACAGTGTAATAAATATTAGTGGTGTTGTCTTACAGCAACCGGACCGCACATGTAGTTTATGAGGAGAGTGGTCGCTTCCATGGTGGCCTGGACCTCCCACTGGACACCCTTCACCACCATCAGGTTCGCGTGCAGCTTCGGACGGTTACGCAGCATCACCTGCGTTAAATTACATAGTTAGGCATCCCTTTTATATTTGATTTAAAAAACAAACACAATTACATAAATTTTATTTTGATTTCACGTGATTTGCACAAGTTGTCAACTCTAGCAATATCAAAATTTATTATGTTTTTATTCCATTATACTTCAGTTTAATCCATTAAAGAAATACACAAAAAATCTAAAAGTTTGTCTTTATAACATTAGTATTGATTAGCTATATCCTGCGGCGCTGCTCGCGTTGATAACCTACTACTGATAATGTAGTTTTATAAAGATATAAGAATTTAATAAAGTTTTTTTTAATATTTATAAAACTTTTAAATTTAATTCATGCATAATATTGTAGATGTATAAGTTCGCACGTCTGTCTGTTTATATTTTTTTTTGATAGGATAAAATGGAGTTTTTTTTTAACATTATTTTGGTGGAAATCAAGCATACGGCCCATCTGATGGTAAACGATTACCTTAGCATATAGATGTCTGAAACATCGCGTTGCCGACCATAAAAATTATTATATGATTTATTGATAATCACCTGTACATTATACTGTTCCTGAATCTGCTGCACATATGGCGAGCTGATATCTGGCTGCGACTGGGAAGGTGCCACTATAGGCAGCTCGAAGCAGAACACCAGGGGAGTCAGCGCCTGAACATAATTAACAAATTACTTCTATAACACATACCTATCTATATTTTTATTTTTACGGGACATTCTTTGACAATATCATTAGATATTTATTATTTTTATTTTATTCATTAATATTTTACAAACAAAGTTATAACTAGCCAGCTAGTACGACACATTCACCCACACAACTTCATCATCTTACTTGACATTTATCATTATATATCTCCTAATTTACGTAATATTTTTGAAGTATAGCCTGTTATTCTGATGTATAAGCTATATTACTGTAAAGTTTCATCAAAATTCGTTTAATAGTTTTTGCGTGAAAGATCCATCCATCCATATTCACAAACTTTCGTGTTTATATTAGTAAGATTCATACCCGAACGCGCGCCCTGGCTCGTTCCACGCGCTCCATATCACCAGCTATCGACACCTGGTTGCTCTTCTCCACAGTGCTGGTCCTGTTCGAGTCTGGGAAGTGGATGTGGCAGCCCGTCTCCTCCATCACGCGCTTGATTGTAAGACCACCCTGCAGACATGTTTTTTTATTAAGTAACTAGCAGACCCGGCCACGCGTTGCTGTGGCTAAGGTTCTTAATAAAATAATATTGCGACTATAAATAGAGATGTAAGCTATCCTATCTTTCAAGTTGGATCAAATTGCACACAATGTGCAAATCAAATTTGCAATCGGTTCAGTAGTTTAGGTGTCCATCGCGGACAAACAACGTGACACGTAATTTTTATACAAGTATAAATAACACTAGATAGATGAGATAAATATAGTACATATGGATAAAGAAAAGATGGGTTGGTGATTTTTACATAGTATAAAATGAAATCGCTGCGCTGTTCGCTTATATCTTATAAACTAAGCAACGGATTTTAATGCGATTTTCAGGAATAAATAGTGATTCAAGAGGAAGGTTTATATGTATAATACATGCATAATACGCATGTATTATACATAGTATAGATACCCCTTGACATCAGGACTGCTACGAGTAAAATTTCTTTCAAGCGAAGATTGCGGAACCATTATCTTAACATATAATTTTGTATACTATCATATACTATCTTTTATATATTTTTCTCTTTAGCATTAAGTTTCTTCATTTTTACTACAAGGCGAATCGTATATATATTTTTGTACCTATTGTAATATGCTTACACTGTCGGCTGTAATCACTATTTCATTGTCAGATTATTGGTCATATATTTATGTGTATGCTATATTTTTGTATATATATATATATACATATATATTTATTCATGTATATTCTATAAAATATTATAATATTGTTTGCACCGCCAACAACTTATCTCCGCACAACTCATGGTTGATTGGTAGAAAATGCCACTAGGTGTTAAGTCCGCCATATGTACTTTTTACCTGTGTATGACGTGCATTAAAGTTATTTAAATAAAAATAAAAAATAAATATAGAATAAACCGAGAAATTCGCAAATTTGTAATGCATCCGTGGATGGATAATGGATGGTCGCTAGTAAAGAATATTGCAGGAAAGGATTGGATGCAGACTGCCATGGATACAGAGGAATGGTGAAGGATGAGGAGCTTTTACCTATGACGGCTACATAAGAGGAAAAAATATATAAATTTTGAGGGCCTCGGTGGTCTAGCGGTATAGCATATCGCTTTACTTCCGATGGTCGTGGGTTGGATTCCTTGCACGGTACAATCATTTACATTCATGATTGTTTGTATTGATCTGAGTGTTTTCTATGTATATTATGTATATACGTACAGTTATATTTATGTAAGTATATCAGTCCTACGGCGTTGTGTGAATTGTTCTGGGCTTTCTTTTTTAATTGATGATAATGGATCGGTGCATACGTATGCTAACGGTATACGCTGGCAGGGCACAAATGGAGGATGAAAAAATGACGAAGTCAGTTTGTCCATCGTGGAGAATTTACCAGAAATTATTACGAATCCTCCGCGTGGAGGTCGACCTAACATGGTATATGTACTAGGGTGATATAGACTGTAAGCAATGCAATATCCTCCTAAGTGGAGGGATAAAGCTATAATAATAAGTATTAGAACATTAACGACCCGATCCGGTTTAAAACGGTAATTCACCCGTTGTAGGCATTTCTATATTTTTTAAGATTTCCTCTGTTAAACTGATAAAATATAGACAACAAGACTAATATTTAAAAAGTCTAAACATAACGCCTACATACGAGTAGTTAGCAATTATTAGGCACGCAGAACTCAATTTACATTACCAATGAGGTGTAGCTGTACATACGTACTAGTAATATAAATAATAAAAAATAGAGTACCTAATAATAATATAATATCTCTGGACAATTCACATAGCGCCATCTAGTCTTAGGCTAAGCAGAGCTTGTTCTAGGATACTAGACAACTGACAGAAAATCTTAGACATTTTTTTTGTAAATACATACAATGTATTATATATACTATGTATATTATATACATAGAAACATCCAGACCAATACAAACATACTCATGAATAGAAATGTTTCTGCTGTGTAAGGAATCGAACCTGCAATCATAGGCAGTAAAGTAGTGTGCTAAACCGTAAAACATGAAACGTAAACGTAAACGTGCCTATAAATGACATACTCGGTTTTCAACCAGACAACTTATTTGATTTGATTTTTGGACTTCAAAACGGAGAGCTATTTCGTGTTTCGTTTCGTATTTCGTACAAAAACAAAACCACATTTTGAGTTTACTTCAGGTGAATACTTAACAAATTTAAAAGTAATTTAAATAATAAAATTATTATAACAATGACATTATCATCTATAGAAATAAATAAAATTGAAGTGGCTATTTGTAATTTAAAATTAACAGCATTTCACAAATTGCATATTCAAATATATATGGCATATATGCAAAAATGTATTTTGTCTGTCTGTTTTTACTAATCTCTGAAACGGCCGGAAAGATTTTGACGTGACTTTCACTCGCAGATAGCTAATGTTATAAGGAGTAACTTAAGCTACTTAAATTTTATAAATTTTATTAGACTAATAAAATTTAAGTTTTATTCCAAGCGAACGAAGTCACGGGTAATAGCTATTATTACAGATTAAATAATATTACATACTATTAATAATATATAAATAAAATAAATAACCTTATACGTATCAACTGTGATACATGGATTTTATAACTTTGCCCTTACCCGCATATCGTATCGCATATAAGATTCCATAAATTATAATTATATAGGGGCGTTATATGATTAGAATTATAATAATTATCTTTATTTTCTATATTTGCATTAGAATTTCAAATAATTTGTTATTTCGGATCTAGTAACGACAATTGAGAATTCTAGGTACATCTATGGTCATATTGGTATCGGTCCTTCTTGTGATGAGTCAGCTTTCCGAATGAGGGGTAGATTAAGTTAAGTTTATTAGAATAAAGGACTTTCTATTCTATGCTATTTTAATAATCAAAGCCTAAAATTGTCCAATACCTATATAAATACAATAAAATTATAAAAAAATGAAACTTACCTTTCCAATGATGTGGGAGTGATCAGTGTAACTGACATCGATCTTCATCGTAACGCGGTTACTCTGAAAATATACACATTTTTTTACGTAATTGGAATGGTCAAGCTGACGGTAAGTGGTAACTGTCGCCTATATACATGAACAGCACTACGGACATCAAATGACGCCCGTAAAACCATTCCTAAAAAGCATACACATTCATAATAAAGTATCTACAAACACTAATAATGCATATAAATAGTTCTGAGTAAATAATTTAGGTGTATGATGTATAATTAAGGCTTTTATTTATATATCATACTTAATTTGTGTATATAAATAATACTTAATATATATCTAAACATGATGCTAAAAGCCCTGTCTATTTTACCTATTGAGTTCGCAACCCATTGCTAAAGTTCCAAAAATGGATATATCAAGATGTCGCCTATTAACCAACAATTAAAAAACAAAAACAAATCATCTATTACACAAACAAATACAATCTGTATTTAAAAAAAAAATCTAACTAAACGACAACAAAAACAAAGTAACTTTGTAACTACTACTGATTGTCATTTATTAATTTTTCAAGTAAGCATTCAAAAAATGACTTTTATTTTTATTAAAAAAAAAATGGTTACCTACCCTGGTATCCAGTAACTGCATAATCTTCTCTCGTGCCAGCTTAACATCGTCAGGCCGTCCAGCAATTCTCACGTGGGGATCTAGCACAATTACGCAATTAATTAAACTCTAACATTTTTTATAAGATTTACACAAAAATCATTCACAAACTCACCTAATGGATTAGTGATTTGAACTAGTTTATTAGATCTGATTTTTTTTATTAAGTCGTACACTAGATCATCATTAATCTCTGTAAAAACCATTGTAAATCGATAATATAAACATGAAGTATAAAAATATAGAGCAAACGTGTAATTTTTGTAACGGACATGCCACTACAAAATATGAAATTTGGAAAGAGCGCCAAACTGGCGCCGACGAACGCAGTCTCGTTGGCGCCAACCCGCCAAAACTTAACCCTGAATATGCTACATGCACGTGCCTATAATCTATATTATTATCTATCTAAATTTTAATTTTAGTAGTAAATTGAGATATTAAAAAATCAAATTGATTCTTACAATTCTTTCCCCACATTATTAGAAATTATATTCATAGAAATTTGAATACTTTTATTTATTTGAGATTCAAATAAACTGTAGGCTCGATTCAGCGCGTAGGCACGCTGGGTAAAAATTGGTTATATACTGATACGTAGATGACATACATATGCTTCAATTTTATAATGTTATGGTAGATTTGTAGGTATACCTTTTTTCGAACGGGCGCCAATTTTCAAGCGAGCAGGCCAATTCACAAGTGTATTAGTCTCAGTCATGACCTAAAATAAAAATAAAATGCATAGGTACTTGTAAGTTAAAATCAATTAATTTAATTTAATAGATTAATGTACAAATGGATATATGTTTTTTATACTTACTCTGTGAAAGAACGCCTGAGCCGTTTGTGACTCTTCCAAGTTTTCTAAAAAAATATTTACTTTTATTTTCAGAATTTGTAAAGGTTGCCTTTGTTTAAGAATATTAATTATAAATATATTTGTAGTATAGAATATAAAAATCGGTAAAGGATATGAAATTCACAATAATGTTTCAAAGTATAAGAAATACGATGGACATGTTCTAATTTTTCAAAGAAAAATATTTTGTTTAAGATCATACTAGGTAGGCAGTTTAGAATTGAATTCAGTTAAATCAATAATCTTTATTCGTGGGACATAATTACGATTTATTATATAAAAAATCTCTCAATATTAACTTAATTTGTGTTTAACATAAAAAGATGAATAGTTTGCAATTTTCATAGTATTATTATGAAACAGATAATTATAATGTTTTTAACACTGCTAGTAACTGGGCTAAATAAAATAAAATAAATAAGGAAATGGTGATAATATGGTATTATTTTTGGATGTGACCTACAATATATTGATGATAATACCTGCGAGCATAGTCTCCAAACGGCGACGATCAACTCGAAATCTCTCCTGATATACATCTTCGGCGCTATTTAGACCAAGAATAACCGCTAATTTTTGGAGATCTTCTGCTGACGTCACAGAGTTGCTAGTTCCACTTTCGGATGCCTGTAACAATAAAACAATAGACTACATTTGGAATAATAGTAGTCAAGTCAGGCAGAAATTATAGCTATTACATATTAGGGTAAAGTGAAAAAGTAAAATGAATATTTTATTCATCTAAAATTATCATCACCACGCTGCCTAGTTATATTGATTTGTTTCAAAATGGCGGATAGTTTTCCAATTGTTCACAATATAAATAACATTATTTTATTAATTATATTTAGAAATATCTAGCCCATTTGTTAAAGAAATAATTTTAAAATATTACCTCACTAAGTGTATCTTTATCCGAATTATTTTTGAACTCCGATAAATGAGTCTTCACTGTTAGAAAGTTTGTAGAAGACATTATAATATATAACAATTTAATTTAATATTATAGTCAATAACATTTATAATAAATTAATAAATAAAAATATATTGTACATAATTTTACAATAAAACTAAATCTAATAAGTGGTGGTGGTACCGGAACAACTTCACCTAGAGATTTACCGAATCCGAATAAATTGAACAAGAGTGTAAAACGGTCACGTAAAGTAAAAAAAATGAGGGTAGGTATTGTGCATCTTTATTAAATTGACTAAGAAATATATATAAATACCCAAAGAAAAAATATTTTGGTGAATTGGTTTTACATTTACTACAACCCATTTTATTATTTTTTATACAATAAAAAGCAGCGACTTCGACACTGTTTTCATAATTAGCCGAATTCCAGTTGACGTTCCGTATATGAAATATTATTGTATGATTGTATTCTATGATCAAAATTATATCGTTGAAAGCAAGAACGAAACGCACATTATGGAGCTCTGTTATTTCTTAGCCAATGAGAATTCAGCCCGCCATAGGACGTTCCCGTCGAGACGGCGGCGGCGGCGCCAACCCTTTAAATGCTAAGGACTTTTTAGTGTAAGTACGAGTATTTCATTTTGCAGCCAATCTGACAATGTTTCAATGACACGTAACTCACATAGTTAACTAAATTAAAAAAAATATCACACCGAGTGATGAACTTACATCACTCCTTTTCTTCAATATTTAGGTACTAAGAAAAGATAAAAGCGTATATATATGTATAATTATATAAATTAGAATGGTACCAAATAATTAAATAAATACCAAAAATTGAAAGTTGAGAGATCATGAAGTTAATTCGACTTAAATATTTATATGAAACATAGTTTATATATGTTTTTACTTGACATATTTTTTGGAATCAAGATTTTTTTACATGTCAGTTCTATAGTAAAATTTTAAAATGAGATATTAAATAGCAGAAACGGAACGGCGAACGTCCGATTTCGAACGATTCGAAATTTATTTTGAGATTCACCGCATGAGGTCGTATTAGTCGGGTTTCTGCGCTTGCCCGTGACGGGTGTACACTGTTCGATTGCAGGCAGAACTTTCGTATCACTAGTTAGTTAATTAACGAAAATAACGATTTTTAAAGGTGATAGTTACTAAATATTAGTGTAAAATTTCTTTGTGTTTTAGTTTGTATAAGTTTAGTGTGAAGTATCTGTTAAATATTGTAGTGTTTAATAATAAGACGGTGAGTAATAAATAGTTAATTTCTAGTTAAAAATTATATATTCTGCTTTCTTTAACTGCTCTTTCAAATCCTTTATTTTAAGTATAAATTTTACTACCCTTATGTTTATTATTTCTCTGTAAAATAGAAATTAACGTCAAATATTCCTTTTATTAGTAACAGCTGGTCTGTTTCCTAGGCGAATGCCTCACCGGACGACGCGACAGTATTACAAAATGAGAACAAAAAAAACACGTTTTCGCATATCGAGTGTTTAACGTATAGAAAATAGACTATTTTGGCTATATATTCTACAAAGGATTATGAATGATGTCTTCCAGGTTGTTAATAAATAACATTTATTTTCGTTTTAATAATAAATTACTTAAATGTGAATTACGTAGGTCGGTAATTCCTATCAACTGGTACATTTAAAAATATATCAGTTTAGTTTAGTTTCTTCCAAATTTTTCTCAATTGTATTCAACTACCTAATTGAACTGCATAAATAGGAAATATGTTCAATATGAATAAATGACTGACTTATAGGGTACTACGTAGGTAGCATAAGTAATAAATTTACATAATACCTACGTTCTACGGATTTATTAATAGTAGGTACCAATAGTTAATTTGTGACTGCATAATATAGTTTAAAGTTGGCCATCTAGCTACCCAAAATAGGTATATCCCGAGATATAAATGATTAATATCTGACTCTCGTAACTTCGTCTGCGTCACATTTCTCAAGTTTTTTTACATTTTTCAGTGTAGCTCCGTTCCTATTGGTCGTAGCGTGATATTATATAGCCTTTCTCGATAAATGGGCTATCTAATAAAAAGAAATTCAAAATCGATTCAGTAGATCCAGAGATTACCTACAACCCTACAACCTCACAAACTTAACTCTTTATAATATTAGTATACATAACTCGTTGCGCTCGTAAAATTTTACTAGGTAGGTATGTATATCCGTTCAAAAGAATTTGTTATTTTTTAATTTACCTGTTCTTAGTATTATTATTTTGGTAGGTACTACAGACTATCGAATATTCTGTGCATTTGTGCCCAAATTAACGGCACCCCTTGTAATTCCCGGAACTCGACAAGTGGTGAGGAGTTCCGGGTGGTCTAGTGGTTTAGTAAATCGCCTTGCTTCCGAGGGTCGCGTGTTCGAATAATCGCACTATACAAAATTTTGAATTAATAAATATGAGTTTGTATAGTCTGGGTGTGTTGCTATGTAGGTAGGTACATTATGTAGCTTTGGACTGGATGGAACTGTGGGGACAGTCTATTGTTATTTTTATTATTTTTTCATCTCTGTCCCTTGGAATTGATAAACAATCGTAAAGTTTCGTGTTTCATTAATAAATTAAGTAATCGAATGGTAGTAATGGGGTCTTTTTTAAAAGAATAATTGTACGGTAGAGAGAATAGAGGCGAATATAATGACACGAGAGCAAAATAAAACACCTGTTTTACTGATTTTCCTTATAATGTCCATATAAAAAAAATATTATTTTTATAATTTATTTATATCACATATTTTGTACAAATAATATACGAAGTCCCGGACTCCTGAAATTTACATACTTTCTTTATGACGTCCATATAAAAAAAAAAATTATAAATTATTTATATCACATATTTTGTAAAAATAATATATGAAGTCCCTGAATTCTGAAATATTGAAAATACCTGTGTTTTAGAAGTCGGTGTCCTTCCATACTGTGGTGTACTTATGAGTGAATTAATTAATGAGGATATTTTTACATTTTAAATAGATAACTGTAGTCGCACGATGGTGTGTGTGTGTGAAAAAATTATTGCTAAAAACATAGAAAATAAAAAAGATACCATAAACTTATCTCTTATTGTTATACGTTTAATATCTATAGCAATTAAATCTAGTTTAGTTCCCAGGCTCATACAATCACAAATTGATTACGAAAATAATGGAAGGCCTGTATATATGTATATACATACATACATATATGATTTTGGTTTAATAAATTTATTATTGTTACTATTATTCTATTTGTAGCATACATTAGAACATACTTTATTAAAATAAACTTAATATAGGCATTTTTAAATAGTCATAGTTATATTAATCTACCGCTCATTCGGAAAGCCTAACAAGGACGAGCAAGAAGCTTACGTGTTGCTCTTTTAAATAACTTCTTAATTTACTTATCTTACTTAACTTATCAATTTTATTGTAGGTAATAAAGAATATAAAACACAAACACGCAATAACCATTAGTGCAGACGTGATTGATATTTCATTGATATGTAATAATAATATTTATTTATTGCCAGAACAAAAGATAGATATACATTTGAATTCGTACACTGTTTGTTGAACAAAAACTATATAAAAAAAAGAACCTCTCAAACTACGTATAAAATGGCAACAGTAGTACCTCATACTGTATACTGGGCAAAAGGGGCTGACTCAGCTGATGCTGTGAGCGTAACGTTTACACGTACGCTGCACAGCGCTGATTTTCAGTCAGTCCCTCTCATATACGAATAACGAAATATAAGAATAGAAAAAAAAACAACATAATTTTTATTCTATTCTATTCAGAATAGAATAAAAATTATGTTGTTGTTTTTTTGTATATTTATTTTATTTTACTTCTATGAGAGGAACACCAAAGGGTTTTTCTGACATTCATTCATTTTATCATATACCGACTCTAGGTTATAATATATAACTATCGAAATTAAAAGTAGGTAGGTAGTACATGTTACTTATATCATAGATAAGAGTATATTAAAAAGTTATATCGAGCATTTACCTATATCATGTATAAACAGTTTTTTCCTTATTTACATATCATTTACTAACCTGTTCGACAATACAATCATTTCATGACATCATTTCAATGATTTCATTCATATGACGACCTCGGTGGTCCAGCGGTTTAGCACGCCGCTTTACTTCCGATAGTCGCGGGTTTGATTCCTCGCACGGTGCAAACATTTGTATTCATGAATATGATTGTTTGTATCGGTCTGGTGTTTTCTATGTATAATATGTATGTAATTACAATAAAATCTAAGTATTTATATCAGTTGTCTAGTACTTATAACACAAGCTCTGCTTACCGTAGAACTAGATGGCGCTGTGTTAATAATTTGACTGTGACCCGAAAATAGTACAAAAATTTATTCTTCCATACTAAATATTATTCATCTTGTATTAAAAAAAAACAATCTGATGTGACCCGAAAAATACAACAATCTATTCCATACTAAATATCGATTATTATCGATCCGAATAACTAAATGCTGGAATGAAAGAGACAGATGTTGCATTGAATGTTTAGCGGAAGATATCTAAGAGGAAGTTGGATGTAAAATGCACCATCTCATTGTTTTTTTTGTCCTGCTCTATATAACAATGGAATGGGCAAAAAAGTTGAGACTATCCGGAACTTCAGATCGTTTTGTTTGTATATCCATGCCAGAAGTTACTATTCAGTAACTTCTGGCATATGTATACGTATGGTAGGTTGTGATTTATTGAACACTCAGAAATAATATTTATATAATATAAGTAATAATATCATTTCAAAAAAGTTGTTGTCAATTATGGTGAACAATGCAATATACCATATCAGGTTGAACCCCTAAAAACATACCTAATTGCATGGTGAATTTAACACTATGGGCTAACTGACCTGATCTCATGTTCATGTTATCATCATCCACTGGTGCCCCGCCAGCGTAAACCGTTAGAGCAGGCGGGTGCACCATACCATTATCATCCATAAAAACACTTGACATGCCCAGTGCCCACATTCATTGTAAATTTTTATAATAACTAGTGGTCGAAATTCGACCATAATAAAAAGTACAAAAATATCTTTGAACTAACAACAAAAGAGTATATATGCGTGTGTGTCAATTACATGGTTGTGCGTAACATGTAATGTTTTTTATAGATTTATTGTACTTTTTTATGAATATTAAAAAATAGCATATTCACATTTTTTTTAATGTTAATAAAAAAAAAACACGCGATATTTCATACTGCTCGTTTTAATTCTCGTAAAAGGGTGTACAAAGTATTTGTTTCACATATTACAAAATAGATTCATCTCAACTGTAGAAGAACATAAAGAAATGAGTTTCGTGTCTAATACAATGACGCTGTGTGAATAGATTTGTACAAATAACCTTGCTCTTGTAACTGTACACATATCAGAGTTCACATGGACAGTGTGACGTGTGTTGTGACCTTGGTATATATGAAATAGATTACATGAACATGTGTTTTTAACATGTTTCTATCGAAAGTGCTCTCAGATCCTATGGGTGATAAAATTACTAAACAATATAATAATATAACTAGGACAAATATCAGCGCCATCTAGTTCTAACTACTATAACAACAACTATAACATACATGCATAATATACATAGAAACCATCTATAGCAATACTCATACATCAAACAGAGGAATTGAACCCGCGACCTTCGGAAGGCACTCATTCCTTGTGCAATCAGATAACATTTTCAGCACTTTTACTTTTTCTACAAAAATATTATTATAGTTTACAAACTCTTCATTTTTATAATAACCTTTTAGACAAAGAAAGTGTTTTACACACACCTGAATCTTTTTCAGTCAGATTTAGAATAGACTGGCAGTTTGTTATAGAACCTTACGCAATTACCATAATGCTAAAATTACTAACTTTAGTTAAACCAGTTTAGCAAAAGCTACAGTTAAAATACAATAGCCTTTAGGATGCTAGGAAGAACTCTAGACTCTCTACGGAAAACAAATTTCTCATTTATAAAGTTATCCTGGAACTTATTTGGACGTATGGTCTGCACCTATGGTCGGCAAGTGATGCCAACATAAATATACTCCAGCGCCAACAAAACAGATTTTAAGAACCTTTAGCGGCTTCCTTGTATTGTAGCAGCAGCAGGAAAGGAGGAGGTGAAGTGATGAGTCCAGTGATGGCTATTTACAATATGTATATTAATGAAGTATTTACAAACTATAGTATAAGTACCATGGTATATAACTAACAATGAAGTCCACGAGCACCTTAAAATAGGAGCAGCACCTTGAAAGAAGAAATTTGGAATTTGGCAGCGAAATACAAGGAACGGTTGATTCATCACCCTAACGAACTTGCTCGACAACTCAAAATGGAACAGTGTGTCACCATCATATCCCGGAGCTAGAAATACGGCAATAGCTCTAGGATGCAGACGAGTTTCCAACGGGAAGCCACTCTACGTGATAGCACCACAGAACAGATTTGCTCAGTCTTATATAACCTCAAATATCGGAGACTAGAGTTTTTTTTTCTAAGGACAATTCACACAACGCCATCTAGTCCCAAGCTAAGCAGAGCTTGTGTTAGGGGTACTAGACAACTGATATAAATAAATGGATGCGTTTTTTTGTATATAAAAATATATTATACATAGAAAACACCCAGACTGATACAAACAATCATACTCATGAATATAAATGTTTGTACCGTGCGAGGAATCGAACCCGCGACCATCGGGTAGTAAAGCGGGCATGTTAAACCACTAAACCACCGAAACGGTCATTCAGTTAAACCAACTTAATCTGAGAGTTCAGCATGATCAATATAATTGATTGATCATGCTGAATTATCCGGTCTTGCTGCTATATCATTGTTTATTCCATTAACAGTTATGGTTTTACAATAACCGAGTAACGGTTATTAGTGTCCCATCATTGTTAAGAATAACTGATACGTCTCAATTACCCTGCAATATGAGGTCTAAATGTACTAAAATGCAGTGGGTCCTGTTTTTTTTATGAACCCGTATTTTTTCTGCGTACCGTACAAGGCATCATTCACAATCCGTTACCTTTAGGGTAACCACCTTTCATATGAGAAAATAAGGATATTACGCTGTAATGTTTTAAGTAAATTGTAGTATATTGTATATAGTATAATGTATAGAAATAAATGAACATCTGATTCGTAAGATTTAATTTTGTTTATAAAAATGTAAATTATTATAAATATGATTGTTTATATTGAAGTGAAAATCACAAATACATTTTAGACCAAATTGATCACGTGATCATGAACGAAGTGATCGTTTGGCGGTAGATTAAAAAATGTAATGACTATTCAAAAGTGCTTCAATGTAAGTTTATTTGAATAAATGATTTCTATTCTATTCTATTCTATTCTTTGGATGAAGTTGCCTTAAGTATATTGAAAAGTACACTAATATATGGAATGTATGTATGGAAATAAATGATCATTTGTTTTGAAAGATAAAAATTCATTTATAAAAACATTGTAATTCTTATAAATCTATAATTGTTTAGGTAAGTTGAATTGAAAATCTGAAAATAATTTTTATACTAAATTGACCATGTGATCGCGCAGTTTGTATGAAGGATATAAAAACTATTAAGTCTTATAAAAGCAACCATTTATAAAAATAAAGAAAATAATATACTGTTAATATATTATATAACACCAAAAAATAACAACATTTCAATAGATTATTATAAATAATTTAATGATTTACTCATTGGAATTAGGTGGCAACCCTAATAGCAGTGTGGCGCCAGCTGACCGGCGTACGGCGCTACGTCTCGACGCCTGTTAACGGTGTCTACAACAAATACATTCAATTTCACAATAAATTAGATGTCCTTAATAATAAGTATATGTAATGAATTATCTTTTTATTTGTCCGTATTTTTGCCTTCTTTTTTCTTTTTGTACTTACATATACCTATTCAATGTACAAAATTAATCATTACAATTTTCTTTATGCGATATTCCATAATGAAATGTATTTTTAATTATAACGTTCAATTAAAAAAGATATATAAAATCAGCAACAATATGGTTACAATCTAAATATGTATTTCTAAATAATAATACATCAGTATTTTATATTTATACGTGACTAGCTTTGCTCTCGAGAACGTCTGCTGTTTTTTTAGATTAAAGTATATGTCTATACACATCCTCGTCCTCCTCGTAGAATCTATTTACTCGTCTGATTTTATTAAGCAGTTCAGCCGTTTAGTCGTGAAAAGGTAACTTACATACAGATAGACAGACATACTTTTGCATTTATAGTATTAGTAGAGATATAGTGATTTGCATGTAAAGGGTTGTTATATTACGTAAATTATTTCTCAAGATCACTAGTTTGGTAGCCCATAACGTTCTTCAAGAATATACTTAACTATTACATGCAAAAAAGTTATTCAAATCCAACCAGTAGTTCCACAGAATAGCGGGTATAAACAAACAAACAACGTAGTTTTATATATTAGTATAGATATGTGACTTTCTCACGTGGCTGTCAGTTTCAGCTGTGTGAAAGTAATGTGGATTTGTGAATGACATTTCACAGATTTGCCGCCATCTTGTTGTGGACTGTAGACAAAAAAAACCCGAAATGTAATTATTGGCAAGTTAGCATAGGGGCCACCAAGTAACGAGTAGGCCAAATGAGTTTTATTACTGGCTTCGAGGTTACCGTGATATTTTTTGTAAGCAAGTCTCGAGAAAAAAATTGCATTGCGTGGTAAAAAAAATATAAATTTCTCTTTCTTTTTTTGCAGTTTCTAAAGTCATTCCAAAGGCGTGCACCATGGATAAGTCAGAGAAATCGTTTCCGAGAAATTTCTTAGGTAAGATTACTTTTGTATAATTTATAATTGATTTAAATATTGCGATTTGCAAGCCTTTTTTTGGTGATAGTTCATAGTGTCACAGGTTTTAGCAGGTGGTGAGACAATAGTCCAATACTCCCTAATAAAAAAGGCTTTTTTGTACCATGGTATATGTATGTATTTGTAATAAAAATAATGAAATCAGAAGTACACAAATTTATGACACATTCTAGTACACTCTGCACTGAGCAAAATAATGAAACTGAAACTGAGCACTGAAAAAACCTCAAAATTGAAAAGGAGAGTACATAATAGTTGGAAGTTAGTAAGCTAGGTAATCAATGGCAGAAAGTTGCGTAATACAAAATATAACAAACTAGCAACTGGTATTAATTTAATTAAATACTCAAATAGAGAAAATATTAAATATACAGTTTAGTCTGAGGGCACCACTCGAGGATTCAACTTAGCCTCAGATAGTAGTAATTTCAGAATGGGATAGAGGATCAATCGAAGGGACTAAAGCATTATAACTGGAAAACAGAGACCGTCACATCGCTTCGTTGCCTTATTGGTGCGTTCATTGGCATGCAGCCATTGTGAAAATAAACGCGTTGAAATTCAGCGCAATCGCTCTTCCGCTTTTCTGACAGATAACGTCTTTAAATACATTTTATTGTGAATTTATACCAAGGCTTTTCTATTTGTCATTAGCAATTTGATCTGGAAACAATTCGATGTCGCGGTGCTGAGTTTTATTTACAACTAGCTGTGCCCGCGATTTCGTCTGCATGGAATAGACATCCCCTATTTTATTTTACCCCCTAATTTTGAATGTCATATTTATTAAAATTCAAGCGCCTAGCTTTAAAAATGACAAGACTTACAATCGTACAACCTTTCATCTCCCCATTCAGCCCCTTACAACCCTTTTATAGCATTAAACAGTAGCCTGTGTCCTTTCTCAGGGTCTAGACTATCTGTGTTCCAAATTTCATTTAAACTCGAACCGATTTAAATGAAATTTGTCTGTTATTTTTCTGTTATTCGCTTTGTCTGTTGAAAGACAGACAGGCAGTCAGACTTACTTTTGCATTTATAATATTACTTTGTTAATTAATATTAATATTAATTTATAGGATAAGGATTGAAACTGGAAGTTTTGGAACTAGATTTGTATTATCGGAGCTCCAATAATACAAATCTTGATATTAATAGTTATTTTATTGGCTGATTCTTTACAAAAACAAAATTGTGGCTGATTTTGCCGGCGTACTATAGACAAGTGCTGGTCGGCAGCGTTCGGGGCTTGTCGGTGCTTTCTGGACGGTCCCCGCTTTCGCGCAGCTGCTTCGGGTACTGTGTAATGAACAGTATAATAGTTGTTTACCTAAACGATAAATAATAATAAAAACATATTGTAAATAATATTGCTATGATTTCTATTTACGTAAGTGTTCTTTGCAACATATAGTACATCACGTATTGTATATTGGAACACGTGTACGATAGGAGACAAAGGAAACAATAAAATATAGAATTTCAATACTTGCGGACTACCTATACAAATTGCAAGTAATGAATATCAAAGCCGACATCTTGGGGAAATCGCAACCCAGGTCCAGTGGATCTATTTTAGTTTCATATTAAACCTGTTTATTTTTCTTTTCTTTGTTTTTCTATTGAATTAAATTCAATAGAGAAATGTTATAGTAATATATCAGGACAATGTAGGCAATATCCTAATCTAGTCCCAAGCTAAGCAGAGCTTGTGTTATGGGTACTAGAAAAGTGCTATAAATATGTGGATACATTTTTTTTGGAAATAAATACATATTATACATAGAAAACACCCAGACCGATACAAACAATCAGTCTGATTACAAATATAAATTGTACCGTGCGAGGAATCGAACCCGCGATCATCAGATAGTAAAGTGGTGTGCTAAACCACTAGACTACCGATGCTGTTATGGGATAAGTCGCTGGCAGCTAGATTACAACCTTAATTACAGTCATGGTCACACATGGTCAATGCCATCTATGTAATTGTAACAGTAGGTTAATGGTGTGAGGCGTCAAATGTGTGATTTGTTAGCGTGCTCAATTAGGATAAGACAGCGACAATGAACGTGTAAAGCCGGATGAGAAGAATATATAGAATTACCATCATATTTCAAAAAGGAGTTGAACTTCCAGTATTTATGGCTGGTAATGGGCATTATTACTAATTTTATAAACGCGAAAGTTTGTGTGGATTGATGGATGGATGGATGGATGTTGGTCTCTTGAACGAACGGATCGGATTTTGATGAAACTTTACAGTAATGTAGCTTATACATCAGAATAACACATAGGCTATAATTTAAAAATACATATATGTAAATTGAGTGAAATATATAGTAGTATAGTAGTGTGTCGCAGGCAAACTTGCGCGGGTTTATTTGATATTACTAGCTGTAATCAAAATAATAAATAAACTTAATCCAAGTGACGGTAACGGTGAATTTCATAGTTCTAAATTAAAAAATAATAAGAAATCATCAATTGCTTTGTACTACAGTTACTTTTATACTTGTTACGTTATTTTAATGTTCCTTTTGATACAGATAACAAATATAAAAATACGTATTACATAATTGCAATTTCCATTGAATGTACCCAGTTTCCATAAAGTTGCAACTTTATTATATTAGGTCATAATATGTATTCAACTTGCCGACTTGTATAAATGTACATTAATACTGCAACGCCGTTCATCAAACATTAACTTGTCTAAACGGCATGTGTATGAATGAGTAAACATATGAAACTACCGTCAATACAGTCCATGGTTGCCAACATTAAAACATTTAGTTTCGTAGAAGTCAAATATAATATAATACATTGTTTTTGTAGAAAAATTGAAAATTCATAGCGCTGACAATATTATCTGATTGCATAAGTCCGTAGCGGTTTCTATGTTGATTATAGAACTTCATTATGGGTACTAAATAATGTATATAAATACCTACATAGATACATTTTATTGTACATACATACACCGACCGATAGAAATGTTGGTGTCGTGCTAGGAATAGAACTCACAATCAGCGGGAGTAAGGCGCTTGACTAAACCGCTAGACCCAGGTCGTCAATTTTGACAGGATTAAGGTCAAAATCGTACATACTTGTATGTGTTTTTTTTAATGAGCATATTTTTGTAGCACTTTTGAAATGTCCTCGTATCGAAGGGACCATAGTATTTGTACGGAACCCTCGTACGGTTGGCATCCTTGATCCGGTCTGTGGATGAACAAATGTATGCAGAACGGTTAGGTAAAGTGCATGCTAATGGCAGTTGGATTGTGCCCCGTGAGAAACGGATAATGAATAACGGGATGTTATATGAGCGTGTATCCAGAATTTTATTTTTTATGGGTAAACGATTTTTTTATTTATTAGATAAAACCGCGACTCTTTATATCGGAACACCAATAGATCATAATATTTTGTAAACCGATTGCAATAAAACAAGGACGTAATTTTAAATAATCATAGAGGATAAGCCTTGTCTATATGATCATCGCGAACAATCAGACAAACTGACAAAAAATCTAACATTCATTATATTAATTCCTGATATGTATATAAAGTTCTCCAATAAAAGTTATTCCTTAAAAAGATACAATAAAAACTAAAAATAATAAATATACACATAAAAAAATATAGATATGACCATACCGTAGCTCCATTTGTGTCCCGATGATAATGTGGTTTCGCAGGGGTGTAATTGGTATATCTTCATTACATAGTATAAAACAAAGTCGCTATCGCTGTCTTTCCGTCCCTATGTGTGCTTAAATCTTTAAAACTACGCAACGGATTTTAAATCGGCTTCTTTTAATAGATAGACTGATTCTAGAGAAAGGTTTATGTATATAATACATGTACAACCCGTGCGAAGCCGAGGCGAGTAGCTAGTAATCTATGAGCTGAAAGGGTCTCCACTCAGCTGGTGCCGCAGCGTGTCACTGCAGTGCTGAGATTAGAGAGATATGTATGTGTATAAATGTAAAAAGGCGGTCTTATTGCAGTAACAAATTTTTCAAGGCAACCATATATAGAATTACTGTATTATTGTTTCATTTTAATTATCCGAGGTGTGATAGGCATCATGCAAATTTAATAGAATCTCATTATCCATACCTATTAAGCTGACATACTTAAGTTCATCGTATAGTAAATATATTAAAGGTTTGATTCTGAGGTTTTTTTTATTTAAAAATATATTTTATAACCATGTGGTTTGTGACCTACTATTCCAATCGTTTCACACCCACGTGGGTGTATGCTATTTAAGAAAATGTCAGATAATTTGAATTCTAATACTGACCATGACACAATTCTCTTCAGTCTTAACTTTTGCGATGGTCATAAATGTTGTCTGGTCTGGCGATGAGGATTAGTAGTTAGCCGACTTCAAGGATGAGGTTCCCAATGACATTTTTTTAAATAAATCTTAATTGTAATTTACGTAAACTGATTATGATGATCCGATTTTAATTACTCTTTTTTAATAGCATAATCCGTGAATGCATACTGTTTGACAAAAAACGGTTTGTAGATTTGGCTTTGTGAAGTCCTAAAAATACTCTAACAAGATACTAGAGGATCCAACTAAGATCGGATTTTGGATTATTACGAGTCATATTACTAAAGTCATATACTTTTACAATCCGATCCAAAGGATTGCATTCACGGAAGGCTTATGCCTTCCGTGGGTTTGAAGCACCCTCTACAATTACTCCCTGTTTTCGTCCGGTGAACCTGTAAATACCATCTGCAGCCAACAGCATTACAAAATTTCGAAAAAAATCTCGCAGATAACAATTTGATCTTATTCATCTCATCTCATTGCCTTGCCTCCTTCCACTGAACCCTTGCGGCCGTCAAATCTGAGATGTGTCTCGAGGCTATCTTCTATGCATATCATCTTTGACACAATCATTTCATTTTTTTTTCGGTCGTCTTTTCCCTTTCCATCAATCCACTTTCATGTTAAATACTTTTTTTAAGACATGGTCCATGTCTTAAAAAACGTATTTAACATGAAAGTCCTCCCTATATCATTTCCCATACCAATCTGTTACTTCACAACTTGTCTATAATTGGATAACAATGTGATCCTCCGGATTTTTCTTTAGTACTTGTAGTGTCGAGAAGTCTATGCCCTCGCTTGACGTCAATTATTGCTCAGCAAAAAATTTATAACTCGCCGAGGCGCATACTTTGTCTTATTTTAGTTTACTGCGCACATAGTTTTTATAGTTGGTGCCAACTTTTTTAAACCAGAATGGACTGGCAGGCGTGTGGAGATCTGTTTTGTTAATACAAGAATAATTATGCAGCTTCAACTTTCTGTTCACGTAAATAGAATTGTACACATTCTATCATGAAATATTGGTTGTTCATAATCTATACTTTTTTTAACTAGTTTGTAATGGAATAATGCACTTATGCTGATGGTATACGCTGGCGAGGCAGCGGGATAAGATGAGCATTAGGCTATGCCCGTCTTCGTGATATAATTTTTCTTCAAGCCAAATTTCATTTAGATCTGTACATCCCGTGAAAAGCTAATAAACAAACGCCGTTTCGAATAAAGAATATAATTGTATATTAAGAAATAACATAGTGTTTATCGTCATTTATCCTCGGCCATGATCCAGATGCGAACAGTTCATAAATTGTATTTTATGTTTTATGTATAATGACAAATATCATATAGACACTTATTTCAATATTTTTTTTTAATATTAAGTATTCATTTCTAAGTCTTCGACGATATTTCATACTCATCCTTATAACAACCCTTTACAGTCCTGAGAGTTATGAGTCTCTTTGGATATAAGACTATTAAAAGTTTCAGAATCGATAAATGCGTCACGTATATAAAAAAAAATGACAGGACACTTCCTTTTTTAAAGTCGGTTGAAAATATCAAACAGGATATTCCCAGAGCTATCGTATTTGTATTTAAAAAGAAACTAGGTGGTTTGTTGATAAAAAACTGGTTTAGCGATCACGTTACAATAGCAGTCGTGCTATAATGAAGCAAATAATAAGATTGCGTGAGATTCATTGAGGTATTCATAATAATTTTCACCCTGCCGTATTCAGTCTCAATTTTAAAATCTGTGTCAAAAACATGAATAACATCTATACAGATAATAATAGGGCAGTATGTATACATTTCTAAAGAGCCACTCGCTCCGCCATTGTCGTAATAGAAACAGTTTTACCACAAGATTTACTTTGCCCAACATCCTCCAAAATTTGGGTTTTGGAAAAACTTAACCAGTAAAGAAATGTTTATTATTGCTACTAGCATACAATATAATTATCGCCATGTAACAATATATTATAGTTGTTTTTATTTTATCGCAGCGTTCGACTTTGTGTCCTTGTTTGCGTTTTACATTAATGCACCAAAGATGCACCACTACTCCATAACCTCAATTTTCTTCTCCACACAAATGCTCCCAAATGTCGCCACATAATCACTACGAGTATACTATCTCAAAGCAAACTCCACCTGGAATCCTCCTGACTAATTTCCGATTTGGCTAATCGACCTAATTTCATCTCAGTAACAAGATCACTATGAGACACGAGTAGTGACTTGGACCTCAACTCGAAAGAACAAGGACTTACTAAGGCGCCCAAATACTGACATGGCATGTAGAGCCTAGCATTACGACCTACTTCTAAATGCATTTAGAAGAAGATCATCCTATATACAATAAATAGCGGCGCTGTGAATTCTGGCGTACATAACGGGTACTATTTCCTACCCTCAATTATTTAATACTTCGCCTTAATTGAGCTCGACACATACCTACTCAATTACTCACAATTGTTAAATTTGTTAATTGTCGGATAATCATAAATATATTTGTTGGTTAAAATATTTTAGAAAATTTTATTATATTATTTGTTATATGTATTATATACGGCTCTGTACCCTGCTGGTAGGTTTAAATATTTTAGAAAATTTTATTATATTATTTGTTATATGTATTATATACGGCCCTGTATCCTGCTGTCCTGCTTTTTAGCACACAGTAACATAATTTTAATTATAGTTGTTTTTGAATAATATATAGTCCACCACATGAGCATATTGCAGAATGCAAGTTTCTACGTTTCTTTAGACTAATCCGTCTGTGGTGTAATGGTATACAAACACATGAACCTTCAATAATACCATCGAAGAGGAGATACGATCTAATTGGGTCAGTGTCATCTGTTCTATATGATATCAAATTGATAACTTAGGTATTGAACAGAGCACTGGACAAATAATCAGTACCTGCAGCGAGATAATCAAGTCCTCTATCATGGAATCTTTTGCAGCAATCAGAAAAACAAATCTAATCAAATATATAATACAATATCCAAATAAAACGTGAGAATGACTAAGTCGATATTATTGTTTTTTTTTTCTTTTTTAATACTGTGTACAAAATTATTCCGGAACCATAGGTTTATGAAGATTGAGTAGAAAATTTTCGAATATTTAATTGTCGCGTGTTTGACAATTTCTGTGTGGTCAGCTTGCTAACTTTTATCACCTCATCGGTCTGGTTTTTTTTTTATTATGCCTGTATTTACAAAAAAAGGTATTTAAATATATATATCGGAGTCTAGTACCCATAACACAAGTTCTTATTTGGGACTAGATGAGGCCGCGAGAATTGTCCTGGGTTTATTACATTAATATTATTCGTTTAATCAAATAAATTTTAAATATTGATTGTTTTGTCACAATCTTTTAAACTAATGAAATACATTGTAAGAAAAGGACTAAAACAGAATTTTATGACGTTGATCGTTTATATGAATAATGCAATTATTCTACAAAGTATTTATGTTATATTCTAGAATATATTTATGTTACAATGTTGTATTTTGTTGGCAGGTTGGCTAACATGTGTGCAAGTACTAAACATCATGGTGCTGTTGGGCTTCATGCTGAACTACGCACTCCGCGTGAACCTCACAATCGCCATCGTCGAGATGGTATACGACGACAACGACAACCGTACAGCTATTTTGAATGTTACAGATTCACTTAATGTCACAGAGGTATGTATTACTGGTTTCTTTAGTGTTTTAGTTATTCTTCTTATCAACGAAGTTATCTCCCCCATTAGAATAAGAGACTACTTCATTATACTACAGATATCTCACGGTGTTCATGATTAGGGCTTTGGACAAAATTTTGCATTAAGCAATTACATGAGTGCGTCGCTACAACGTATTGAGCAATTTTTTTTATTTGATAAAAGGGAATAAGCTTCATTATGTTTGGAAAACTATTTTCTGACGACTATATTTCTTTCAGCATCCAGAGCACATCGAACAGACGCGGTATCATTGGGATACAAAACAGAAGAATCTTCTGTTGGGCTGTTTCTTCTGGGGTTATGTACTCACAGAACTACCAGGTGGTAGATTGGCGGAGCTCATTGGTGGCAGGTAAGATGATTCTTTTCTCCTTACAGTATATTTTTTTTAAGTTCAATATTTACCAAAACAGGTTTTTTCTTGTTCAGGTTGTGCTATATATGTATAGAAAGTGTCAATTTTTTATAACATATTAACATTCGATAGCAAGAGAATGGTGGACGTAGAAATTCCAATGTAACTCTGTTTATTAAGGATTTTATTTTTTTATTTGTACACATTACATCAATGGTTGTAGACAAGACAACCAAATATAGGGGGCTTATGAGGGTATGACTACTGATTTAAACACGGCTACGATAATATATAGTATACTATCAAAGCCACCACACCACAAGTGATAGTAAAAATAACGATACCTTAATTATATATGTACTAGCTGTGCCCGCGGATTCATCCCCATGCAATTTATAGCCTATGTGTTATTCCGATGTAGATGCTATGTTATTGTGGTTTCATCAATAACCGTTTAGTAGTATCTGCAAACTATTAAACTAAACAAATATCCCTCCATCTATCCATACACACCAATACCACACGATGAGGTAACAATGGCCTATGTTACTGGAGCGGGAACACGACTACTATTTTGATAAAAACCAAATACTAGTAAAAATGTGTATTCAGCGAGAAGTAACAAAACAATATATGGTTAGTCAAAAGTGACGTATAAAAAATAGATATAAAAATATAAAGTTTATAAAAAGAATGGTAGACAAGCTGCCAGTAACAACCTATATTATAAATACCTTATAGAGTAACCTACAAATATAATGTCCATGTATATAACTGACTGTTGTCTTTTACATATAGTGGGAAAATAGGAATACATAAAAAATCGTAAATCGCAAGTAATTCTAGAGTATACATATTTAGGACAAGTATTCTGCGAGTTGTAATTTTGCGTCGAACTTTCTAGACGCTAATACAGAGGTCAGAATGAGTTAACAAGACACATTGCTTATTTCAGACTTTGTCACCGTCTTGAAATTGAAATAATTAGTCTTAATAATTGTAGTAGATTTACACATGTCACAAATTATAATTGAAAAGACCTTCAATACTGAATATTTGAATTGGTGTCATGTTATTAGTGTTAATTTATGAAGATTAATCTATTGTTTTTTTTTAATTTATTAATTTTTATTATATGTATTTAAATTTAGATTTGCATCAACAAACAGTGCGTAGAATGTAAATTACTTAATTAAATTTTATTAATATTATAAATGCGGAAGATTGTGAGTGTGGAACTGTGGATGAATGGATGATCAAGCAAGAACTCTTTCACGCAAAAACTATTGAATGAATTTTAATGTAATATAGTTGAATAACACATAGGCTATTTATTTCTCGCGGATGAAACCGCGAGCACAGCCAGTACATTATATTTAAATCGTTTTAATCAGCAAACACAGTAACATGTTTTTTATTAATAAGTTCTGTATTGACTTGTTATGGGCATGTTATGCGGACGAGCAAGTACCATGTCTTAAAGAAAGTATTTAAAATGAACGTGAATGGATGGAAAGGGAGTGGACGATAAAAAAGATGAATGGATTGTGTGAAAGGTAAGCAAGACCCTATCCCTTAACGCTGGGGATACGTTCCAATAAGTTTCAGCGCTATACGAAATTTTGTTAAACGCTATCTTTCTTTCTTTTCTTCGGAATCACTACTATTTTTGATTTCTTCTTGCTCAATTTCTTGACCTCATTATTAGAAAGACTAGCTGCTGTTTCTTGAACTATTTCCTCGACGTCTTTCCGTTATCTTCTGAATCCCCGGGTTGAAATAGAGGAGCGCTAAACCAAAACAGCGTTAAGCGGGGTCCTAATATATGTATAAAAGGAGAGTAAACTCAGACATGACGGATGATAGGGATCAGTGGAAGGTATTTATTTTGTTCATTTATTAATGAATTGTTACTAGTAGTATTTTATTTTAATGGTTGATAATGGTGCACCTGCATGTTTTAACGGTTTACGCTGGCGTGGTACAAGTGGAGAGTGATAAAAAAAGCACGAGGTCAGGTCAGTTAGCCCATTGTGAGTTGTGACTAGTTCCCCAGGAATTTATCTCGATGGTTTCCAGGGGAACCGCGTGTAGGTCAAACTGACATCGTACATTGCTAGCAATGGTGTCATCAGTCCACATTACTAACAATCCTGTCCCTTCCCCCAATACAGTCTATGTTACTGTATACTTTGCTATAGATCCAATAATGTTTAAAATGTAGTAGATATTGTTTGAGTTTATCCAAGAATGAGGAAGGGCTTTTATTTTTCCCCTGTATAATATTAGTTTCGTTGAGAGGTTGAAATTTTTATATCATTTTATATTACCACACGTTAGTTTTCGGGTTTGTATCACCTATAGCATCTGGCAACCCAAGACTTCACGTTTTCCACGTACGTGCTCGGTATTGTTGTCATTTGTACTCTGTCCGATGATTAATTGTTTTCTGTTTTAGTAGTTAATCTGTGCCGAAGTTTTGTTACTCTATAACAAGCCGATAAGATACCGGCTCTCTATACAAAACTTTGTAAATAGTAATTAGGTATAAGTAATTTTATTAATTTCAAATATATTGACGGGTTTGTTGGTTTGTGATACGGGCTTGTTTTCACTCGGCCTGAAGAACCCTATAAGCCTATTATACTCAGAAATGACGTGGCTTACTATTGGTCAAAGATTTTCAAAATCTGTTCAGTAGATTTTAGTTATTACTTCCTACAACCTCCCAAACTAGCCAACTTTACCTATTATATGTAATCTATACATATAAATAATTGGAGTATCTGTTTATAATATTGAAATAACCGACTTTTACTACATGCATATGAATATTAATACGGTACATACACAAAAATAACAATTTTTTCAATTTTTGTCTGTCTGTTTGTTCCGACTAATCTCTGAAATGGCTGGACCTATTTTGACCTATTTTTGGCAGGTAGCTGATATAAGGAGTAAATGAAGCTACTTTTATTTTAGAAAATAAAGTTCAATTCCACGCGGGCGAAGTCGCGGGTACAGCTAGTTAATGATTAAAATTAGTCATAGTGTATCTTGTTTTGTGAGGTTGCGCAGATAGATGACTAAGTTAACGCCTCCCAATGGAATGAGGACATAGGTATCGAATTCACTTAGCGATACATTAATAAATATTGTTCATAAGCGGCTAATATGTTTTACATGACTAAATTTTTGATTTGGTTTTATTTGTATAACTAACAAAAAGAAAAGGATATTAAACATCTGTATATATAAAAATACGTGTCAAGTTGTTTGTCCGCGATAGACTTCTAAACTTAACCGATTGCAAATTTGACTTGCACATTATGTACAATTTGATCCAACTTGAAAGATAGGATAGTTTACATCTTAATTTATAGTCACAATATTATTTCATTCAAGAACCTTAGCCACAGCAACGCGTGGCCGGCTCTGCTAGAAAAGTATATAAAGTGAAAATGTAACGTAATATTTAGTGGCTATATATTACATTATTGAATATCTTATTAATATTATAGACGCGAAAGTTTGTGAGTGTGGATGGATGTTTGTTACTCTTTCACGCAAATACTACTGAACGAAATTTTGTACACATGTTCTTGGAGGTACTAGAATTTACATAAGTCTTTTTATTAAAAAAAAGTAATAAAAAACAAAAAATATAATATCAATATTTTGCTCCTTACTTCAACGCTATTTAGCAGTGAGTAACGAAGTTATGCGAGCGAAGCCGCAGGTAATAGCTAGTAGTCTATAAATTTCACACGAGTGAAACCGCGGGCACAGCTAGTAATTATATATTAATGTAACGCTGTGTGCAGTGCAGCGTAGTGTGTAGGCTGATGATTCATGCGGAACATTATCGGGATTTGGTTACGGTTGCATGCGCGAGCGCAGAATCATTGGCCCGTTTATTATTAGTATTATTAATTACTTCTTATCTCAAAAAACTGAGTATTACAATCTATTTCTTGGAAATTAGATTATGTTATACAATAGCTTGCTATGCCCTGCTTCACACGGGTATATGTAGGTTTATATGTATTATACACTAACCGATCTCGCGAACTCTGTTGTGCCTGAGAATAAAATTCTGAACTGTTTGACAGTTTGTATGGGAAAATAAAATTCTTGATTTTATTACTCCTTGCAATTTTTTCATATTTTTTCACCGTTTAAACCTTCCCTGGACTTCCAAGAATATTTCAAGACTAAAATTAGCTAAATCGATTCAGCCGTTTTAGCAAGACTAACGAACAGCAATTCATTTTTATATATATAGATAGACATAAGCCTTCCTCTTGATTCACTCTTTATTGCTAAAAACTGCATTGAAATCCTTTGCGTAGTTTAAAAGATCTAAGCGAACAGACACCGGAAGCGACTTCATTTTATACTAAATGTATGTATATGTAAAGATATGTCGTGACAAAGAAAGCCCATGTCCTTTCCCGTGATTTGTTTTATACATATAGAAATAGAAAATCATTTATTCAAATAAACTTAATTTGAGCACTTTTGATAGTCAACATTTTTTTTTTAAATCTACCGCTTATTCGGAAAGCTGTCTCATCACAAGAAGAATAAGCAAGAAACTTGTGTGTTTCTCTTTTCAACAATCCTTGTAAGTTCACATTTTCTAAGTCGAAACGTGTGAATACAAACTACCAACTAGCACTAATTCTAGCTATATAATGCTAGCTGTCCCGACAAACGTATTTTTGCTACATACATTAAAATCGCTACTAAAAATAGATGATAGAAGGGTGAAAATTAGGGTTGTATGTATTTTTTAATGTCATATTATAAAAAAATAAAAAAAATGTTATGAGCGGACAACCATTATCACTTGGGGGTATGATATGATAGTAGACGATTCTCAGACCTATTGAATGTGCATATGAAATATCAAAAATATCGATTAATAAGTTTTGGAGGAGTATGGTAACTAACATTATTAAATGAGAATATTATATATATTCTTTATGCGTATATAATTCCATAAAAATCGGTCAAGCCGTTTCGGACGATGAGGAGAGTATGTAACATTGTGACACGAGAATTTTATATATTTATTCTTCGATCAAATTATCGACTATCTTCCCGATCATCATTCCCGATATCAGATTTCGTTAATGTTAATTCATTTTTGATTGTGCTAACTGATGTAAATTGTTTGCACGTAAAAGTGACTCCACGATTCCGTAGATGACCAAACCGTGACCTGCGGACTATTAACCAATCATGGCGGTGTATGAAACGGTCATGGTCAACTGGTTTACCGGCAATTATGAGTTACTAGCTAGGATTCACCCGCGTGAAATTTATAGCCTATATGTTATTATGATGTATAAGGTATATTACTGTAAAGTTTCATCAAAATCCGTACAGTAGTTTTTGCGTGAAAGAGTAACAAACTTCCATACTCACTTGATATTGTCTAGAAAGTGTACCTATTGTATAAATAATATTGTAATGATCCTTCTGAATTTAGTATTGAATTAAACTTCTAACTTCACAAACTATCGTGTTTATAATATTATTAAGATTATGATTACGTATATAATATAATACCTTGAAATATTTTTTTTTTACCAGGAGGGTGTTTGGCTACAGCACGCTCTTTGCCAGCGCCCTAACACTCGTGACTCCTGGTGCTGCTGCGATAGGCTTCGGTTGGGCCGTAGCGGTTAGAGTTCTCCTCGGCTTCTTCCTCGGTGTCACATGGCCAGCGATCCTGCCGATGGCCTCGAAATGGATCCCTCCAAATGACAGATCTAAATTCATGTCCAACATGATGGGTGAGTAATTTTTATTTCTAGTCTACACAGATATTGACATTGTTACTATATAAACAATTATACTCATGTATTTGTACCGTGCGTGGAATCGAACCAGCGACCATCGGAAGTACAGAACAATAGACCCCCCGCGGCGTATACCAGCATAAAACATAAGTAATAGGCTATGACGTTAGCTTGCAATTTGATCAATTCAACTCTCACAAGTAGAACGCAATAATTAACAATAATGTTGCCTCCTTGACCCATTATTGTCTTACATCGTTTTGGAGTGCAATCGTTTGATTAATCGAATCATTTGTCATCATTTGGTCGCTAGCAAACATGATACGATATTGTTTATAAGATATGTCGTATCTTAATACATGATATATCAATAATACATGAGTGTACACTGCATACATGCGTAAACTCTTAAATATTTGTCTATTATAAACATTAATATATTATTTTGTTTATAATATATAATATATATGTATTTATGAAAATATGTATAATATAATATATATATATATATATATGTATATTTATATATCATAGAGTGAAAACTTCTGTTAAAAACTTACGCTGTATCGAATCACAGTGGGAGTCTAAGAAGTTATAAATCCAAATATAAAAAAATATTATAAGAATTTATAATAATAGACCTACGTGAATAAAGAAATACTGTTTATTCACGTAGGTCTATTATTATAAATTCTTATAATATATCAAATCTACCGTCAGTTCGGAATGATTTCGAGATGAGAAGAACTAACAAGAAACTCAGCTCGTATTCTTTTTTTTTTCTTATGATTCCGGCGATTTGTGTTGTTCGTATTCTTTTCAAATAAGTATTGCACATGTTTACTATAATACAGATTAATTTTTAAATTCAAATTTGGAATGACAGAGTGACTACCAGTACATGCTATTGTAATTTTGTCAAAAGCAAATAGTCTAATCTAAATATTCGTAACTCGAATAGTGCCCACAAGCAGCACCCGTTCACGAGTATGGCGGATGATATAAATATATGCATATATAAAAAATTCTGCGAAACAAAAAACATGATACGATTGTTATTTGTTATCGAATGCGTTTCGTAGTCGTGCCAGTCGGGAGTTCGATGTGTAATAACGATGGAGGCGCGTGCAGGCGTGGTCGCTGACGTCACGCGATTCGCGCTCTCCGATTGGAGGTTATAATCGTTCGCGCGTTTTAACCTTGCGCAACAGTTGCTATGCACCGCGGACTGTGCTCAACCAGTTCTGAGAAATGTGGTATAATTAACGTGACCAGACGTCCCGTTTTTAACAGGACTGTCCCTTTTTATAATTACGAGTCCCTGTGTCCCCAAAATCAACTCTGGAATGCAAAATTGTCCCGGTTTTGGGAACTCTGCAAAAATTTCCGTAGTCGAGCGGCCTGGTTGAGATGTTGATTATTGTTGATAATTAAAGTGAATAGGTATAAAAAACGTGCCAAGAGTTTCAGTCTAACTGTGTAATATTATCTTATCTGTGGTATTACTTAAAAGCTTCACTAGCTATTAATTTAGCTAATTTTGCAAGCAAATTTGTTCAACCGATAATACTTAACTTTTAATATTAAACAACATTCTTCAAGTAATACTTAGCTTTAAGAAAAATTTTCATTGCCTGTCTATTAATTGACATAAATAAACTAATGTCCCGTTTTGAGTCAAAGAATATATGGTCATGTTAGGTATAGTGTTATTTTCATGCCGGACCCGACACGTGGTAATGTGATGGTGAATAGTATACGGTCGCACAAGGTTACCGTGCTAAAATGTCGTCGTGTCTTTTGAATGGAACTGTGTAGGTGGTGTAACCCAATATTTATCTTTATTTTAGAAGTTAAAACGCGTGAATAAATGAAAGTATAAAACATATGGTCACTAATATATCATACATTCAGTAATTTGAATTTTTAATGGATGATAATGTAATGATGTACTCGTACCTGCCTGAGCAGCTCTGCGCTAACGGTTTACGCTGGCACTGGTGCCCAGTGGACGCTAAGATGAGCATAACATCCGCTTAGTTAGGCCATCGTAACAAATTAACCATGAATTTGTCACGAGCGTGGAGACCAGACACGGTATATTGCTAGCAATGGAGTCATCAGTTTAAATTACTGACAATCCCCTTCCCCCCCTATTGCCGGTTGCCAAGTTACACAAAAAGTTTGCTTTGCTAACAATACCTTCCCCTCAGTAATTCAATATTCATTTTACCGAGATAGACTCTCTACAAAGACATCTGAGTGGCATTATAATTAATTCAGTCCCCAAGTAACTTGGTTTGTTACATTTATTTAGAATTAAGGAGACATGGTACTTTAGTCCTCTAGAATAGCATGAATAGTACTATAGGTACAGCAATACAGCAATGGTATTTCCGAACCGATACTATATTGAAACCTTCAATAAAAGAGCTTATTCCTTTTTAAAAGGCCGATAACGTACTTGCAATTCCTCTTCTGCGGGTACTCAGTGGCGGTTCACCTGATGGTAAGTGATTACCACACTTACCATCAGGTGAACCGCATGCTCGTTTGTCCCCTGTATTATAAAAAAAGGTATCACACGATGTCTTCATGACCGTAGAGCTGTTCTTGTAGGTATTTAGGTTACCTCTTACGATCAGGTGGACCATACGCTTATTTGTCATTTGAGAACAGAGTAGAAAGTCCTTTATTCAAATAAAGCAGTTTTGAACAATCATAGTATATTTTTGTAATCTACCGCTTATTCGGAAAGCTGTCTCATCTGGTTCTTCTTGTGTTGTGGTGTGCAAGAAATTTGCGTGTTGCTCTTTTAAATAATTGTTGTAACTTTACATTTTGAAGTTGAAATGTCTGAATACAAACTACAAACTAGCACCACTTTACTAGAGTTCATTCAAAATATTAAATACACAATCAGATTAAATCAGTCGTAATGATTAGACTAGACCCGTCCTCACAAGCAGCACTCTTTCACGAGTATGACGAATGTGCCAGCTCTTACTTCGCTGTACCTTACCTTAGGGAGCCCAATTTCCCGGCCCACCACGCCGCCACATGTCTGGACATTTTACTGAGCATGACTTTACAAGACACTCGACCACGTCATAGCTACTTCAAATTACCATGTGGTGGCAGTGTACCAACATAGTAATGACAATAGCAGTAACATTAAAAAAAATGTCATTAAAAAACTGTAATATAATAAATGTGGGAATTGATTCAAGGCGCTAGAACTTGGCATACGTGCACATATGTACCGTCATTTCCTTATTTATAAATAAGTACTAACTCGTGCAAATGTTGTAATAATGGTTTCCTGCTGAACGAAACCTATTAATTCATTAGGAAAAGTGTTATGTACATTTATTTATACCGTTTAATTACTTACTTACCTTCTATTGATTGACTGCTCGTAGGCTATAAAAGGAATATTGAGAGTTGTTAGGAAAAAATAACTATTTTACTGCTTAACATCGTCTAAGATAAAGTAATGTATTTTTTTACCCTCTTCATCTTTTCATTATCTGCTGTTGTTTAGCCACAAAAATTAAAAAACTAATTAACTAAAATTAGCAGCTGAACCATCTGTAAAAGGGGACACATCACTGATTAAATGCCAAAGGGAAACAACGCAAAAAAACTGAAACTATTTTGTTTCCGAAAATGGTATCTACCAACGATTTGTTGACAAAACATGTTTCGAAAAAAAAATAGTTTCTGTTTTTTTTTTTGCGTTGTGGCCCTTTGGAATTTAATCAGCGACATGTGTAATATTATTAGTGCTTATCTGTGTGATGCGCGCGCTGCATTATAGGGTTTTAATTTATTTTTACAAAATTTTCAGTGACCTCGTTGTCACTGAAAATTTTTTGCTACATAAATTAATAATAATATTATAGTGTTATATTTTCCCAATAAGAACCTACATATACGACATTAATAAGGGGAGCAAGTTTTTGAAACGCAGACCTAGTTGATTATAAATTCGCGAGGAGAAACTATTATAGAATATTAAGGAGCTGTAATCATTATAGTAATACACGAAGCTAACACTTTGTACCCGTTTTTACGAAAATTACGCGGACGGAAGGGTATGAAATTTTAGCACACTTATAGTTTATACAGAAATGATTTTTATGAAATTGTATATGACTGTTTAGTAAGTCTGAAAATCGGCTACTATTTATTTTTTATGCACCTAAGTTTATCACTTAGGGCTAAGAAAAATAATCCTTAAATATTTTCTTTTATTTTGACAAACAAAAATATTATGATATACAGACAACTTCAAATTTTTAATCTTTTACGATCAACCCCTGTTTTTTTATAGCGACATTAGCACTTCAATTTACATGGCATCAACAAAATAACGTTTGCTGGGTCAGCTAGTATTAATATATGGTTTCAACTACTGGGTGACTAGTATTAGGAAATGTACAAGAAATAGGTGGTTGACCTAAGTACATTTCCAAAGATAAAGCGGTATTATTTATTTCGTCCGTGATTCCCGACATTCTGATAAATAATATCCCAGTAACTTTCCCAACAACCGACCGTATACAGCCAGTGGACTTTGCTTATTCAAATCGACTAAACATTGGTGTATTAATTCTAGTACTAGTCCATCCATACTAATATTATCTATGCGAAAGTATGTTTGTATAATTGTTACATTTTTACGATTAAACCAATGAACGGATCTTAATGTTATTTGACATCAATATGTATCTCTGTATATATATGGAGGACGGACATAGACTGTCTTTTATGGTATTCTAGAAACGCGCGAAATAACGGACAATAGCTAGTTTTATAACTGTGAAAATTGTTTGTTCGTTACGGATTTTACTCATAAACTGCTGAATCGATTATAGTTAATGTTCTTTAGGAATATATTTAATTGACAGATGGTTATAGGCTTTTTTGAATACATTAGAGAAGGTATGAAAGTAGCTCCTGTATTGGAGAAGTTAAAGAGCGTCTGTCAT